AAACTGGAAGGAAATTATCAGAATGTTAACAGTTGTTATCTCTGGTTAGTAGAAGGAGGAGTGAATATTAATTCTTTCCAACTGCTTTTCTATATTTTACAATATTTCTGAATGAGAAAAAGTTTTCATGGATAAAATGTTTATCTTATGGATAAATGTAAGTAAACACCATTGCATCAGTTTCAGAAGATTTATTATTATGAAACCATAATAAACATTGGTTGATATATTCAACAAGAGATAATGGAAGAATAAAAAGAATTATAAAGGAATACTCTGAACAAATATATGCCAATAAATTAGATAACTTAGAAGAAATGGACAAATTCCTAGAAGGACACAAACTACTGAAAATGACTTGAGAAGATACAGAAAATCTGAATAGACCTATAATAAGAGAAGAGACAGAATAAGCAATCAAAAACCTACCCATGAAGAAAGGCCAATGCCCAGATAGCTTCACTGACAAATTCTACCAAACCTTTAAAGAAGAATCAATACCAATTCTTCACAAATTACTCTAAAAAATGGAATAGAAGTGAACACTTTCCACCTCATTCTATGAGGCCAGTATTACCCCGATATCAAAACCAGACGAAGACATCACAAGAAAAGAAAACTATAGACCAATATCTCTTATGAATATAGACACAAAAATCCTAAACAAAATACTAGTAAACTGAATCCAGCAACATATAAAAAGGATTATATACCATGACCAAATGGGATTTGTCCCAAGGATGCAAAAGTTGGCTTAACATCTTAAATTCAGTTAACGTACACCATATCACAGAACAAAGGACAAAACTACGTGATCCTCTCAATACATGCAGATAAAACATTTGACAAAATTAAACACTACCTTTTTCTTTTTTGGCTGAGGAAGATTAGCCCTGAGCTAACATCTGTGCCAATCTTCCTCTATTTTGTATGTGGGTCACTACCACAGCATGGCCACCCACAAGTGGTACAGGTCCATGCCTGGGAACTGAAACTGGGCCACCAAAGTAGAGCTTGTCAAACTTAACCACTAGGCCATGGGGCTGGCCCCAAACACTACTTCTTAATAAAAAACAATCAATAGGAATAGGAATGAACTTCTTCAACCTAATAAAGAGCATCTACAATGCTTTCCTCCTAAGATCAGGAACAAGACAAGGATGTCTACTCTCACATTTCTATTCAACATTATAACAGAGGTTCTAGCCAGGATAATTCGGCAAAAAAAAGAAATAAAAGGCATAGAACAGAAAGGAAGAAGTAAAACTATCTCTGTTTGCAGATGACATGATTTGTTAATAGGAAATCTTAAGGAATCCATTAAAAATCTATTAGAGCTTATAAATGAGTTCAGCAAGGTTTCAAGATACAAGACCAATATATAAAAATCAATTGTTTTTCTATACATTTGCAATTAACAACACAAAAATGAAATTAAGAAAACAATTCTATCTACAATAGCATCAAAAAGAATAAAATAGGCTAAATTCAACAAAAGAAATGTAAAACAAACTCTGAACACTACAAAACATTGTTGAAAGAAATTAAAGAAGACCTAAATAAATGGAAAGACATCCCATGTTCACGGATCAGATGATTTAACTGTTAAGATGGCAATCTCCCCAAAGTTATCTACAGATTCAATGCAATCCTCATCAACATTCCAGCTGGCTTCTTTTGAGAAATTGACAAATTGATCCTAAAATTCATATGGAAATATAAGGGACCCAAAATGCCAAAATAGTCTTGAAAAAGAGAAAAAAGTTGAAGGATTCACACTTCCAATTTCAAAACTTTCTACAAAAGCTATAGTAATCAAGACAGTGTGGTGCTGGCATAAAGGTAGACATATAGATCAATGGAATAGAATTGACGGTCGAGAAACAATCCCTCACATTTACGGTCAACTGAATTTTGACAAGAGTGCCAAGATCATTCAACGGGGAAAGAATAGTCTTTTCAACAAATGGTGCTGGGACAACTGGATATCCACATGCAAAGAATAAATCTGTACCCTACCTCATACCATATATGTAAACTAACTCAAAATAGATCAAAAACCTAAATGTAAGAGCCAAAAATATAAAATACTTAGAAGAACACATAAGCATAAATAATCTTGGATTTGGCAATGGATTCTTAGATATGCTACCAAAAGCACAGGTAACCAAAGAAAAAATAAATTGGACTTCATCAAAATGAAAAACCTTTGTGCTTCAAAGGACATCATCAGGAAAGTGAGAAGACAGCCCACGGAATGGGAGAAAATATTTGCAAACCATATATTTGAAAAGAAGCTTGTAACTAGGATATATAAAGAACTCTTACCAAAAAATAAAAATTAAAAAATGGACAAATGACTGAATAGACATTTCTCCAAAGAAGATCCACAAATGGTCAATAAATACACGAGAAGATGCTAAACATCATTAGTCATTAGGGAAATGCAAATAAAAACCCTAAAGAGATACCACTTCATACCCACTAGGATGAGTACAATCAAAAGGACAGCCAATAACAAGTGTCGCTAAGGATGTGGAAAAATTGGAACCATCACAGACTGCTGGTGGTAATGTAGAATGGTGCAGCCTTTTGGGAAAATAGTTTGGAAGTTTCTCAAAATGTTAAACATTGAGCTACCATATGACCCAGCAATTCTACTCCTAGGTATCTACCCAAGAGAACTGAAAACATGCGTTTACACAATAGCTTGTACATGAATGTTCATAGCAGTTCACATTGTTCACAATAGTAAAGAAGCAGAAACGATCCAAATGTCCGTTGATTAAAGAATGGATGAATACAATGTGGCATATTCATACAATAGAATATTATTCAGCAATAAAAAGGAATGAAGTTCTGATTGATGCTACATGGATGAATGTCGAAAACATGCTGAGTGAAAGAAGTGAGACACAAAAGATTCCATATTGTCTGATTACATTTATATAAATAGCACAAATCTATAGAGACAGAAAGTAGATTAGTGATTGCCTAGGGCTGGGGAGGTAGGAGTGACTCTCAATGGGTTTCTGGGCAGGGGTGTGTGTGTGTGTGTGTGTGAAAATGGTCTAAAATTGATTGTGGTGATGATTGTACAGCTCTGTGAATATACTAAAAACTACTGAATTATATACTTTAAACTGGTGAATTGTGTGGCGTATGAATTATATCTCAATAAAGCTGCTATTTCCAAAAAATGATCCAGGAAAAAAGTTTGGTATGTCTTTAAAAAGTTAAACATAGAATTACCAAATGACCCTGCAGTTCCACTCCTAGGTATATACCCAAAAGAACTGAAAACAGGGACTCAAACAGGTACACATACACTCATGTCCAGGACAGCACTATTCACAGCAGCCAAAAAGGTGGAAACAACCTAAATGTCCATCAACAAATCAATAAACAAAATGTAGTATAAACACACAATGAAATATTATTCAGCCTTAAAAAAGAATGAAGTACTGAGACATGCTACAACATGGATAAACTTCAAAAATATGATGCTAAGTGAAAGACGCCAGACACAAAAGGTCATGTTGTGTATGATTCCATTTACATGACGGATCCAGAATAGATAAATTCATAGACAGAATACAGGTTGGTGGTTGCCAAGGGCTGGGAGGAGAGGGAAATAGGGAGAAACTGCTTAATACCCAAGGAGTTTTACTTTGGAATGAGGAAATGTTTTGGAACTAGATAGAAGTGGTGGTTACACAAGCTTGTGAAGGTACTAAATGCTACTGAATTGTTCCCTTTAAAATGGTTAATTTCAATGTTATGTGAATTTCACCTCAATCATTTAAAAGAAAAAGCAATCCAAAAATCTATGCTAATATTTCCATTTACATGCAACATTTTAAACGTTGAAAAGTATTTCAAAAAAAGAGAATTAACTTTTACAAGTTGGGCTTGGCCTTTTTTTAACCTAAGAAATTGGCTATATCTAAAGAACTCTGGGTAGTCCTAGACATAAACAGATAATTACTCTCTTGACTCTCACTACTATGGAATTAGTTCAGCTGGAGCTTCTGAAAAATTCATTTCATGACGTGCTTACAGATTTGAAAGAGAGTGCATCTCCCGTGTCTCTACTGTCAGAGATTAGCCTGCTAACTCACCAGCACAAGTGAGCTGGGAGGGGGAACAGCATTTGATTCCCAAAGGAAAACATCCCACACTGATTAGTATAGAATACTCTGCATCCTAAACTCTCCATCTGAAGCCTGAGTAAACTTCCAAAACCAAAATGTGGAATAGAAATTGGGAAAATTCTCTCTAACCTAGATAACAAAGGAACAGTTATTTTAATTTCCTTGTGGAGACATGTCCCTTAAACACTCAAGTGAGTTTCATCTAGATTCTAGTGGCCATGAGAAAGAACCTCAGTACAAAACAAATAAGTGAAATATTTAAGCCTCTAATTCTACGGGGGTAGTAGGGGGCACGTCATCTATACAGAACAACACACTTGTTGGGAAACAGATGATCTAGTATTTTCCAAATTCTACCTAGAATATTCTAAGAACAAGAGGCAAATCTCATGAAGTTCTGTGTTGAAAAGCTATAAAAAATGTGACCATTGAGTTATAAAATCTAATAAAAATTCAATGATGCTACTAAATGTCACATAGGTATGGATACAGCTATTTATAAGTGTACGGAATAAAGAGACATAAATGTACAGAGCCTTTCTGGTTCTCTGTCCATGAGTCTTAAATTGAGATTTTATATTGGTACATTTCCAAGTGAAATCAAATCAAACATAAAATCTCTCTTAAATAATGCTTTATGGTACATCATAAATTCAAAGCTACATCTTCCTAAAGGTAGTTTCCCATGTTATCCCCACATTTAACCTTCAGTGCAAGTGATGATGCCTTGTGCAAAATCGCAGAGGGCAGCTCGAGCACCATGTGAGTGAAGGAGAAAGGGAGAGGGTGAATCTGGCTCGCTCTCCCCTTTCCATTCACAAAGACAGGCGCGATCCTAGCACTCACCTCTCTCAGATTTCCTGTCTTTCGCTGAAGATGAAGTACCACAGCCCATGTCTTCTCAATCGTGTGTTCGTGAATTCAACTTCTCATTCCAAGACAGAGTGTGAAAAGTGCCTCCCTTTATGCTGCGAGGAGCCCCTCCTAGCCGATCCACTTCAGTCATAGATCCTGAGGAGGAAGACAAGGAGGGAGGGAGGAAAGCGTCTGTTAACAAGGTATCTAAGGGCCGCACGGCAGGCTTCATTTTAGGCTTCTTCTCCACTGCTGTTCATCATGTGATGTGGAAACTGATCAGACATAATTTAATCCTGGTTTATTTTCCAAAACACAGCAGCAGCAACAGAGCAACTACGGATTGCTTCTCTGCTAGATGTAAATTATATTTTCCCCGTGTCTAGGTCAGATCAAGATCTGTATAAAATAAAGCATTAAAAATGAAAATAAAAGTTATAAACTATTATGACCTCAATAAAAAAGTGAACAGAAAAATGGAAATGTAAGCACACAATTTTCTAATTGAAATACAGGGAATGGGATATGCAGCATCTGACATAATTTAACTGTTTTGGTTTTAAGCTCAAAATAATTAAATCGATGTTGGCTTTTAAAAATACAAATTGGAGGCTGACTATGAAACAAAAACAACATATTTAAACAACTATGCCAAAATTAAAATCAAAGGGAGTTCTTGACAATATTTCTCAGAATCAGTTGGGATGCTTGCTTTAAGAAAAGGAAGTTCAAGGCCTCCCCCCAGACTAAGGCATCAGAATCTGTGGGAGGGCCTTTTTGAACAAGCTCTCCAAGTGTTTCTGAGGCCCCTCCGAAGTCTACTCTCACGCTCACCAGGCCTTCCCAGGAGTTCGCTGAAACTGCTAAATTGGATCTTCCACAATCACTCCATGGGAGTTTGCAACACAATTCCTTTCCGGAGTATCCCACCTCATTGCTTTTTTTGGGTGATGTTTCCTTTAAATTGTGATGCTCCAAACCAGCCTGATCTAATCTCTGTGCATTTCTCAATAGGAACAAAGTCAGAAAACAACTGACTGAGGACCCTACTATAGGCACATCTATTTTTCCATTAGAACTACACTAAAAGCTTCAAAATTTCGACTCAAAGTGAGAGGCAAAATAAAATGAGCAAAATATCTGAATTATGGAAATATTTTTAAAACAATAATAACCTTAAAAAACAGACATTCTAATCAGAGCTAGGCCTGATTCTTTTATGTACTGAACTAATTAACCCTCCAAAATTTGGGGTTATTTCTAAATTTGATAGGCATTTCTTTCACATCTTTTTTATCTACATCATGGATAAAAAATGTTAACAAGGTCAGCTCCTAGGACAGAACAACCCCTGTGCCATTCCACTCCAGACCATTCTCCAGGGTTACCACAGATCCATTACCTTCACACTCTCTGAGCATATTTGTTCAGTTAGGTGGTCAATTTACCCATCATAATTATAATCTTATTTCTCTATGAGACATCCTGGGAAATTTTGCTACATATTTTAATGAAATTAAGGTATATAATTTGACACCTTGACATTCTAGCCTATCCTAGGAGAAGAAGAAGAAAAAAGGAAGAGGAAGAGGAAGAGAAGGAAGGAGGGAGGGAGGAAGGAAGGAAGGAAGGAAGAAGAGGGAAGAAGAGAGGAAGAAAGGAAGTCAGTTTGGCATGATGTTTGTGTATGTGTGTGTGAGGAAGACTGGCTCTGAGCTAACATCTGTTGCCAATCTTCCTCTTTTCACTTGAGGAAGATTATCGCCGAGCTAACATCTGTGCCAATCCTCCTCTACCCTGCATGTGGGACACTGCCACAGCATGGCTTGATGAGTGGTACGTAGATCTGTGCCCAGGATCCGAACCAGCGAACCCAGGGCTGCTGAAATGGAGAGTGTGAACTTCACCACTATGCCACCAGGCTAGCTCCATTGGCATGATTTTTAATAACAGAATCACAGAAGTTTAACGATGGGAGAGACCTTTAAAACTACCTGGAATTTACAGAGTGCAAGAAAGTTAAGCAACTTGCCTAATGTCATATAGACAAACTGGTTGTCAAATTTTGTTGCATATTAGCATCACCTGGGGAGCTTTTAAAACTCCCAATGCTCAAACAGCACCTCATTAAACCAGAATTTGGGGGGGGGCAGTTTAAAAAATACCGATGCCTGGGTCCCATCCCCAGAGGTCCTGATGTAATTGGTATTGAGTAGGGGTTGGGCATCAAGATTTTGTAAAGCTCCCTAGATGATTCTAATGCGCAACAAAATTTGACAACCTCTAATAAAGAAACCGTTTTAGCAAACCCATGATGATGCCTAATGATCATCAGATTTTCCTCTAAATGCTTTGACTCCATCTGTTTGGAACAGAATTTTTCCAGAGGTCACATCAGGCTTATAAGTCTGTGGCTTCTGGTATCTACTCTTTTGTCATCTCTAAGAATGAGAAACTATTTACCAATCGCCTGCCTTCTCTCCAAACTCAGAAATTTCTCAAAGGTTATCTGCAGTGCCTATGAGAACACATCTGCTGGGTTCTTCACCACCCTTTGAAGTAGTTCATCTACTTCTAGCGAGCTTCTCCAATTGCCTAGATTAGTGCTCTCCAACATAAGTAGCACAAGACTTACCAGGGCAGATTATTCAAAAACTGCAGACTCCCAATGCAGACTGCCAATACTTGGATTCAAGCAGTCTGGGAGGCCTGGAAATCTGCAATTAAAGTGCACCCTTCAGGGGACTTCGACGCAGGCACTCCCCATATCTCAGTTTGAGAAACATCGCTCTCCATATCTCCCTTGGGCTTCCCCTCCATCTATATGCTATTTTTTCTACCCCTTTTTATGAGTACGCAAGAGCCGGGCATTGAGTAGGCAACAAACACTGATTCAACAATAAGAAGTGATACGCAGATGGTCCCCAACTTAAGATGATTTGACTCACGATTTTTCAACTTTACAATGGTGCAAAGGTGATATGCATTCAATGGAAACCGGACTTCGAATTTTGAATTTGGTCTTCTGCCAGGATAGCAATGTGTGGTCTGATCTTCTCTGGTGACGCTGGGCAGTGGCTGGGAGCTGCAGCTCCCAGTCAGCCCCACGATCACGAGGGTAAACAACTGATACACCTACAACCATTCCGTCCCCATACAACCATTCTGTTTGTCACTTCCAGTACAGTAGTCAATCAATTACATGAGATATTCAACACTTTACTATAAAACAGGCTCTATGTTAGATGATTTTGCCAAACTGTAGGCTAACATAAGTGTTCTGAGCACGTTTAGGGCAGCCTAGGCTAACCTCTGAGGTTCGGTAGGTTAGGTGTAGTAAATGCACTTTCAGTTTACAATATTTTCAACTTACGATGGGTCTATCGGGATGTAACCCCATCGTAAGTTGAGGAAGACCTGTATTTCAAACTTGATTTTCTTTCTCCAGAAAAAAAATTAAGCAATATGTTTCCAAAAGCATTTGGTTCTCAGCTACCTCTCAGTTAATTCATTACACAACAAACAAAATTCCACAAAAAAGATTCACTAGGAACTAAAAAGTATCAAACTTGAGTATATTTCTGCTAGACTGTAAGCTCCATGGGTATCTTTCTTTCTAAATACTCCCTGAATCTCTGCCACCTACACAGTACCTTTCACACAGCAGGTGTTTGATAAATGCTACATGAATGAATGGATAAAAGAGTGAACATTTCTAAACCAGAGTCATTTTCAAAATTGTTAAAAGCCATTATTCGTCCATCATTTTGGGTACAGATATGTGCCATTTGATTACACAAAAGCCTTTTATTAAACCAGAAAATGGGTAGTACCTATACACCCATTTTTAAAGAAAAATTTTAAATCATGATGGAAAGAAATGAGAATTGTTCTAGAATTATTTGGTTATTAGAAAAAATAATTTGCTATTAGAATTTTTACATTATTAAATAATTATTAAGCAAGTTATTTTTAAACTGTTTTTCTCCCTCAGGTAACAGGTCCAAAAAAAAAAAAGAGCTCATTTTACTTCTCACCAAAACAAGGGCTGGTTAAGACCAGGTGCCACTTACTAGTCCCACAACTGCCCAACCTAGATGGTAATCACCTACTTAAAGGCAGAGAGGGAAGCAAGTTTTTACAGGTGTGTGTGCCTTTGAGGACATCTCTAGCTGGCTGCAAAGCTGATAAAAATGATTTGGGGATTTTCCATCATTGGGAAAAATCTCGGCTTCTTCCAGTTCCCGCCCTGTGTCTGCATTAGAAAAGCACTTAGCGTACCAAAGAAGTCTCTCAAGAAACGATTCCCTGGGGCCTGAAAGGGATTCTCCAGCCCAAAAGGTGGAGAGTTTCTGCAGTGTTCACAAAGACCCAAGGATGCCAGAGTCAGTGACATGAACCACTGAAAAGGTGGATCTTAGCAAAAAAAAAACTTGAAACTTGCCCAGTGCTGCTGCCCCCACCAATATATACCAAGGATAGCTTTAGAGCACAAACATAAAATAGTGACTCATCATTGGTACTCACTCCTAATCTGCAAAAGGATAGGCTTCTAAGGCTTCTGTTAAAAGGTTTTCACTGCGTGTGTGTGTCAGGGGATAAGAGGGGATAATTGGAGGGTGGAACTGTTTGATGATCTTCAATTCTTTTCATCCTAACCACTTTGCATTTCCCAAGGTGAAAATAAAGGAAAGAACAAAAGATGGCCCTTGGAGCCAACCTAACCTCGGCCATCAAGCACACTCCAAGTGCTAGCCCAGCCTCCGCAAATTGTTCTTATTCATTCTTAACTTTATTTTATTTCAAAGTGCATCTCTATTGAACTCCCACACCTTGGCTCAGCCACCTTGACCTTGATTCCGCCTCTGGCATTCTAGATGTGAATTGTGTGGTTTCCTCTGTTAGAAACTCAGCTTTTCCTAGAGATGCTGGCTTTTGTGAGAAATTTCTACTCTAGCTCTAGCCCTGAGGAGCCCAAATCTAGAAGGCATAGGCATTCAACTGGCACCGCACCCCAGCCCCCAAAGTGGGAGTTAGATAGGCAGGTCTAATTCTTGCCCCTCGGACTGTGTAGACAAGAACATGGAGAACAGATACCTCTCCAGGCTCCCCTGCTACATTCTCTTTGGTATTCAACAAAACAAGGATTCTACAGTCTGATGTCTGTCGCCTAAATATAAGTAAGGGGCACAGAGTGGGGTAGAGGAGTCCCTGGCAGACTACACTAAAGAGGCCCCTTCCATCACCACCTTTCCAGGAGAACACTGTAGCACTTGCTTGTGACTGGGGTCTTAAATGAATAAGTCACAGTTCAGTGACTGAACTGGTGACTCTTCCTGGGTCTCATGAGATGAAAGGATAAGAAAAGGGAGGGACACTACTCAGCCATAAAAAAAGACGAAATCATCCCATTCATGACAACATGGATGGACCTTGAGGGTATTAGGTTAAGCGAAATAAGCCAGACAGAACAAGATAAACACCAGATGATTTCACTCATATGTGGAAGATAAACACATGGACAAAGAGAACAGTTCAGTGGTTACCAGGGGAAGGGGGCTGGAGGAAGGACACAGGGCATGAAGGGGAGCACTTATATGGTGATGGACAAGTAATAATGTACAACTGAAACCTCACAATGTTGTAAGCTATTATGAACTCAATAAAAAAAAAAAAGAAAGAAAGAAAAGGGAGGAACTACCTACCCCCGGAAGGTGTCTGAGGGCATCTGTTGCTATATCAGACAGGATTGTAATCAGGAGGCAGCTTGGCCTGATGCTAGATTTTCCAAAGTGTGTTTGTGGAAGAGTACTTGTATGTGGTTTATGATTCTAGGGATAAGGCAAAAAAGGACCCACCATCAAATAAGTTCAGGAGAAGTAGGATTAAACAGGTTTCTTTACAGCAGGATTCCTCAGAGCCTTCAATATGTTAATATGCATCTCTAATATGAAACTCTAAGAGCTATAGTGTCCACTGTTTCCCAAAGAGCCTAGCAGGCACCCTTTTGAGGTAAAGCATCTCCAGAATATCTGTTGTTTCTAACTGCCTAACCCTGGCCCAGAGGAGCCTAGGGTTTAGAAGTCAAACAAACCAGAGTTTAAATTCTTCTCAGCTTCTTGATTCCTCTGCACCTCAGTTTTCTCATAAGAAAACAGGGATAATAATGCACACCTTACAGACTTGTACTGAGGACTAATGAGGAGCTCAGTGGTGGAAAAAACCAACTTCAACAAAGAGTAATTCTTCTCAGCTGATGAGTTAGGAGGGGCCATGCCTGGGCGGGTACCCACCGTGGTAGAAGTGTTGAAATGAAACTTGTGTTTGCTCAAATCTCTTCCTTCAGAAGGTGTTATCTCGGCCCTCCCAGAGACTAAACCCTTTGGGTATCTACCGGTTCAGGGATAATTGTAGATTCACAAAGAAAGGGACTCTTTTACCCTGAGAGCACTAAGATTGGAAAGAATACTATATGAATAATAATAATAGCGAAGAACCACTCTTTATTAAGGGACTACTATTTACTCAGCACAGTGGGTGCTTTATATTTCTATTATTCCAGTTAATTTTCACAGCAACCTTCGGGTGGTATCATCACTCCCATATTACAGATAGGAAACTGAGACTCAGAAATTAAATATCCTACTCCATGGCACAGCTGATCAGTGGCAGAACTAAAGAGCCACTCTGCTTAATGATTAAAGAACAAAAATGTCCGTCCACTAGAAGGTTAGCTACGCCTTGGTTTCAGGACCCAATGTGGTCAACCTATGTAAGCACTAAATCACTAAAGAAAATTCTTGAACACTGCAAGGAATTCAGTTTCGCTTTCTTACAGATAGATGGAAACCCTGTGGTCCCCTAAGATAGCAAGAGGCCAAGGGAGCTAAAGGAAGATTTCTGAACATGAAACTGTGTAGCGGGGTTTGGGGAAGGGCCTAGAAGGGTCTCTCAAAGTATTCCTTCCCTCATTTTCTAGCTCTCACCCAAGAAACCACAGAGTTTTTCCAAATACCGAGTTCATTTGAAATAGGCCACAACCCTTCAGATTGCAAAGTCATCTAAATACATTTTTAAGATGATGACAATTTGCAATCAGCATCTTTGAGAAAAATCATTCCGAGAAATTGCAAAGCAATAAAATCAGCTCCGAGAAGTGCATGTTCCCTGTTCTGTTGCTACACAATATATGTTTATGATGTAGACTTCTGCTTGCCCCAAATACCTAAGAACAAATAAATGTATTACCTGTTTCTTCTGCTTGGCCAATGCAGAGGTTTTTCCTCACCTCAGGTGTTTCAAGAGAAACAAAAATGAGAAAAAACCTTCTCTATGAGGGATGCAGAGGTCTGAAAGAGAAGAGGTACAATTCCAGTTCTCTCTGGAGCACCACCCCTACACACACACACACACTCCACACATCTCACACCTCTGCAGTTCTCTGCAGAGAGAGCTCTTGCTTAAATAAATCAAGAAGTAAATACACACACGTACACAAAGAAATAACTCGAACATGCCCCAGCTGCTTTGCCTTTCAGCCTGGAAGGCGAGCCCCGAGCAGCAGATCCGGGAGAGGCTGGACTGGCCCGTGAGCCGCAGCTGTCTGCCCCAACCCTGCCCTGTTCTGGGCTAGGAGATAAAGGGATGCTCTCAAGTAATGGGCTGAGGTCACATGACTGCTTCCAAGGGGACCAGGCTCTGTACAAGCAGGACCAGGCTGCTGTTTGCATAAATAATCTGCATCAGTACAAAATACAAAATGAATTTTGGTAAATAAGAGCAGAAGAGCACTCAGTGGCTGACTCTTTAGGTCAACCAAGGATGATTTTTAGGGAACGTTACAGTAACCTGGGTACGATTAAGAGAAGGAAGTGAAAAAACAAAACATTCCTCTTTAGGACTTGAACAGGCATGGGTTTAAGGGAGCAGCTGTTGGGTGCTGTGCTGCCAATTCATTTATATGATGTTTTTATTCCTCCAGCTATTCAATCGGCTGCTTGTTGGAGAACCTGTCTGTGAGAGGGAGATTCACCTCTCTTCATCAGCAGAAAAGAAAAACGAAAGTTGACCTGTAATTTTGCAGAGTTTGAGAAGGAAGAAGGGGAAGACATTTGAAAAATCGAAGTGCCAGTGTCAGTACTGGATGCCACCAGCCACAGTTCTGCTGTCTTTCGAGGCAATCCAGAGGTGATCTTGTTCCCAGAGTCTCACATTGACTGTAGCTGCACCGACAGCAATTTTCCTCCCAAACTCTTCCCAGCTGGTTACATAGTATATGCCTTTTCGAGCTTACTGGCCTTAGGCACCTTGAGCTGGGATTTCAAGAACTTCAGCCATCATCATTTCATAACCCCACCCAAGCTGCTCTTTAGCCAATTCCTTTCTGCAATTGAGAGCCACAGGAGATCCAGTAAAGTGGTTACCTAGCTTGCTATTTAATCTAATGGAGTCACTTTAAAAATAACTGGAAAGGCAGCCCTGGGCTTCTGTAATTCTATTAGCATATTAAATATTATCAGAGGGCCTCATTATGAGGCAATACAGCTGTACAGGTTTCCATGGCAGGGACTCTAAGACTAGGACCTGATAAGGCCACCATGCACATTGCAAATGATAGCATAATTACCCAGGCTTCTGAAAACTAATGGACAATGTCGCTATATGGCTGGGTTTCCGGCCAGATGCCTATTCAGTCCACAGTGATTAAATGATGGCTATGTCCAGATACAGTTGTTCAAATGTCTCCTCTGTGTGAAGCCTTTCCTGAATCACCAAGGGGGAGTTAGTCCCTCTGCCTTCTGGCTCTCAAAGCCATGTGTGTGTCCAATTATAAAGCTTCCCAAAGTGCACTGTAATTTGTCCTTTTACATGTGAAATCCTGAAGGATAAGGATCCATTTCATTCCTCTTGGCATCCCCAGCACCAAATGTATAAGAGGTACTCACCAAATATTTGTTTAATCACAGAAAGAAAGGAAAGGAGGGAAAGAGCTCGTGATTTAGGTGGTTGTTTTAATGGCCAGCCTCTGGACCATGAATTGGATTGGTTGTGCCCTTTATGTGACTTGTCTAAAATTTAGAATTTGCTTAAAATGAAGAACTTCACTGTATCTTCCCATTGTACAAAGAACGCTAAAGTGTTACTTCAAGCACCACAAAGAGTTCTATAGCCAGCCTCCAACTGCTAAACGAACCAGCACTGATGTATGTGAATAAATCACAATGATAACATTTATTGAGCACTTACTATGTTCTAGGCACTTGTAAATTTTACATGCTAATCTTATTTAATCCACACACCATCCTATGAGGTACAGTAGTCCCCCCTTTTCCAAGGTTTTTCTTTTCACGGTTTCAGTTACCCGCAACCACTGTCCAAAAATATTAAATGGAAAATTCGAGAAATAAACAATTCATAAGTTTTAAATTGCATGCCATTCTGAGTAGCCTGACAAAATCTTGCGCCATCCCACTCCGCCCCACTTGAGACATGACTCATCCCTTTGTCCAGAGGATCCACGCTGTATGCATGACCTGCCCGTTAGTCACTTAGTAGCTGTCTTGGTTATCAGATCAACTGTCATGGTATCGCAGTGCTTGTGTTCAAGTAACCCTTATTTTACTTAATAATGGCCCCAGAGCACAAGAATAGTGATGCTGGCAATTCGGACATGCCAAAGACAAGCCATAAAGTGCTTCCTTTAAGTAAAAAGGTGAAAGTTCTCAACTTAATAAGGAAAGAAAAAAATGGTACACTGAAGTTGCTAGGATCTATGGTAACTTTTACTCCAGTATACTGTTATAATTGTTCTATTTTATTATTAGTTACTGTTGTTAATCTCTTACTGTGCTTAATGTATAAATTAAACTTTATCATAGGTGAGTATGTATAGAAAAAAATAGTATATATAGGGGTCAGTACTATCCACAGTTTCAGGCATCCACTGGGGGTCTTGAAACATATCCCCCAGGGATAAGCGGGGACTACTGTATATACTATTATTATCCCTATTTACACATTGGGAACTATAGCCTGAAGTCAACCAACAAATGAGGAGCAGAGCTGGGATTTGAACCCAGACACTTTGACTCTAGAACCCCTACTTATGATCATTACACTATATTGCCTTGGTCAGCACCTTGTGTGGCTGCAAAATGAAAGTTCCAGCCTCTTCTCAAATGTTTTCTAGCTTTCCTCCAGCTAAGCAGGGATGTGTTCTCTCAGCCTGAGAAAAGAAAAAATAATGGGCAAAGTAATGTTAACAGTTCTAAACTCACTCATTAACAGACTTATCTCCCTAACAGTCAAGGTGGGTCAATTTATCTCTCAATGGGCACACCATCATATGAAAACAGCCAATAGGTCAGGTGAGAGTTCAACTACCCCCTCAGGGAAGGCCATGGCAACACCAGGTCCTCCTTAGATAAGACGCCTTGTGCTCTTCTATTCAATTCAACACATTTTTTTTCCAAAGATTTTATTTTTTCCTTTTTCTCCCCAAAGCCCCCCAGTACATAGTTGTATATTCTTCGTTGTGGGTCCTTCTAGTTGTGGCATGTGGGACGCTGCCTCAGCATGGTTTGATGAGCAGTGCCATGTCCGTGCCCAGGATTCGAACCAACGAAACACTGGGCCGCCTGCAGCGGAGCGCGCGAACTTAACCACTCGACCACGGGGCCAGCCCCTCAATTCAACAGATTTTTATTGAGCACCCCCTATGTGGGAGGCACTGTGCTGAGGGACGGAAATTGTGAACAAGGGGCCGGTCCCTTGGCCCAGTGGTTGAGTTCGTGCACTCCACTTTGGCAGCCCAGGGTTTTGCCGTTTCAGATCCTGGGCACAGACCTAGCACACTCATCAGGCCATGTTGAGGTGGTGTCCCACATGCCACAACCAGAGGGACCTACAGCTAGAATATACAACTATGTACTGGGGGGCTTTGGGAAGAAGAAGAAGAAAAAGAAAAAAAAAAGAAGATTGGCAACAGATGTTAGCTCAGGTGCCAATATTTAAAAAAAAGAAAAGAAAAAAAGAAATTGTGAACAAAATGGGCATGAAGTAGGGCAAACACATAGGTAAATAAGAAATTAAAATAAAATTACAAATTAAATCTGTCTCCCCTATTGGAATATAAGCTCCAGGTACCTAAAACAGTGCCAGGCACATCATAGATATTTATTAAATGAGTAAATGAAAGCAATACAGTATGACAAAATCTCTAATAGGACAGGTAAGGGGGACAGAGAAAGAGCCCTATGCCACAAACGGGATGAAGGTAGGCTTTCTAGAAGAAGTGATGCCCCTGCTGAGACCTGAGGATTGAGCAGCCAGAAGTTAGGAGTTAACCAGAAGAAAAAAGGTGAGGGAAAGAAGAGGGTGTTCTTGTAGATACGTATATTTTGCAGTACTTAACCAGGATGTGAAATGGGAAAGGTAAAATAAAAATCAGAGCAAACTGAGTTCCTAGTTATAATGCTGCAATTAGGCTTACAAGCAGGTCGAGAAAAGCGTTTGTCTGCTGTGGTTGAAAAAGGGCAGCCCCTGCACCTCTGCAGCCTGGATTTACTCTTTCTTGGCTGCCTCGGCTGTCTTTCCTTTCTCACTTCCCCACTCCCCTACTGGGTTTGCTTTCACCCTCCAGATAAACTTGCTCTCAAATACTTGTCTCAGTGTCTACTTCTGAGGGAACCCAAACCAGAACACTCAGTTAGTCTGTAGTAGGAGCAAGCTATGGAAAGGCAGAGGGGAATGGAGATGGCTGCTTACCTCACAAGGAAGAGACTGGGCATTGCAGGAAAACCTCTCCTGTTTCACAAGCTTCCTAGAGCTGGCCACAGTTCCAATTTCTCCCAAAGAAAAGTAATTCTAACAGGCAGCTCCGACATACACTGGGGGGTATGCTAGAATCTAGGCAAAGCAGCTGGATTTGGGAAGAGACTGAAAAAAATGGTGTGTGCAGATCTGTTGGGTGGTGAGTACTTAAGGTGTCTGTGCACTCCTGGTCCCTGATACCTCAATGTCCTAGAGCACCAAAGGCGGGCTGGCCTCCCAGCTCTGGTGCTGGGGCCAATGGGAAGCAACCACACCCACTCCCAGCTTCCTAACACCTGGTAGTCTCCAAAAGGGGGTACCTGCCCCACAGCAGATGCACAGAAGGTCTGCTGGACAGTAGAAAACAAAATATCAGAACTCATATTTTTATCTATTTTCTTATTCTTTTAGAATTTTCTATTTTCATGTACGTTTGGCAATGTACACAGTATATGAGTTCAGTAGTATTAGTTGTAAGTAAATAAATATACCTGTACTAGGGGTCTATTCTCAAAAAGCTTTTACTGTGAGAGGTTCATGATCAAAAACATTTTAAGAACCTTGATTTAAAGAGCCTGCTTCCTTTTGAAGAGAGGGAAGGAATACCAAGTAACTTTACATTTCAATAAAGAAAAAGGATCGAGCATATTTCCAGAGATGAGTTCTGGGTATTGAAACACCACATTAAGGAGCCGGCCTGGTGGCATAGTGGTCGAGTTCGTGTGCTCTGCTTCAGCAGCCCAGGATTCATAGGTTCAGATCTCGGGCACAGACCTAGCACTGCTTGTCAGGCCATGCTGTGGTGGCATCCCACATAAAATAGAGGAAGATTGGCACAGATACTAGCTCAGAGACAATCTTCCTCACAAAAAAAAAAGAAAAGAAAAACCACAGTAAGTACGAGGAAAGAGAGGCTAGATTTGGAAAGTTGTTAAAAGAAATAAAAGGTGGGTTACAAGTCACTATCAGGTGAAAGAAATTCATAAAGGCCAGTGCTGGCCAGATGTGTCTGTTGGGGTCACCTTGTCAGCAGCCACAACGACAGGCTGAAACAGCTGTCACGTGTTGAAGTTTATAAGTTTGGCTTTGAAAAGGCTCCATCTTGGGTACAAAAGTTGTGCTTTCCATGGTTGTGATTTAATAAATAGAGGATTAGTAGATATTAGAATTTAAATTTTGACCACTGCTTAGTCTAACCCTAGCTTGGTCCTAGATGGCTTGAGCTTAAAAAAAAAATCTCCTTCAATTAACCCTGAATGTCCGTAAATCAAATCAATAAGCTTCACAGAGAGTTCCGGCCTGGGTAAGATGGAATAAGGACACTCTACCCACTCTACCCTGTCCCTCCCATTGATTGAAGCTATAAAAGCCGTACAGAATCCAGGGAGCAGCTATCTGAGGACTGTGGCAGGCAGACACCAACATGGTCCCCAATGATCCCCAACTCCTGGTATTCACGCCCTTCTGTAATCCCCTTCCTTTCACTGTAAGGCTGGACATAGTGACTGACTCCTAATCAACAGAATATGGCAAAGGTATTGGGATGTCACTTCTGTGACTAGGTTATAAAAGATTGTGACCTTCTGTCTTGCTAGCAGACTCTATTGCCTTTGCAACTCGTGTGCTTTTGATAAAGTAAGCCGCCATGTTGGAGAGGCCCACATGGCACCGGACTGAGGGAAGTCTGGCCAAAAGGCAGAAAGGAACCGAGGCCCTCCGTCAAACAGACCTCAAGGAACTGAATCCTTCCAACAACCACGTGCGCTTGGAAGTAGATCCTTCCCCAGTTAGGCCTTAAGATGCCTGCAGCCCAGCCAGCACCTCGACTGCAGCAGCTTGTGAGAGATCCTGAAGTAGAGGACCCGTGTAAGACACTCCCAGATTCCTGCCCCGCAGAAGCTGTTGGATAATTATGTGTATAAGCCGCTAAGTTTTTTAGTAATTTGTTACACAGCAATAAATAAGCCACACGAGGACTCTGAAAAGTAAATAGCAGAAGGCAGATTAAGGAAAAAGATCAGAGTTTGAAGCATCACCAAACTGCTGATGAGTTGACCAATTTTTTCCACCCAGTTCCCCCTGGATTCAAGGAAGCAGAAATTCAAATTAAAACCACAATGAGGGGCTGGCCCCGTGGCCGAGTGGTTAAGTTTGCGCGCTCCGCTGCAGGCGGGCCAGTGTTTCGTCAGTTCGAATCCTGGGCGCGGACATGGCACTGCTCGTCAGACCACGCTGAGGCAGCGTCCCACATGCCACAACTAGAAGAACCCACAACGAAGAATACACAACTATGTACCGGGGGGCTTTGGGGAGAAAAAGGAAAAAATAAAATCTTTAAAAAAAAAAAAAAAAACCACAATGAGATAATACTGCACACCTATTATAATGGTTTAAAAAAATTCTAAATACCCAGTGCTGGCTAGGACGCAGAGCAACTAAAACTTTCATACTTTGCTGGTGGGAATGCAAAATGGTACAGCCACTCTGAAAAATAGTTTGGTAGTTTCTTATAAAGTTGAACATACACTTACCATATGACACAGCAATCCTACCCCTGGGTATTTACTTTAGAGAAATGAAAGTTTATATTCACACAAAAACCTGTACACAGGTTCATGTGGTCAAATACTGAAAACAGCCCAAATGTCCTTCAATGGGAGAATGGATGCACAAACTGTAGGATATCCATACATTGAAACGCCACTCAGCAATAAAAAGGAACAAACTACTGATCCCCACAACCTGGATGAATCTCAAAGGCATTATGCTGAGTGAAAGGAGCCTGATTTAAAAGGTTGCGTACGTTTATATGACATTCCCGAAAAGATAAAACTATATGATGATGGAGAACTGATCAGTGGTTGCCAGGGTTTACAGGTGGGGGAGGGTATGACCACAAAGGTAGAGCAAGACGGAGTTCTGGGGGGCAATGTTCTGTAGCCTGAATAAGGTGGTGGTTACGCTAATCTATCCATGTGTCAAAATTCACAAAACTATAACAACAAGCTGATTTCACTGTACACTAATTTAAAAATACATTTTTTTAAAAGCTTCAGAGCTGGCTCTGGTTTAGTGCCTTTGGGTCTGCAGATATTAAGTCCCCACGGGCGGACTTTGACTGCCAAGGACCTTCCTAAATCACAGCCAGAAGCAGTGTCTTCTGCTGTAAACTATGAGCACTAAGGAAAACACTTGCCCTTCCCTCTGACTTCACTTTTAGCTCTCTATCCCTGGGCAAAACTCAAAACACAGAGATCCCAGTCAGAAAACGCACCCCATCCATTCTTTATTCAACAAGTACTTACTGAGCATGTTCCAGCGATGAGGCAGGGATAGAAGGATGAATACATTCTGATTCATTTCCCTACCAGGTTCATAGTGTAATGAGGGACATGGTCTCGTCCACAAATAATCTCAAAACAGGAGGTGTAGGTACAGAGATACGCCCACGTTCTTTTGGAGTCCAGAAGGATATTAGCTCTGCTAGGGCAAGTCGGGAAATGTTCCATAGAGCCTGAAAGGTGAGGAAAGGCATTCCAGGGCGCACAGGAGCATGCTATAGTTGAGTAATGTTTCCTGAGACTGGGAGATAGAGGGTGTATAGAGCGGAGGATGGGGACGTGAACCAGGGAGGTAGATCGGTGCCAACTGTGATCATTCTTGTAAATCACAACAAAGTCAGACTTTAACCTGTCAGTCAGGGATTGCAATCTCAAATGCTTACATGGGCTAGGACAGATAATATAAATGAATAAGGCAGCCTGGGTGGAAACGATGGGACATTCTGGAGAGATTGTGTCTATATGAGGCAGCTGCTACTTACTGGTAGCTCCCTCTCAGGCTGCCATCCAGAAATGCTGGCCCAGTCTTGCCCGATGTAATTTTTCAAGAGAAGCTGAACATATTTTTATGTAAAATCTCCCTATTTTTAAATGTCGGTATATTTCTGCAAATTTGAAGATGCCATCGATTACAAGAAACATCATTATTTTATGTACCAATGAGAAAGAAAAAAGCCACCCATCAAATTATGACACTCCATCGATTTTAAGACACATTCCAATTTCAGAGGTGCTAAAATGTGAAAAAATGTGGATCTTAGAATCAATGAAGTGCAGTAATTCTCATTTTCTCAAAACACTATACAGACTCCATGGATTCAGCATGAGGCTGCCAGACTGCAAACTCTGTTTAAGTGAAGGGAAGCCTGAGGGTAATGTGATTAGATTTAAGCTTCAGGAAGATCTCTCTGAGGGTCAGATGGTGATGAACTGGGCAAAAGCCAGCCATAGGAAGACCAGTGAGGAAGCTCCTGCAACAATCCAGGAGAGAGATGATAAGGGCTGAATTAAAGCAGTGGCAGTGGGGATGGAGAGGAGGGGCCAAAGGTGAAAGCCCTTTAGGTAATAAACCCCACAGGCCCCCGACTGGGTAGAGGGAGTGAGGGAGACAGAAGCATCAAGAATGATTCCAAGGTTTCTAGCTTGGAATAATAAATGGATTCCTCACTTCTTCAACAATACTTACTGGGTATCTACCACGTGCCAGGCACTATGCTGGGCACTGAGGGTACAACAGTAGACAAGACAGACATGGTCCCTGCCCTCTTGTCATTCACAGTCTAGTGGGCAAGGTCATTAATTGCGGTACAGTGTGAATGGGTACAGGGGTAGGAAACGAAGGGGGACAGTATGTTTACAGTGGAGAAAAACAATGAGTTGAAATGTCCCATAGGCAGTAGACAATTGTTTAGAGTCCAGGAAATAAATCAGGTCTGTGGATTCTGATTAAATTGGTCAGCAGGTTACCGATAACAGCTGAGGTGATTAGAGAAGATAAAATAGCCAAGGCAAGCTTGTAGAGCAAAAAGGCAATAGGGGTAAAAGCAGAAGCGGGGGAATAGAGACATTTAAAGGGAATGAGGAGGAGGGAGCGAGCAAAGGAGACTAAACAAGGGACAATCTGGACAGGAAGGAGCCCAGGAGAGAGGAGAGTCAGCAACCCAAGGGAGACAGGTATTATCATCTAATCCAATATACCTTTATCTACAATTGCTGCACAGAAGTAATTTACCTTGGCAATGTACAATTCAGATTCTCAGAGCTATGGAGTTTTGCATGAACTCCAAATAGGCTTATCAGAACTGCTTCTTATTTAGAGAGCTGTGATATTTTTAAATATTGCCACAATCTGTTCCTTTAGCTTGTATGTGCTGGCGTTTTGCACGTATTTCAGTTTGACATCTAGCATGAATCAATGGCAGAGCAATGGTAATTCCTTACCTCTTCTCTTCCTTCTGCAGGAGCCATAATCTGCCACTCCAAGACAAAAGTAAAACAAAGGATATACATTTATGTAACTCCCTCTCATGTCAAAGCACTGGGAATTGGGCACTTGACCTAGGCACAGATGGTAGAGTCCCCTTGCAAGATAATCATGAGGCTCTTGGCCCAGAGCTCTGTAACGGGTGAGGCTGTGATGCACAGTAAGATACTCTGGTCCTCTTGAGGGTATTATGTTAAGCGAAGTAAGCCAGATAGAGAAAGACAAACACTGTATGATTCCACTCACGTGTGGAAGATAAACAAACACATGGACAAAGAGAACTATTTAGTGGTTACCAGGGGGAAGGAGGGTGGGGAGTGGGCACAAAGGGTGAAGGGGCGCACCTATAAGATGACTGACGACTAATAACGTACAACTGAAATTTCACAATGTTGTAAATTATCATAACCTCAATAATAAAAAAAAAAAGATACTCTGGTCTACCAGACCTGTTCAGAAAGGCCCTTCACTTTATAGCAGAGGAAACCAGACCCAGAGAGGTTAGGTAGCCTCCCCAACATCACAGTCTTATGACTTGGTGGCCAGCACTCTTCCCACTACATCAAGGTGACCCAATTCTACCCTATAAAGATAGCTCCAATATAATAGATACTAAAGTATGATAAACTCTGTACACAAAACTTAAAGTCCACAAGAATTGGCCAAACAACTAAGCAAACAGAGGAAGAAGGTGAACTTTCAATCATGTTTCCATGCCTACCCAGATTTCATTCAGTCCATCTGCTCCTTTAAGAGTTCTTACCCTTCCCTCTAAGTTTTATCAGTCCACACAGGCTCCAGGAAAACAGACTCCTAGATCTTCACTTTGCTGGCTGCTGAATCTTTCAGCCTGATCTGTAGGCTCAGGACACAATCCATCATCACGCTTATAGGTCTTAAAGAGGAGTGCTCAGCCTCATCTGGAATTCTGCAGAGGTAGATTCTAGAATGATTCTTTAATAGGTTGCCTTGGCAACTCCACAATGCCAGATGCAGGTATGACAGTACCTGCCAACAGTAACGTGAATAATACAACCTGGATGAGAGAACCACTTCCTGCTTATTGGAAAGGCAGGTTCCAGGTTCTTCAAGCTTTCTTTTTGCCACCATTGCCTCCCTGTCAACCATTGTTGTGTTTATGAACATAGAAAACAAAGAACAGTTGGTTTCTAGAGGAATGTTGAAACCATTAACTAAAACAAGGCCTGGGAAAGATCCATGGCTTTCTTTTCAAAACCCTTGCTATTATTGCCTCAGATGACTAAGAGTTTATGGTGAAGCCCTTGGAAAAGTTTTTAGAGAATTTTCTCTAAGAGCACTTATTCTTGTCTTGGCTTTATTCATATATTCATTCTACAAATATTTGTTGAGCATCTATTGTGTGCCAGGCACTGTTCTACACCCTGGAGATATAACAGTTAACAGAACTGACAAGGTCCTTCCCTCACAAAGTTTATAGTCTAGTGGGGGAAGTAAACATTAATCAAATCATAAAAATAAATTAGGAAATTGCAAAGGAGAAGTACATGTATCATGAGAGCGAGTCAAGAGGTCAAGCAAAGGCTTCTCTGAGGAAGTAGCCTTTGAACTGACATCTGAAAGACAAATACTGATTAACTAGGTGAAGGTGTTGGCAGGGGGATAGAGTCAAGGACATACTGGAGTTAAGCCTCAGTGACCTGGAGTAGATAACTGGAACCTATGATTTGGGGACTTTCAAAGGAGAATCAAGGGTTTAATGTAGGTCTTAGTTTACTAAAGGTGAAGTCAGTATTTTCACCAATATTCCAAAGAATGCACAATCTGTGAGTCTCATTTATATAAAACTCTCTAAAACAGTATTTCTCAAACTTTAATGTGCTTATAAATCACCTGGGGATCTTCTTAAAACACAGATTCCTGGGCCCAGCCCCTGGAGGATCTGATGCAGTAGGTCTGCAGTAGGGCCCATGAATCTGTATTTCTAATAAACTCCCACGTGGTGGAGCATACTATGAGAGGTGCTACTCTACTGCACGGTCTGATTTTTATTTAAACCTCCATTTCTTTTTCAATCCACTCTTTAAAGTCAAACTATATTCTACAATGTTCTTGCGATTTTTAGGGTCAATTCAGTAGTATCAGCAGAACAAGAGAACGTTGTGATATAGAAATAAAACAATGCCATAAGCTAAAGACTTCAAATATTTGGAAAGAATGAGAGAAATAACAATTATAAGCAAACTGAGGTATCAGTAATGTGGTGAAACTTCATTAATTGACCGCAGTGAGGTGGACTGTCATTCTTAGTGAAAAGTCCAGTTTACAAAGCAGTTTTAAGGAAACATAATATAAATTAACTTGATGTAACTAAGGACAGGAAATTTCTATATGTTTAATGACTCTTTAACAGGTAGATAAGAGCTATTTGTAATGAACTCCTTCATATTTTGAATAAAGCTCTGGATTCTATATTACATGAGATAAAAGTAAGCTCCCTGTTCAGGTCTCTGTTTCTTAGTACTGAACACAATTCCCGATGCTTTGCCGTGTCCCCACTGGTGTGGCTACGTGAAAAGGACGCTATGAAAGCCAGATGGTGGGAGATCCAGGACTTCTCTGGATTGTTTTTCCTGAGAAGGCTGTGAAGTTAATATAGGTCCTGGAGCAGAGTGTTGTCCTTTTAAAAAATTAAAAATGAAGTCTCTGCACAGAAGAATAGGAGGATTTAGGAAAGGGGACCAGCAGTAAGTTCTTGTAATTTCAAAGAAATATCAGCTCTGCCACTTATGACCTGGGGAACTTAGGCAACTTATGTAACTTGTCCGAGCCTCTGTTTCCTCATTTTGAAAATGGGAATAATAATATTTAAATGGAATAATCTAACTGGAAAATTCTTAATAAAGTGCTAAACAGATATCAGCTACCATTTCTAGGAGAGACCTTCATTTCCTGAGAGGATACACATCCTCGAGAAGAAATGTAGTCTCCCCTGTGGGTCAGGATGTGTCTGGGAGCATACTAGAATCCGGTTCTAGAGTCAGATTGCTTCGGGTCATTTTCTAGCTCCAACGTTTAACAGCTGTGTGTGAGCTTGGGAAAATTACATAAGCTCTCTGTGCCTGTTTCTTAGAAAACTGGGACAGTAATAGTACCATCCACACTGGGTTGATCTAAGGAGTAAATGGGTTAAGACATATTGTGGCAGCCACTGATAGTTGCCTAACCAATAGCCATTCTCTCTTTCTTCCTTACCAATAAAACCCCAATTTTGTTCTAGGTGGCAATGGGCAAACAAAACTTGATTTGGTAGGATCCCTTGCAGGTAGGGGTAGTCATGTGACTCCCTTCTGGCCAATGAGATATAAACAGAAATCTACTGGCTGAGGCTCCCAGAAAAGCTATTTTCCTGATAAAAAGACAAGACTCACCGGCCTGAGCACTTTTCTCTTTGCCCTTCCCCCATTCTGCCTGGAACCAAGACCCAATGCATGGAGGAGGAGCAGCCCTCTTGTGCACATTAGGAAGAGAGCAAAAAGATGGAAGATGAGCCTGAGCCATGGATGACAATGTGAAGCTGCTTCTTTCCTGGCTTCACACCATATGAGATAAAAACCAACCTCTCTGTGTTACGTCCCTGCTATTTCACTGACCTTATTACATGCAGCCAAATACATTCTCCAACCAATACACTTGTAAAGTGGTTTGAGTGGTGCCTGGTTCATAGTTAGTAGTCAATAAATGTTAGCTATTATTATTATTATTTGCCCAGCCTTCTGTTCCCTAACCAAGTGGCTGTCAAGTATTCCCCTCAGTGCCTTGCAATAGTACCCCAATTTTCCTTTTGAAATCAACCCCCTCCCTACGCTCAGCCCTGCAGTTTGCATGGGATTCATACCACCCCCCACTCTTAGTGTGGGCCCTGATTGGCTTAAGCCAATTAGCACAGCCTAATTCCCCAGCAACAGTGACTATTCAGGGATAGCACACAACTCAGGCCTAAGGCAGTTAGCACACCCTCTTCTCCCGGCAAAAGAGAGGGTTCAGATGGGCATGTAGCTAAAGACAGGCAATATGAGTGAACCTCGGGGCTCCCGGGAAGAGCACTGGGACATAGTCTCAGTCTTCTCCCCCAAGTGTGGTGCTCTGAGCAAGGCTGTCATCATGAGGAGAGCCAGTGTGGGGGCTGCAATCGATACATGGAGAAGGGCAGACCCAGAGAAGGGCGGGGAAATGGAGCTGGAGCTCTCCATCATAAATTTCTGGATGAAATTTTACCTTTGGAATTTTCAAGTCAGATTCATTCGAGACTGGTTTCGCTAACTCAGTTTGGGTTGACTCCTCTGTCACTTGCAACCACAAGGTTCCTTCTGATACTGTTAGATGAAAACAAGAATAATTGAATGTAAGGATTATAGACCTAGAGAGGAACTTTTCAAACTCTGGTCTAGTGCATCTATTTAATGGAATCTATAGTCAAGTACAACATAAATTCATACCCAAATCAGCTTTCCAAAAGAAAAGAACAGCAATAAAATCTACAATGTGCAATTGTGTAAATTCATTCAAATTTCTCTTCCAAAAGAAAAAAACTCAGCCAGTTGAAAGTGTTTTGTTTTCATTTTTTGTAAACACATCCAGGAGAACTCCTTTAAGACTAGATGTGCATCTGGGTTTTAGAATGAACGTTGGACCCAGAGGCAGACACTGGAAACCTATGACTACTACTGAAATAATATTCACAGACAGTTGTCATGGCAGCCTGCTCGTTCTGCACAAAATAGAACCCACTGCATTTTAACAGGATTTAGCAGAGGAAAGCTGCTAGCCTGCAGACAGACTCTAACTGAGTTAAGCTACTAATTGGTTTTGGTTTTATTATTATATAATGCCTTCAGACTATAATTGTATCCCAAAAAATCACAAATACTTAAAATCATTAATAAAGGCACATAATGATTTTTGTTTAACACTGGCATCACTCTTGAAATCTTCCCGTCAGACTCTGAGGAACAGCGTGGAGGCGAGTCCTGTGGTGTGCACACTTGAATCCACTTGTAAATCTAAAGAAGACAGTAAGTGTTGAGGAAGTAGAGGGAGTAACCAATTTCATTTCTGTCACCAATTAGCACTGCCTGGATGCTGCTCTCAGATATTTCCTTTTAAGTGGGGCTCTGTAGGAGTGGGGAGTAGCCAAGTTGTTCTGTGCTCAGTTACACAGTCCCAGGGGAGTGACTTTAGAAAGTGGAGGCATCTCAAGACATAAATAAGGGAGGGAGAGACAAAGTGCTTTTCTGTTTCCCTCTTGAGTGGCTATCTCATCAAATCTAAGCTCACTGAATGTGACTGTGGGTGCTTTGGAGATTACAGATAGCTGGTGTTTGAGAGGAAGACCACAGAGGCCATCTCTACTATTAGAAAGGTTTTCACATATCACCCTACTCCCCTCTCCCCTCTGCCTTCCCCTCTTTTGAGTTTCCTCTTTAAGAGAGAGGAGACAGGGTCTAATCCAAATCCAATAGCGTCGTAAATTAGGAAAACCACATCAAGCCATTATCATCCATTAACATCTTGGAACAAATAAGTCCTTTGGGTAAACTAATGTTCTTCAGACTCCTTGACATGGGGCCATGTCATATACTTTTTTTTAAACTCCCACACTGTCCCACACTGTGCTCCTAGACATACGGCCGGCATGCGACATAAACAACTTTAATCAGGGGACAGGAACACAGGGCAGTTCCTCAGTAGCTGGTGGGCAGATTAAAGACATCATCAAAATGGGACAGGAGACAGCTAAGGGCAAGAAATGTGGAAATGTTGAATCAGAGGGATTGTATTTTCTTTCATGTAACTGAAACTCCCACTAAACAATGGTATTAAAAACTAGGGGTTTTGTTTTTCTCATGTAACAAGGAATCTGGAAGTAGGAAATCTAGGGCTGGAACCCAGGCACCTTCCTTCTTTTAGCCAAACCATGTCGCTTTCTTCTTCAAAATTGTCAACTCATGGTCACAAGATGGCAGCTTTACATCCAGCATCACATTTGCATTCCAGGCAGAAAGTGAAGGACTGAGGGGAAAATGGGACATACCAGGTGAGTCTACCTCCTTTTAAAGAAATAGCTTTGGAAGCCCACCTACTTCCATACATCTCATTGGCCAGAATTTTCACACAGTCTCTTCTAGCTGTAAGGCAGCTTGGGAAATCAAGCTGTTTTAGCTGGACACATTGCCAAATCAAACAAAATCAGGCAGTGCAATGTAGAGGTTAAATATAGCCTATGGTGCCAGATGGCCTGGGTGTAAAATGCAGCTCCTTCATTTACTAGCTGTGTGACTTACTCAAGTTACCCAATTATTCTGTGCCTTGGTTTTCTCATGTGTAAATTCAGCAAGATACTAGTACCTTTCTCACAGGGTTCTTGTGAGGATTGAATATGAATAAAGGGTTTAGAATAGTCTTTGATACATAAGTCTTAAACAAGTGTTTATTCTTCTAATTTTTATTATTGAGGAAAAGAAGAATGGATATTAGACAAGCAACTAGCAGTGTCTGCCACAGATGTGTCACCCACTCTATAACTTGACCTGTCCTGGTTACCGTGCTACATGGGAGCAACTGCCCTGCCGCATCAAGAACCGCTGGCTCCCAGGAGACAGGGAAACCAAACCCCTGCCCTGCCAGAAGCAGCGATTCCCAGGACCATCAGCTTCTTTCCCCATTTACCGGGAACTGAGGGCAACCAAAACTTCCCAGGGTCTGAGCAGGCCACCACTGCCAGCCACTCTGCTGCTGCCTAGCCATTCTAGACATGAATCATCAGAACTCCACCTGTTGCAAGTGTCAGTAAACCCAATCCCAGCTGGCCTAAGCAAAACTGGAAATGCATCCTCCAAATAACTGAAGAGTCCATGGCTATACTTAAGGCATGACTTGGTCAAGGCCTTAAACGATAGGACCCAGTCACTCTACTTCTCAGCTCTAATCCTTTGCTGTTGGCTCCATTCTCAGGCTTCGGGCAGGTAGCAGACATCTTTCATGCTTGGTGGTCACCCATCACCTTCTCAACAGCCTCCCTATGTTTTGGTAATTCCCCACATTTGCCTCCTGCCTCCCCGAAGGAAAACAAGAAATTTGCTTTTCCAGCCTCTCTCATAGCAAGAGCACAGGTGTGTAACTTAGGCTCTGCCAGAGATCTGAATTGAGAAAACAGCAACACGAGGAGTGGAAGGGTTATGAAAGCCATCTTCTGACAAGATTAGCGGCTGAGGGGTCTACTTTTCAGAGGCAGCAGGGATAGAGCTTCTGGGAGATTCTGCAGAGAGGCTCCATCACTGGTTGGGTCATTAACTCTGTACTCAGAGGGTGCAGTACTGGGTGTCTGTGCTGGTGCAGCCCCACAGTGAGACTGAGACATTATTTCTGGCTTTGGAGTCTCCAAGGCCTTCTCGGAGATCCTGTGAGCCACTGAATATCCTTTAATAAACTCATTTTCTTCATAAACTAGCAGGAATGTTGAATCAGCTTAGGAGACATTATGCTTTGGAAACAAACAACCCACAATCTTAGTGGCTTATGATAATCCAGGTTTACTCTTCACTCCTGTTCCACGGCCTGCACGGGTCGGCTGCAGTTCTGTAACATGTGGTCCTCCCTCTAAGACTCAGACCAACCTTGCTCTGGGGCACTGCTGCTCTCATAGCAAAGGGGAGACACTGAGGTAGTGAGCCACAAGCCGGCTCTTCACGCTTTTGCTTGGAAGTGATACACATCACCTCTGCCCACATTCAATTGGCCAAAGCAAGTCACTTGGTCAAGCCTATTGGTGGGGCCATGGTGTAAAAATCCTCCATGGGGAAGAGCAGTGAATATTTTGGACAAGATAGTGGTGCTGTATGCAACTAAGAGCCCCGTCCGACAAAACGCAAGAGGAAGCTGGCAGCAGAACCTCCAGCCTCTGGATTGTCTCACGTTTAAGTCCAGGGTGAACAAGGAAATGTCTCTTCTCGGGAATTCAAGCAAAAGCCCCAGGATTAACTCTGGTTGGGACTGACTGACCTGGCTTCAGTCATCGCCAACCCTGCACAGACACATTCAAGGCATATTTATTGAGCACGTACTGTGGACTATAGTAGTGAACAAAACCAAATCCGTGCCTTCTGGAACTTTCATCCTAGTCGAGGATAGTGGGGACATGCAATCAACAAAATAACTAAATATCTAGACAATTAGATGGTGATAAGAGCTATAGAGAAAAATAAAGCAGGAAAGGGGGATACTGAATTTCCAGGGTGAAGGGAAAAAGAAAATAGCAACGTTAAATAGGGCAGTAAGGAAAGACCTCAATGAGAAGATATTTGAGCAAGGTAAAGAGAGCAAAGGGTGACCTAGGGAAAGAGCATTCAAGGCTGAGAGAACAGTAGGTGCAAAGGCCCTGAGGCAGAAGAGGCCTACTGTGTTTGAAGAACAGCAAGCAGGCAAGTGTGGCCCGAGGAGAGTAAAAGAAAAGGCATACTAATAGGATATATGATCAGAGAGGTAACGGATAGGTCAGATCAGGTAGGGCCTTGTAGGCCACTGTAAGGCTGTGGCTTTCATTCTAGTTAAGGTGAGGAGCTACTGATGGGTTTTGAGCAGAGGAGTGATAAGATCTAACTTGGGTTTTAAAAGAATCACCCTGGCTACTGTATGGAGAATAGTCTGTAAGGAGAAAAAGGCAGAAGCTAGGAGGCCAGGATACGAGGTTCTTGGTAATGATCTAGGCAAAAAGGGACTGTGGCGTTGATTAGTATGTAACAGGAGAGATGGTAGAAAGCAATCAGATTCTAGGTCGATCTTGAAGGTGAAACCAATAGGATTTGCCAGTGAGATCAGAATTGGGGTGTGAGAAAAAGAAGAATCAAGTATGATTCTAAGTATTAGGCCTAAATAATTAGAAAGATGGAGTTGCCCTTATCTGAGACAAGGAAGACTGAGACAGGACCAGATTTAGAGGCTGGAGCTCAGAAGCTTACAGACATAACAGGTTTGAATGCCTGTTAGATATCTAAATGGAAATGTTGAGTAGGTAGATCTGGAGTTTAGGAGAAAAGTCTGGACTAGAGATATAAATTTGGAAGTCATCTAGGTTACAGATAATATTTAAAGCCATTAGACTGAATGAGGTCGCCAAGGTGGTGAGAATGAATAGAGAAGTCCAAGAACCAAGGCCTGAGGTCCACCCATGTTCAGAGGTCAAAGAGATGAGCATCCAGCAAAGGTGACTAAGAAAGAGCAACCAGTGAGGTACGGAACAAAACTCAGGAGAGGATGGTATCCTAAAGCCAGGAGGGGAAAGGGCTTCCAACAGGAGGAGAAGACTTGGAGAGAGCACCTACAGACAAATCTTTCTAAGAGTTTTGCTCTAAGGAGAGCAGAGAAATGGAAGTAGCTAGAGGTGGAAATGCAATTAAGAGATTTTTTTTTTAATAATGAGAGAAATTACAGCATGTTGGTACGCTGATCAGAACAAGCTAATGGAGGAGTTAAATAACGATGTAGTTGAAAGAGGGGAGAATTGCTGGGGTGATTTCCTTGAGTAGGAGAGAGCAAGTAGAGGGCAGGTTTTTGAGAGGGATGCAGACCATTCATCTAGGGCAGGATTTCTCAGCCATGACACTACTGACATGTGGAACCAGGTCATTTTTTGTCGGGGGGGCTGTCCTGTGCATTGCAGGATCTTTCACTGCATCCTTGGTCTCTACCCACTGGATGCCAGTAGCACACCAACCCCTCGCCCCCGAGTCATGACAACCAAAAGTGTCTGAAGACATTGCCAAATAGCCCACAAGATTTTGCTCCCCCTCCCCCCAGGGGGTATTCTGAGTTGTCATGACTTGTGGAGGGGTGCTATGGGTATCTAGTAAGTAGAGGCCAGGGATGCTCTGAAACATTCTATAACACATAGGGCAGCCGCCCACGACAAAGAGTTTCCCAGTCCGAAATGTCAACAGGGCTGTGGTCGAGAAGCCCTGATCTGGAGGAAGAGCCCCGGCCTAGATCTATGAGGGCACACATGCAGGTGGGTGGGCAGGTGTGGTGGGTTCTTGTGGGCGTTCTCTTCTGATTGCTTCCATTTTGTCACTGAAATAAGGAAGCAAGTTCATCAGCTGTAAGTGAGGTTGGGGAAGGAGGTACAGGAAGTTTAGGGAGAGAAGATATGAAACTGCCCTTTAGGAGAGATGGAGAATGAATGGACAGGGAAGGGGACACATTCTGGGCCACGTTAAGGGTTCACTTGAGGTAAGTAGTCAAGAAGTGAATGTGAAACCAGTTGGCCTGGATGTGTCTTCTTCTTGGGGCCATATTCAGGGACCGAGTAGGGAGAAAGTTGGATTTAACAGATTGTGCTTTTGCCAATAAATACAAGCAACAAAGGGGCAAATGAGTGATAAAAATGACCACAGAACTTGAGTGGGCAAGAAGACAGAGGGATGTAAGCGAGTATGAAAAGGTAGGCAGGCAGAAAGCAACAAATATCCATTCCAATAGGCTAGTTTCAAATGTTTTGAACATGAAGAGCTACAAAAGGGGGAAAATAAGGTGAGCTCTCTCATACTAAGGTAATGACTCACTTTTCTTAGTAAATACTTGAGTATTCACGGAAAGACAGAGCACAATGATTTCTAAATGAAATGAAGTGAAATGAGCTTCCTAAGTCAGCTTGGTGTTTGGGGCTGTGGTTTCTTTGGTTGCGTTACTCTCCCCCATGAAGCCTAACACTGAGGAAGCCGCACTCAACATGTGAGAAATCAGAGGACTCAAAAGTTTGAAGTGACTTCTGTGTTTAACTATTAGTTCGTTTATGTATTTGTCTTTTAGTTGTTGAGCTGCTTATGGGCATACCTGGGGTTGACAGGCCTCACCAATCTGACTGAAGAGACTGAAGTGCCAGGCACAACTGTGGCCATCTGAGGCACTATCCATGACGCTGGTGGTTTCAAGGTGAAAGTCATCAACAGTTGCTGCCAGCAGGCTCTTGGTTCCCACTTTTGAGGATTTCATTTAAAAATTACAGAAGGTAAAAAATAAAAGGTATCCACCTCCTCCCTGGCTTGCATACGAAATATCACCAGAGACCAATGGCACTCTTACGGCCACAACATGTAGCCTTTAGGAACACGGGCCTCCCGAAATCGCTCAGGTATCAGGAGACTGTGGATGAGCCCAGCCTGGCCACTCACCTGTGGAATGGTCGCAGGCAAGGCATTCAAACTCTTCAGCTTCAACTTCTTCAGCTGAAAAATGGAGACAGTAATACTTACCACGGCTTCCTCAGAGGAATGTACGTGAAAGTGCTTTGTAAACCATGTTGCACTTTACTAATAACAGAGATTCTGACTACCCCTTAAGGGCAGCGGGAGAGTGGAAGAAGAGTCTCCCTCCTTGTCAGAATGGAGAAATGCAACAAGAGTTGTCCACTAAAGGCAGAAACCTGTGTTGTGCGCATCAGAGATGCCCCAGCTTCTTTTCTACATGGAGTGTACGTGTGGGAACTCAGCCAAAGCTTGCAGTTGGTGAACCCACCCTTATACCAAGGGGAGACACTGCTGGAGGGAGAGCAAAGCACTCTCTAGAGACAAACCAAAACACAACTGGTGAGTGTAAGTCCAGGCCTGATTCCTGGCAGCCCTGTTTTGAACTGACAGGGGTTTGGGAACAGGTGAGACATATGTATTACCGGGCATCCCGGCAGTCATTAGAACTCATTGACTAGCAGAAACATGGAGCTTTCATGAATTCATCCTCCGGTTGGTGGCTGTCCACTCATGGTCATCTCATGGCTCATAATCTAACCATCAACTGCTCAAGAGGCCCCTGGAAATGCATCAACAAAAAGGCATTCTGGAGGCCCCATGATGAATATTACAGGGAGCTAACAAGGACTAGGAAATCTGGTACTAGAGAACCCAAGCACTAGCTGCAGGCCTGCCTCTAACTATTTCTGTGGAAGAACTTACATGGCAGATAACTGTCTGCATTTTCCCACCAGGAAAGCAGGGATGACATTTAGACCCAGAGGACAAAGTGGGGGTGTCTAGTCCAATCCTCACACATTTCACAAAGGAGGACACTGAGGCTTGGGAGGAGAACTGACTAGTTCAAGAGTCCATAGCTGGTGAGTGGCCAAGACAGGATTAGAATCCAGATCGTGCCCCTCACATTAGAGCACCTCTCACCCACCTGTTTCTTCCAAGGGCTTTCCCAGGAAGACAGGAGTTGGCTGAAGGGGTTGCTTTCATAAAATCAAGTGTCATGTATCCACCAAGACGTCAGGGAGAAGGCCAGCCACAGTCTCCAGCCATGTCCAACTCAGCACTTAAAGATGACCCCCAAATGATTTTAAGCAGGTTTTCAAGCTTGAGGATGGCGAGCAATCCGAGGATGGCGACGAAGATCCATCCAGAAGCACTGGGGAGGGCAAAGAGCAGACAAGGTGAACCAAGAAGCGGGACCATACGGGAGCCCTTTGTCCTGGAGGGTCCCAGCACCTTATGGGGATCACAGTCCTGGAAGCCCCGCGGCAGGTTCGCCGGCCTCGCACAGGGTGCGCTGGATCTAATGTTCTGCTGTCACCGTCGTGGAATTCGTAATGACTTATGAACAAGGGACCTGGCATTTTCACGTTGCACTGGGCCCCTCAAATCTTGCGGGCAGTCCTGCTTCATACCCCCTCCAGCCACAAAGTGGTGGCCTGTCTACACCGCCGCGCCAATCCCACCCAGCCCCAGACAAAGCAGAGCGAACAAAAGCCAGGGAAGTTTTCGCCCCTCTCCGCGGGGAAGACTGGGGTGGAAAGGGCCAGGGGCGCATTAGGAGCCGACATCCTCGGGCCAGAGGCCGACCGAGCAGCGGCCTTTTCCAACCCTGCAAAATAAATGCCCCCCAGCAGACCCCCGAACCCCGCCCTGCCCGAAGCTTGGCTCCCAGTGGGGCTCCCGTCCGCCCTGCTCCGGACTCGAGGTCTCCAACGTGCCCGAAGCGACTCGGGGTGTCCGTGGGGAACACGGGGAAGCGCGGGTCCCTCCCAAGCTGAGGGAAGCTGCCAGAAGGGGCCTTGGCCCGAGCATGGTCCGTTTGCGCCCGCCGGGCCGGCCTCGCCGACGCCCCGGCGGAGGGCAAGTTTGGGGACAGGAGACGAACGCGACGGCTCTCCCGGCCAGAAGGGTAAGCCTGGCCCTGGCCTCGCGGGTCGCAGTGGCGACGACCCCGGCGGACAAGGAGGGCGAAGCGCGCGCGGAGAGGAGCCGCAGCCCTGCACCTGGCCGCGAGCACTGATCTCGCGGGAGGGGCGAGGCCGCGGCGGGGGCGGGGCCGCGGCGGAGGCGCTCTTTCTGATGTCATACTATGAATAAACTAATGAGGGGGCTGGTTTGCGGGAAGGTTCCATAGTGTAGTGGTTATCACGTCTGCTTTACACGCAGAAGGTCCTGGGTTCGAGCCCCAGTGGAACCATAGGTAGGAAGCTGCTTTTTGATTTTTAATAACCATTCACTGCTTGGGTAGAAAGATGGAAAGCAAAGACGAGGTGGTTCTCTTTCTCCTTATACTTTATTTATTTATTTTTCTATTTTTGGGCATGTTTTTTATCACAAGCATAATGACAGATACCCTCTCCCATCCCCGCCGCCATCGCCCGACCTGAGAAACAGCACAGGTGGGGGCCCGGCCGGGTCGTAGTTCTGAGGACGCCCCCGCTCCGCCCGGGCCCTACCCCCGCTTCTCCTCCGGTGCTCTGCGGAGGCCTCGGAGAATAGGGCGCTCGTGGGAGGCAAGAACCCCCTGCGCTGCCCCCCAAAGCCTCCTGCTGAAATATGCCAAATAGAGCAACTCTTTGACCGCAGTTGAATTATTAAACGTTTATTATCATCATCATCATCATCATTATTAAAGGTTTTTCACTAAATTCTAAAATGCAGAGCAGGGGGAAAAAATAGTCCTTTTCCTTTTAATAGAGCAGCGGAGTTTGTTGAGTAGACCTTCGTGTGTTCAATGCAGACACCATACACAGTATAGAATGAATGTCAGGCTTGTAGATACCCAATAAAGGCAGACTGAATGACTGAACGTTATCCTAGTTCCTTTTTGTTTCTCTTCACTAGTTCATTACAGTTTCGTTTGGGGGGGTTATTATTATCTTTTTAACATTGGCCTGTTTCATCTTTGACAAGAGGAACGAAGGAAAGGTGTCTGGGACCCCGGGGGCTGAGGTGGGATAGTGGTGGCCAAGAACTAAAAAGGGAGGGGAAACTATTTTTCTCTGCATTTTTCCACATAGTTTTGCTCATACAGTGTGGACAATTGCATCCTTTTCTAATTCGAGTATAACATGTGATTGCTACTGTTATTACAATCACTTCATTAACTTGATTCTTTTTTTAACCATCTTAACCATTATTAAGTGTATGGTTCAGTAATGTTAAGTACATTCACATTGTTGTGAAAAAGATCTCCAGAACTTTTTCATCTTGCAAAACTGAAACTCTATACTCATTAAACAACTGCTCTTTCCCCCATCAACTTTATTATTAATGGCTGTACAATAATAATAGCTAATTATGTCAAGCACTGTTATAAGTATTATATATATATATATCATCCTATTTAAGCCTCAGGCTAACTCTGTGAAGTAGGCATTATTATCACCATCTTACAGATGAGAAAGTTGAGGCACAGAGACTTTAAGTAACTTGCCCAAGATCACTTAACAAGTGTTTGAGCTGGGATTTGCCCCCAGTCTGGCTTGGGAATCTCTGCTCTTAACCCCACCTGCTGCACTGAACCCCCTAACCTTGACCATGTAGATTGTTCCCCAGGTTTTGTTATTATAAATAACACAGCAATGCACATCTTTGTGTGTAACTGTCCCCCTCTCCCAAATTCAGTATTTTCCTGAGTGAACAGTATGAAAATGATGCCAAGGTGCTTTCTGAGAGGGGAATCCATGTCATTTTCATACAATTCAAGAATGTTAGTGCTTGTTTGGCAGGAAATTGCTCAAGGTCACGCCCTAGAAGATGATGGCGGTGAAAGGATTAAGACCTGGGTCTTCTGATTCTAGTTTCTATTTCCTTCCACTGTTCCCCTTCCACTTAAAGACAGAGTAAAACCAATATCTTCCTTTGCTAAATGGATCTGAGTTGACATTAGATTTTTCTCTGAGACTTCCTTGTTGGGGTAAGTAACTATGTGGGTTAACTTGGTGGGGCTCAGCGAAAGCCCTAAGAACTAAATGGAATAAGATGCTTAATGAGGCCAGTGCTCAAGTTAAGCTCCTGCTCCTGGAGAAGCTCTCCACTTCGAGAAGGTAGAGCTGCTGCCAAGGACAAGGGGAGAATGCCACACAAAATAGAAGGCTTCTTGTTTTTACTTCTCTTTGGCTATGAAGGTATGTGCTATCCAACCATTAGCACTCATTAAATACTTAATAATACACTTGAATTAATAATATAGCTGATTAAGAGAAATACAACCTGAATAATTAAAATATTATTAATTAGCAAGGCATGTTAATTAAGTAATATGGATTGTTAATGAACAACAGTTGTCTTGATATGGATGCGGTCCTTTTTGTCTCGCCGCTGGCTGTCTCGTTTTGTGAGGAGACTTCTAAAGTTCAAAGGATGCTTAAAATAGGACAGAAAGAAGGGTCTCAGAAAGTGTAGCTATAATTTGCAACAATTAATAAGAAAGTGTGGCATGTTCTTGAATATTTTTAGAAGTCAAGGTTAGAGTGATTGTAGAATTTAATCTTCCAAACCAGGATGCTATTGAGAGTGGAAGAAGATGCTATTAATAATTCTGCTGGGACAACAGGTGTAAACCAGGACTGTCCCAGGCAAATTGGGACGTGAGGTCACCCTAGTTTAAATATGGATTAACATAACAGGCCAAGTACCACTGGACTTTAATAGAAAGCATAATCCAACCGAGAGTCAAGAACTCCCAAAGACTCAATATACGCAATCATTTTTAAATTTCTGAATATCCTGGCAGGAGTGATATGCTTAAAGGAGTGAGGCGAAATTAAACGCAAATCTCTAAAACATTATCCAATTCTCTTTCAATCTTTGAAATAATACTTTCATGCCTCTCTCAGCTCTCAAGGACCCGTCAGCTCAGAATTCCTTTTTAGGATCATTCTGGACATTAGAAATTGGTCGAATGTCTTCTTTGTGCGCCTTGTGTTTTTATGTGCATGACAGGAGATAAGGAGGGCAGGAAGAGGAGGCCTCGCCACTCTGCAAATGACCTGGTAGACAGACACGACGAAACCCACACAAATAGAATCAGAATCCCTGGTTTACTTCACTCTCCTTTCTACCCTCTCCTTATATTTTATTGGTAGAGTACTCGCTTTCATGATTCCCCAGTCTCATGACTTTTGTTATTTAGTCACATTTCCCAGTATTTGGAAAGACTTGTAAAAATATAATCCCAAGGTCATTTTGCAAACCCAAATATGTTTCTAAGTGGGAGTCATTTAGACCAATTGTCTCTTTTTTTTCCCCCTTTACAATTAAGAGTCAGCAACTCATCCCAGAAACTCTTAATACTTTAAGATGCTTTTGGATTGACTCCACCTGTACGTTGGGTGAAGGTTCATCTGGGAATGCACAAATCATCATAATTAAACACTACCTATGTTTTATAACTGAGGCAGGCTTCTGTTTATCGTACGTTGTACTTTTGGATTCAATGCCAACGATGATTTTGAAAACATCCATCTTATTAAATTATGTTGGTTCATTACTTGGTCATGGTTATTATATAAAAACAAACCAAAGAATCGCCAAACTTCATCTTACAGGTGAGGGTGTCCTCTCTGCAGGTGTGCCAACCATCAGGGATAGCAGATTTTTTTTTAAGCAGCTTTATTGAGATGTAATTTACATACCATTTAAATTCACCCATTTAAAGTGTGCAATTCAAGGGTTTTTAGTATATTTGCAGATTTGTGCAGCACACAATCTAATTTTAGAACATTTTCATCACCCCAAAAAGAAACCTGCACACATTCCACACTCGCTCCCCATTTCCCCCTCCCCTCAAACACTGATCTACTTTCTGTCTCCAGAGATTTTCTGTTCTGGACATTTCATTTCAGTGGAATCATACAACTTATGGTCTTTTGTCTTTCACTAGGCATATGTTTGTGAGGTTCATTTGGGTTGAAGCATGTCCGGAAGACAGATTTACCCATGAATATGCCCGTCGCCTAAAATAGTAACACTTTCACACCAGAAGCAATTTCCTTCTTTCTTCTTCGAGAGGGTTGGTACTGCAGCCTGCCGTTTTTCTCCTGTGGCTTATTCTTGTTTCTCAAGTAGATTGGAAGCTGGTTACAGTTTTTATCATTCATAATTTTATGCTTTTCTCCTCAGCTTTATCTGTTTCCATGGGAAGGAAAGCTCTGTATTTAGTGACAGCCAATCAAAAAGACTAAAATAGTCTTTCCTATGTGTGTCTAATGGGCACTTTCCTCTTGGGCTTGCAAGGTACATTTCGAGAAACAGCATGCCTTGAATTTTCTTGCTGTGGTAATGAGGGTTTCCCCATGGCATGGCCCTTTGAGCAAAAGGGCGGAATGCTCCCATATTGCATATATCTAAGACTGGTGAGTGGCAGACTTCCCAGATGCTCTAGCGGAAACCCATACCGTGGAGGAATCGCGAAAACCCATCCGAGAAAAATAGGCAACCACGTCATCTAAATCTTTTTCTTTTTCCTTTAAAGGCTGACCTGTTTTCTTTTGCTCATTTCAACTACATTATTTCCTGGTATTATACTATGTTGCTGTCAAACATGCTTTTATTCCCCAGCTTTTTGGTGATTCATTTTGGGGGCTACAGCAGCCACGTTGCTGCTCCCTTGGTGACAGCTTTTCCTGTAAAATGCTTGTTGTTCCTTCCCTCTTTGCTTATTTGCATGAGGTTCTGGTGTCTCAGAATGCCAGGCTGTCTGCAGACGAAGGCTTTCTGGGGAGGGGAGCCTGGGAGGGAAAAAAATGCCAGAATTCTGCCCATTTGACTGAGCACAGGCAGTGGCTCTGAAACCAGGCCTTCCTCTTAGGTCTCTTCCTCTCCACTGGTAGACAGTGACGAACCTCCTCGCCCTTTCCTTTTAGCCTGATGCTTTGCTTCTGCAGAACATGGAGCCCCTCCAGGGCCCACCCGTAGACCGGGTAACAAAAAAGGCCCTGAAGTCCGGGGCAATTCAAGGGGCCCCATTTGAACTCTGGGTTTGCTCAGCTGTAGCCGCATAGACCCTCTTCAGTGACAGACACAGCCTCTGGGCCAAATTGATTTGGTTATTAAGGCCACGCTGTCAGTGACCGACACGCCTCGCCCTTGGTCCCCCGCAAAAGAGGGTCTTGGCACAATTGATGTTTGCCCAACTGGCAGAGCCTTTCTGCATGTCAGCGCTCCCCAGCTTCTCTTGAGATGGGATGGAGCTGAGTGCCTCCTAGAATAACAACCCCCAAATCAGCTAGATGCCAACCGCTCATCTACTTTGCAGTTTTTGAGGAGCAGCTGCGGGACTGAGGCTCTGGTTTCATGTACGAATTAACTGCAAGGAGCACAGGGCACCACCCAGGCTATCTGAGATTTCCCTTGAGCTCCAGAAGCTTCCAGCCAGCTGCCCACTCAAGGTCAACACTTGGGTGTCCCCAAAGGCCTCTCAAACAGAATAGTTAAATCCCTTCCCCTCAAATCCCTGCTCCCCCTGGAACCTTCTCCTCCCCCAGCAAATGGTAGCTCTCTCCACCCAGTTACTTGGGCCTCAAACCTCTCTTTCTTTCACACCCATGTCATCTGTCAGCAAATCCTGTTGGCACCACCTTCCAAACAGTCAGAATCCAGCCACTTCTCATCACCTCCACTGCCACCATGCTGGGCCAAGCTGCCGTCATCTCTCCTCTGGATGATGGCACTTGCCTGACTAGGCTCCTTGCTTCCAGCTTTGCCCCGGCAGTCTGGTCTACACTCAGCAGCCAGAGGGAGCCTTGTAAATCACAGGCAGTCTTGTCTCTCCTCCCTTTGACCCTCCTCAATGTCTTACTCAGGGTAAATGCCAAAGTCCTTGCGTGCCCACAAGGCCCTGCACAGACTGCCTCCCTTAATGCTCCCCCCTTCATCTCCTAAAACTCTCCTTTATTCCCTGGCTCCAGCCCCAGGGCTCCTTGCTCTTCCTAGAACACGCAGGCCAGGTGGAACTTGGACTGTGGCAAGGGGACCCACCAAAAGGTTTGGAGCAAGAAAGTGACACAATCAGATTTGCATTCTGTTCCATTGGCAGCACAGGGGATGGATGAGGCGAGGTCTCCCTTTAGCGGGGAGAGTAACCAGGAGAGAGGGTAAGGCCTAAAACAGGAAGTGGTAATGGGGGTGCAGAGGGAAAAAGGCCCCTGGTAGACACTGGATGTGGGCGTTTAGGAAAAAGAGGTGACTAAGACGAGTCCCCGGTCTCTGGATGGGGTGGTAGATGAATGGCAGAGCCATTCAGTAGGATGAGAAATAGAGAAAGGAGAAGCACCTGAGGAAGGATGTAATGGGTTCTGTTTTTTAAAAAAAGTTTATATTGAAGAATAACGTACACACATTTATTTAAGTATATGTACACACAGAAAAGTAGAGGTAGGTAGGTGCACAGCTCAATGAATTTTCACTCTGAACACACCCACATAACCAGCCCTTGGACCAAATAACAGAACGTTACCAGGCCCCCAGACACCCTCTCTGGGCTTCCTCTCTACCACTCCCTGTCCCTAGTGCGACCAAGACCCTAAAATCTAATAGCATAGATAACTTTTGCCTGGTTTTGTGCATTTTAAATGGCTTCATATGGTGTGTCCACTTTAGCATGTGACTTTTCACTCAACCTTGTTCATGAGATGCAGCCACGTTGAGGCGTGGAGCTGGAGAGCCTTCATTTTCATTGCAGTATGGGGTTCCACCATGTGAACTTACCACGTGGATCCGTTTGCAAAGGATTCCCAGACCCAATTCCGATGTGTATGCGTGGAGGCTCCCCACTCCAACAAGCGGTTCCCTCATGCCAGCAGAGTGTCTGAGAATTCAACTCAATTCTGACTCTACCTACCTGGAGATAGAATCAGATTCCACAGGGAAAGTGCTCAGTCCCACCAGACCGCCCTGCACGTCAGATGCCAGTCACAAGCCCAGCTTCCTACCTGTGCTTCTGATCCATGGGCCATAGATCAGAGGTTACCAAGACCCCCTCCTTGGATTCAATTAATTTGCTAGAATGGCTCACAGAACTGAAGAAAACCCATTTACTCACTGGATTACCGATTTAGTACAAAGGACATTAAAGGATATGAATCAATAACCAGAGGAAGAGATACGTAGGGCACGGTCTCGAAAAAAGGAGCTTCTGTCCTCATGGAGCTTGGGGCCCAGCACGGTGGCACGTGGAAGCGTTCTGGTTCCCCAGCGTGGAAGCTCTCCAAAAAAGGCCCATGAGCTGTCATTCGGGTTCTCATGGAGGCTTCACTACATAGTCATGACTGACTAAGTCATTGGCAATTGATTCAACCTCCAGCCCCACCCCACCCCCCTTGGAAATCAGGGGGTGGGACTGAAAGTTCCAATCCTCTGATCACACAGCTGTCTCCACTGGCAACCAGCCCCCACCCTTGGGTGCTTTTCAAAAGTCACCTCATTAACGTAACAAGAGATACGGTTTGTGACTCTCATGCTTAGGAAATTCCAAGGGTTTTGGGAGCTGTGAACCAGGAACTGTGGATGAAGACCAAATATATATGAGAAATATATTTTGGTCATCTGAATGACCAAATATATGTTTCTTATAAATTTCTTATAAATCACAATATCATACTATTCTACTCTTGATAAGCATATGAGTGTTTCCAGTTTGGGGTTGTTACAAACACTGCTGCTGTGAATAATCTAGTACGTGTTTTTGTTTGTCAGAGAACATATGTATGCACTTCTGGTGGGTAAATTCTTAGGAGTGGAATTGCTGGGTCATAGGAAACGTATATGTCCAGCCTTAACATAAATGTCCAAACAGTTTTTCAAAGAGGTTAGACCAACCTATACCCCTACCTTCAACATATGAGAGTTCAGGTTGCTCATGACCTTGCCAACACTTGGTTGGGTAGAGTTTCAGATAGTAAGAGACACTTACGGGGAGATATCCAGGAAGCCATTCAATGCAGGTGTCGGAATCTTGGATTTAGCAACATTTATGGGGGTGGGAGGGAGAGGAAGCAGAGCTCTCAAGAGAAATTGAGGATTATTCAGAGTGGTGGGAGAAGAAACAAGTGAGCAGTGTGATGGGGAAGATGAGAGGGACTGACACCACCCAATGTTGCCGAGTGAAGACGTAAGGGCAGGGTTGGGAAGAGCCCGTTGGATGTGAAATTAAGAAGTCATTGGTAACTTCCTTTGCCAGAACAGGGCTTGGCCTCCTATCAAGATGGCGCTCGCTCCCTAACCTTCACCGCTACCTGAGGGGGTCAATTCTGCCCATAGCATGTGGACCAAGGAGTCTCTAGGAATGAACAGCCAGTGGACAGGGGCCCAGGAGAGAGAGGAGTTTGGTGACCATGGGTGAGGGATGACCCTGAATCTGCACAGGCTAAAAGATAATGCCCCCGGGACTCCCACTGCAAGTTATGCATGACCCGACAGAGTACTCACCACGTGCATTGTCCAGGGGTCCATCTTCTCTTGGATCCTCAAGCCCCTGGTGGGCAAAGATCGAGGCTTCCATTTCAGAAGGCCCAGGCCCTAGTGCAGTGCCACACTCACAGTGGACGTGCAAAAGTGGTTTGTGGAATGGGTAAATATGTATTATTTAAACGAAGGCACAATTTTTAAAAGATAGCTTTATAATTGTGATGAAAAAGGTGAGACCATTCCTTTACTTTCTAAAACAAATCTGAAAGTTTTTGTGGGCAGCAGATTCAATTTTTAGATAGGAAAGTGGTTAAGGAAGGACTTTCATTTCTTACTGTCGACACTCAGGTTTTGTTTGAGATCTTTATAATAGTTGTGTGTTGCTTTTATAATCAGAAAAGAAATGAAAGTATTTGTTTTGTTGAAAATGGGAAATGGAGCTTTGGTGCCATGTCTAACGGAACCTTCTGCGAGAGTGGCAATGTCCTGTATCTGCACCATCCAGTACAGTAGCCGCTAGCCACATGTGACCAGTAAGTGCTTGAAATGTGGCTGGTGTGACTGAGGAATTGAATTTTTAATTTTATTAATTTCAATTTTTAATTTTTAATTTTAAGAATTTTAATTAGTTTAAATTCAAACAGCCACACAGGACTAGTGGCTGTCACATTAGGCAGTGCAGCTTTAAACCATCAGTTTTTGTTAATATATACAAATTCTTTTCCTATTAAAGTAGGCATAATTTATTCATAATTTCATAATTTATTATTCATATTTCTATAAAGATAGCTTTATGTTAAATTTTGCACACTTTTCAATTTTCCTACATCATTTATACGATATTGATGCTTTCATTGTAGTTTGATATTTTCTGTACATTCTAGGCAAACCTAAAAAAGATTTTCTAAACAAAGTCCTAATCCTAAGTAACGTATATACGTCACAGTGGGGGAGACACTAGGAATGATGATAGTTAACAAGTAAAGGGAAAAACTCGCAATGTTAATGTCAAGTGGAAAAGAAACGTAAACATTGTTTAGATAGTTGGTTCTCATATATGTTTTAAAAAATACACATAGAAAAAAGACAGGAAAGATTTACACTAAGATGTTAACAGCGTTGCCTTTGGTGGTAAAAAAAAAACAGGTTTTTTTTTCTCTTTGCTGCATTAATATATTTTCCAAAATTCTATAATGAACAATAATAATAATTATCCTTGTCTTTCTGTTTAATTTCACTGTCCCTAGTTTCTCGACATCTGTGGATGTTTTTCCTGGCAGATATTTACCAGTTTGACTTCTTCCAGAAGGGGCTCTGTTAACTTATATGTGACTATTTTCATTTTGCTTTTCCATGTAATGTATCATTTTGTTGAATTTCTCTTTCTTTTTTTAACTTGATTTTTCCTCTCTTGTCCTTCTGCTCAGCCACACTGGGATTATCGTCTACTGAGGTACGTTACAGTAGGAAGGCTGGAATTTATGTGGATCCCGTTTTTGAAGATTTTCCTAACCAAAAATGATGTATAGGATTATCACTTTTTAAAAAAATGTATTTTTTTTCTGGTGGTGGCAATAGTATGTTTTATCTGGGCAAGCTCCAAGATTGGTGTTTCAATGAGAGAATACAAGTAAACCAGGTCTTAAATCAGATGGCGTAATCTCGAATCCAGTACCTTATAAAATTGGATCCCCAGAAGGGACTTCCAGGGGATGTGAGGAGCCTGACCTTGGATTTGGCCTCCCCAAGCCCCCGAAGATAACTATAATGGGGTGAACATTGCCCTCTACACGGTGTGTCTGTGAGATTACTAGCTGGTTACTCACAGTGGCACACTCAAAGCTGAGTGGCAACTGTGCGTGTTAAGGCTGGATGAATAATTCGATTGTGCTATAGTAGTGTGAAAGCAGCCATAGACAGTAGGCAATGAATGAGCAAGGCTTTTCCTGAGGTGCGGACCGCAGGTGCCTTTGACCATGACTTTTCTGATGCTCCTGCTCCTCTGGCTTCTCACAGGATGAGGGCGAGGACCCCTGGTACCACAAAGCGTGCAAGTGCGATTGCCAAGGAGGCACCAACACCCTGTGGTCTGTGGGTGCCACCTCCTTAGACTGCATACCGGGTGAGTGTCCCCTCTCCTTGGGACACCAGATCCTTGGGGTATCCTTGGGAACACCCTGTTTCTCCTCCTTTCAACCAAGCTGAATTAAACCCCCGAATACCATGCTCTGGGTTTTCTCCAGTTGGCCTTTCAGCTTCAAATCTCACAATGGCCACTGCTCCAACCAACTCCACTGATGTCATTGCTCAGAACAGCTTCCTGGATCTCTACTTGGCCTTGGTGAGATGATAAGATGGGACATAATTTTCAATAAAAGAGATTAATAGAATTTAGTGAAAATAAATTAATGGTCGGTGGCAGGGAGTTTTGAGAAGAGCATAGGCCTTCGAGCCAGAAAGACCAGAGTTGGAATGCTGGCTACCTCATCTCTTATCTAGGACTCCCACTTCGGTCTTTTTCTGTCAAATGGAGGTAAGAGTACTGGGCCTGGGTATTTATTGCTCACCAGACAACCAAGCATTTCCCCACATTCCAGCCTCCTTGCCATTAGCTGGTGCCACATGAGCAGTTCCAGCCAAAGCGAGCCTGTCGCTTCTGAAATGAGGCACTTAGGACTGGTACTCAACTCTATGGCTCACCCTTTCCCTGCTTGAGAGAGTGGCTTGTCCTTCAGCCTGGGTGCCTGGGAGGGTAAGTGGAGCAGAACTCCCTGCAGACCCATCATGGACAAGTGACCTGAGTGAAAAATAAACCTTTGTTGTGTTAAGCTTCTGAAATTTCCGGGACAATTTGTTCCGCAGCATAACAGCCTTTCCTGACTAATATGAATGTCTTCCTCTAAGGTGGGGCCTGCAACTTTGTCTGTAGAGGACCAGACCGTAAGTAAATATTTGTGGCTCTGTGAGCCATATGGTCTCAACTCCTCAGTTCTGCCATTGTAGTGGGAAAGCAGCCACAGACAATGTGTAAATGCATGAGTATGGCTGTGTTCCAATAAAACTTTGTTTACAAAACCAGGCGGTGAGCCACATTTAGCCCAAGGGCCACAGTTTGCCGGCCCCTGCTCTGGGGAGCTGGTATGAGGAATGAATCTGATGAGGCATTAAAGTACCTTGTGTTGTACCTGGCAAACTGGAGCATTTACTCAAGGTCAGCTTCTTTTCCTCCTGCCTCCTGAGAACTCACACTCTGACTTCCAGAGGCTTGGGGCGGCCCTGCAAGTATTTGCAACGCTCAGTCCTTTCCACAGCTCTGAGCCTCTTTTGCATGAAAGTGTCCCTGCCACCCATCTCTAGGCTTATGATGGTGCCACCAGACAACGTGACTCACTTTCCATAATCGCTCTAATAGCTCCATGAGAGACAGGTTTGTGTGTATGTGTGTGAGCCTCTCTGCATATTTCATTAAATTTGCATTAAAATAGCGAATTGTGGGGAGGGGAGGGGGGTCTGGAAAGGCTTTTGCTGCCTTCGTTTTCCCAGTTACTAAAAGGGTAAGAAGTTGTTTCTGAACTCAGTCTTCTGGAAGGGAACAGTGGGATCCCAGGAGTAAGGAAAACAGTCAGGGCTGTTTAGTTCGGTGGGCTTCTCCTATGGGATGTCCCACTGTGCTCCATGGCAGGAGCTCCCGCAGCCATTATATGTTGGTGTGATCTGCCCAGTCAACAGTGAAGCACCCTCCTTAATAATCCATTTAGAATTCAATTCCACCCTCTTTCATCATGTGCCTGTTATGTGCCAGGCACTGATGGGGAGACAAAAATGAAGGCATTACCTCCCCCCTGGAGGAGTTGACCATTTAGTGGAAACAAATGTTCTCTTCGCTAGAGGCATGAGACCTACTGGAATTCTATTCCAAGGAAGTGCTTTCTAAGAAGAAATTGAAAAGAGATTATTTATGTGGCTTCATTGGCCCAATCAACTGTGACGCTGAGGAGGGCCGTCTGTTTGAGAAATGTGAGGGTGACCCTGGTCCCCCAAGCTTTCTCCTCTATGCAGTTGCCGTGAACTTGACTTTCTGAAATCAGAAATTCTTTTAGCATAAGTGTTCTCCTCTCCTCACTGGTTTTTTTTGTTTGTGTTTTTAAACAACACAGGTATTTCCAGGAAGGAAAAAAATACCACCTTGGAGTTAGATGGTTGATTCATTGGTGTTAATTGGTTTTTTCATAAAAGAAATGATTCAGGGCAGGACCAACCACAATCTTTCAGAAGTCACTTGCTCATCAGTGCCTCAGATCCTCATCGGAATGTCAAGAACAAGTCTTGGTCTCCCTGGAACCTAAGATTCATTTCTTCCAGCAGAGTTCAGTTTAGGGAAGAAGAGCCTAGAAAGCACAGAAGGAAAGGAGGGTCATTCAGAGGTGCCAGGAGGCGCTCCCAGGTGCACACTGGCGGGTACTGCCCGGAGGCCCCACCCACAGAGCAGAAGGTGACCGGCTAGGTACATTACGGCCTCCTAATCTTCAGCTTAACGCTATTAAAAATACTAAAAGGTCTGTCTTTTCTGCGGTTGAGCCCTGACTGTCTCAGCTCTCTGAGGGGGGACCTAGGGGAGGGAAGGCATCAAAGTATAAGAAATCCAACGACTCGATGCTTTACTATATTATTCTAGATTTCATATCTCAGTATTATATTCAAGTTTATACTCCTTCGATAAATATTGTTCTGTATTCTATACGTTGTCATATATAATCAAGTCTAATACAAGTGCATAGTAGTATTCATGTATCTCTTGTCAAGAATGTCGCTGACCTCTCCTTGTGCTCCTTGAGGCTGACATTCTTTATAAGCATGTCTGGCCCTCATGCCTACAAATCGAGAAATCATCTACTGAATCAGAAAGGCTGACGTGTTGAGGATACGCAGCCTGGACCACCAGCACGTTGGGCATATGCCTTTATGCATCTACTCATCCAATCAGAAGAGCCACTTGTGCCACAGAAGATGCAAGTTTTTCCTTAAAATGAATGTAGAAACATTCTTCCTCCATTTAAAATGTTACTTAATAGCTACAGTAACAAACTTCCATGGGGCCGAAACCCCGGGAAGGGCATATTCTGTGCATGTCTAGTGGGGTCCCTTAGTTCCTTCAGCAACATTATTCGCGTTGCATAATACTAGCTGATGCTCAGTTGTCAGTCTATTTTTGATTAGGCCAGTGGGAATTCTCTGGCCTGGCCAACGTCTGCTTCCTCCCTGAGCCCTCCGCTTCGTGTTTCTGCCATTTTCTCTGCTTATCCCCAGCGACCATCCAAGATGGGCTGACAATGTTGGTTTATCCTGCCATCCCGTCAGTAACTGCTGAGTGCCCAGCACGTGCGGGCACGCTCGCCTCAGAGGATAGAATGGTGAGCGAGGCAGAGCTCGGGAGCCGACAGTGAAATACTCACGAGGAGGAGGGATGAGGGGCAGGGATAGGGCCCTTACCCCGCTCGGGCTGGGCAGCGGAAGCAGGCAGAGATCTGCAGCACGAGCAGAGCTGGCCAGGTGAAGGGGGAGGAGGGGGGACAGGGGTGTCACAGGCAGAGGGAACGGCCTCAAGGGAGGGCCTCCAGGCCTGCTAGAAGACCTGAAGGGAGCTCAGCGAGGATCATGGAAGGAGGAGGAGAGAGGGAAAGGAGTCAGGAAAAATAATAGTAACATAACCGGAGGTCAGTTTACTCCACAGCACACACAGCACGAGAAATGTCATGTTTTCTAATTGTTCCAAGTTCAAATAACTCCAGTTGTAGTCCCCCTTTGTCATGGCCTGTGAGGAGTCTGAAGACAGGATTGTTGAAGGTTTTCCGTTCTCCTTTGGACTACATGCCCACCTCCCCCCTGCCCCTGGCCCCAGGCTTGCGACGGCCTCCTAGGGTCAGGGCCGGGCTCAGGCTGGGCAGCAGGCTCGCTGCCCGACCCACTGCCCCACTAGAAGGTGGACGCCTTGCTGGCGGCTCTTCTCCCTCTGAACCCAGCTCAACTTGGGCACCTTCCCAAGTTTCCTGAGGGTGCCCAGAGCTCAGGTCTCCCAGGCCCCTTCTGTGGTCCAGCCCCCTCAGAGGAACTATGTCCCCTCGGAGCTCAGGCCCCTACCACAAGTTCCCCCCACACACAATGGTCAAAGCCCAGGGTCTCCAGCTACCTCCTCCTCTGGGATAAGCAGCTAATTCCTGTTGAGGCCTAGATCTTCCAAATCCATAAGCCTGAGAGAGGCAGTCAATAGGCTTCTCCTTTCTCAAATATCACGCCCATGCGGATACACACACACACACACACACACACACACGGCATATTCCTTCTTGGGGCAAGGAGAGCCCAAACCTATGGAAACACGAAGCTGGCCTCCTTCCCAGGGAGCTGTAAGGGGAATAAAGGGACGGGTCACAGGGGCGTAGCCGGGTGTTACATTCCTTCCCTGGTGGTCTTCACCAGAAAAACACACACACAAAACTCAGGAAGTCATCAATACATTCTCACAAATTCACCCAATGACACCAACATTAGCTGCTGGTTTTTGGCCAGGTGCTACAAATTGTACACTCTACAAATACTATTTTGTGTAATCCCATGGCAACCTTATGGAGGGCAGTACTACTGTCGTGCCCGTTTCAGAGATGAGGAAACTTGAGACCCACAGAGGTTAGCAACTTGCCTAAGTTCATGCAGAAGGAAAGTGGGATCTGATCCCAGGTCGCATTAGCTCTAAGCAGGCGTTCATAACCCTGGCTGCCCATTACAATCACCTGCAGCTTTACCCCATGCCCAGGCCCTACCCCAGACCAGTGCCATCAGAATCTCTGGGGGTGTGGCCCGAACATGAGCACTTCTGTAGTTCCCCCGGATGATTCCAGGGGGCAGCCCAGGCTCGGAGTCCCTGCTTTGTGCCCTGGGCCAAACCACCAGGTTTCTGGGTTAGTAGCTGGGTAGCTGGAGGCACCAATGCCTGACACGGGAGCGCTGGTCAGCGACGGGCTTGGGCTTGGCCGCTGAAGGGCTCAGTTGTGGACATATGGGGCATGAAGCCTCTTTGGGTCACCCAGATGGAAATGTTCACCTGGAAAATATTCAGGGAGCAGCGAGATGAAGCTTGGAGCCTGGGAGTCATGCATTGGCTCCCAGACACCGGCTGAAGCCATGGGGACGGTGAGGTCATCGCCTCCCCTGGAGAGTGTGGGTAGGATCCATGTCTGAACAAGCCCTCACAGGCCCCCAAGGCCATTGCCAGTGGCCAGGTCCCTGCAGCCTACGGCCCACTGTTAACTATTAGATGGACTACTTGGGAAGAAATGGCAAAGGAGACGTGAAGGGAAATCAGAGAAAGGGCGAAATGCCAAGAATAAAGCGATCAGAGAGGGGATGACAGCTTTTCCCTTTCCTCTGTCCCCTCCCTCAGAGCTGGTGGCCCTGGAGCAAGAAAAGGGAATTTCAGGATGGAGGGCCTTAGAGACACCTGCAGTTAGAATTTAAGTGACAACCAAGGGCCTAACTGAAACCCAGCTTTCTGCCTCTGGGGCCTCGTCCCTCCTTCCAGGAGCACGGGCTTGTCTTCCAGGTCGGAGGAGAGTTGACAAGGTGGAGGAGCCCCCAAGGCCATGGGCACCAGGCCCCCTGAATCCGCCAGCCAACAGATGCCTTCCCTGGCAGGGCAAGGTTTCCAAAATGCGCTTTGAAAGAGTGCCTGTTAAAAATGCAGCCGCTCTGGGGGGAGTCCTGGATACTGCATTCTCTACAAGCCTCCCTGAAGATTCGGCCGCACAAGCTGTGATGGAGCGGCCCATAAATGCTCCTGTTCTCTCTCTCAGGAACCCACAGGATTTGAACAGGCCCCCAAAGCCTCAGGGACTCGATAAGCTGCAAATGCTGTCCCCTTGCCCCCAGTCCCGCTGAACCGCAGCGCCTGGTGGGAGTTGGACCTACTGCTTTGGTGCATTGGGCAGAAAGGCAGTTAAGCGCCCTGGCCAGAGGCCTGAAGCTGTCCTTCTGTCTTTAGCCTCTGGGGACAGGGCATGACTGTCCCTACAGGCATTCTGGAGCCTCAAAATGGCATTCAAGCTTTTGCATGCTTCATCCAGCTTTACTGACTTTCAAAAATTATCCTCCCGAAAGCCCTCAGCACGCGTTTTACTGTTGAAGGTGATGAGGCTCCAGCAAATATGTTCAGCTCTTCAATCTGAACTCAAATTTACACATGGGAAAAAGTAATCTGATTTACCTTACTTGAAGTTTATAACTCACAACCAGAAAACTAGGAGAATATTTGCAGAAGTTTATCATTTGTTTTCTATAGAACTTCAGCTAGAAACTAGGTTGGTTATAAACAAGAGAACTCCTGAATAGTGGTTTATTGAATTAGGAGTTTTGTTTTGACTCACATGGTACAAAGACTAGGGGTAGGGAGTTGCTTAAGCATATCAGGGCTGAGGTTTCTGCAGTTCTCTTGGCCTTACCCCTACGGCACAAGATGGCTACTGTTGCAGCAGCCATCAGGTCTTTGTTCTAGGCAACAGGAAAAAACAATAAGCAAGCAAAACCTGATCAGAAATCCCCAGCAGACATCCTGTTATATCTACTGGTCAGAAATTGTGTCCTGTGGTCACTTCTAACTGCAAGGGAGGCTGGGAAAGATTATTTTTTCAGCTGGCCACATTGTTGCCCCCAACAAAATTCAGGTTCTTTAGTCAAAAAGAAGGGGACAATGGATACTGGGTGAGCAATTGGCAGTCTCTGGCCAGGTAACCCAATGCTAAATATGAGAAGAAATACATAGGAAGCAGCAGACAATTAGCACAGAAGAACTAACTTGGCTATTCTTATTTGGAAAAAGCACTTCCTTTCAACCGTTCCTCATTCAACAGACATTCAGGCACAGTTCACCTTTTTTTTTTTTCATTAGACTAGTGAGAAAACTGCAATTTTCAAGTGGGAATTCAGTCTTAATATATAATTACCTTTCTTGCAGCTCACCCTTCTTTTGCTCCTATAATTGGCATCACGTGCTGCCTGAGGAAAATTAGGGACCCTGATGTCATCATGCGGGACGGCTAAACCTGTGTTAACGAGGCAAATAAAGAGTATGGCATTTAAGTATGATATTTCACTACGAACCTCTTCATTTTCAGGTCTCTAAGTTGGTGGAGGAGGCGAAGTATTCTCCCCCCCGCCCCGCCACGAGGTTGCCATAGAACCACTTGGCTCTGCTTTTACGAATGTCCTGTCTCTATGACAATCCCTTCACTCCATCCTCACTCTCTTCTGGCAAGAGCAATGACTGGGTGGAAACCCCAGCCCAGCCCGTTGTGAACCACGCTGACAAGTAAAAAGTTTTCCACCTTCCGAAGCGCAAATGAGGTGGTTTGAGTGGTCATTTCAGCCAGGCCGTGTTTGTGGAGCACTGCCACGCCATACGAGGGTTCTAAAGCGCACTGGTTTTCCTTCCCCAGAATGCCCATACCATAAGCCCCTGGGTTTCGAGTCAGGAGAGGTGACCCCAGAGCAGATCACCTGCTCCAACCCGGAGCAGTACGTGGGCTGGTACTCCTCGTGGACCGCCAACAAGGCCCGGCTCAACAGTCAAGGCTTTGGGTAAGCAGGGAAGGGGGCTCACATGGGATTTTGTTCCATGTGACTTGAAAAAGTAGGTCTCCGTAGTAAGTGAATGACAAAGAATGCATTTATTTATTCAACAAATATTGAGTGCCTCCCACGTGCCGAGGACTGTGGCTAGAGCAGTGAACAGAGTGGATTGAGGGCTCGGCCTTCGAAAAGCACCCAGTTTCGCGGGGGAGATGGACTCTGAGCACACAATCACACAACTGATCATTGGGTAAGTGTGACGAGTGCTCTGGAGGAGACAAAGAAGGGAGAAGACCCGGCCCTGTGGAGCATCAGGGAAGGCTTTCTAAGGAAAAGATACTTAACCTGCGACCTGCCCTTGGCCAGGTGAGGGGAGGAGAGGCACAAGGTACAGCAGGTGCAAAGGTCCTGAGTTGGGAAGATCCCTCCAAGGCATGGATGGGGGCCATAAAGAAGGCCAGCAAGGTTAGAGTACAGGTGACACAAGGCTGGAGGGGTAGGCAGAAGTCAGATTGTGCAGGCCCTTATATGTCATGGTAAGGATTGTGGTCCTTATTTTAGGGATAATGGGAGGACCCTGAATGTGCCTTAATTAGAACACATGTTGGTGCTGCTGTAACTAACAAAGAGCCCCACAGTACAGAGACCTAAACAATGGCGGGCTATAGTTCTTGCTCATTTACAAGTTTCATTAGGGAATCTGGGGGGTGCTAATGGCGGTAATGGAGCTGGATGGTATCAGGGGCCCAGACTTTGTTCTGTCATCTGTAACATGAAGCTTCCATCTCCGGGCCCAAGATTGCCTGCTCTAGCTTCCACTATACACCTAGATGCTAGTCAGTAGGGAGAAGAGAAGACCAGAGTACACCCACTTTCCTTTAAGGATACAAACATAATCCTATTGGCCACTTCGGCCCACAACCCATTGATCAGAACTTGGTCCAATGGCCCCACCTAGCTGCAAGGGAGACTGGGAAATGTGATCTTAGCTGGATGGCCATTTGCCCAGAGGAAACTCAGGGGCTCTATTACTAAAGAAAGACGGGAAGAACATATTGGGAGACAATTAGCAGACTCTACCAGAGAAAGAGTTGAAGTTGGGGACTATCACAATCAGATTGGTGTTTTAAGAAAAATCTTCTGGCTCCCGTGGGGAGAGCTGTTGGGGGGAGCAAGAATAATCCAGGGAGACCAGTTAAGTAAGCTACACAGCTGTCTAGGCGAGAATTAAGGGTGACGTGGGCCAGAGTGGTGGCAGTGAAATGGAGAGAAGCAAATGACTTTGAGAAACATTTGGAGATGGAGCCAATAGATGGATCGGATATTTGAGGTGACAGAGAGGAATGGGCCAAGGATGGCTCTCAGGTCGCTGGCATGAACCCCTGGGAAGATGGGGGTGTCATCCAGAGAGATGAATACTGGAAGGAGGGGTTGGAGTGGGATAAATCAGGGTCACTTTTGGAGAAGTTTCATTTGAGATCTGTAAGGCATCCAGGAGAAGTTGTCTAGCCAGCAATGGGTTCACGGGATTCGGACTTTAGGAAACGTCTGGGATGGAAGTAAGAAGTCAGGGGCCACCCAAGGAGCAAGTCCAGAATTAGAAGAGAAGGCAGCCAAGGACTGAGTCCCAAGAAGCTAATAAATACACAATAAAATAAAATTTAAAAAAAACAACAAAGGGGAAAGTATAGGTTTCTACCATTTTTGAGGGATATAGCTAAAAAACAAATCAGTTCCTTCAATGGTTGGTTTGCGTTACAATTGTCAAGAGCCCTTCCAGCCACTCGCTTCAGTGTTCTGCACATGGTAGACACTCCCTGAAAGCCACGGATGACAGCACCTGAGGGAGACGCAGATAGGTATGAAGAGAGTAAATTAAAGCGAAAAAAAAGACATGGAGAAAGAAACATCAGGGGAGCCCAAGAAAAGGGAAGGGGGCTGGCGGGTACAGTAATCATGCATTCTCGTGTTTTAAAGGAAGACATGCTCAACCACACCCCAAAGGTGATTTCAGCTACACTCAAAGGCATTTCTTTGACAAATTAGTTGAATCTGGCAATTTTTCCTTGGGTGGGGGAGATGCAGGGAGAGAGAGAGAATGATCTAAGTGTCACAGAGGCTGGTCACTTCTCGGAGACAAGCCTCTGGGTGCTTAGGGGATTGCAGCTCAGCCTGCCCGAGCTTTGCGGCGGCTCTTTGGGCACTGGTGTCCCCTCAAGAGACAGTGCCCCCTGGCTTTTCGGAGATGCTCACGGGGAAAGGCTCCCAGTGAGTCGCTGCATCCCCCGCAGGTGCGCCTGGCTCTCCAAATTCCAGGACAGCAGCCAGTGGTTACAGATAGACCTGAAGGAGGTCAAGGTGATTTCAGGGATCCTCACCCAGGGGCGCTGTGACATCGACGAGTGGATGACCAAGTACAGCGTGCAGTACAGGACTGATGAGAGCCTGAACTGGATTTACTATAAGGACCAGACCGGAAATAACCGGGTAAGTTGGGCTTCCCTCAAACCACTATCAGCTCACACTCTCTGGGACCCCCCTGAGGGCCCTGTCCCTGTGCTCCTGTCGCCGCCCTCTGTCAGAGCACTGACCCCAAGGCACGGTGAGCCATCTGTCCTTCTTTCTCACAACACCCGCTGCCCTCTAACAACAACGCATGTGTCTTTTCTTGTTGTATCCCTGGTGCCTAGCATGGTTGGTTTGCCAAAGAGTTTTGCTCATGTTTCGCCACTCTTGTTGCGAAAGAAATCTTTGAATTCTCCTATCAGCATATAGTTGCTTGAATGATCAAAACTGGTTATGGGGACTATTCCAAACTCACTGGATGGCTGAACACTTTGCTGCCTGGGTCTGCTTTGATCCATTAGCGGGCAGGTTCTCATCCATTTATGTAGCTCTGGCCGCTCCTCCTATTGATGGAGACCGACTGCTGGCAAGCTTTGGATGACCCCGCAAGTCAGCCACGACACCATGTAAGTGGTTAACACAACTCCAGCAGTGCAGACACGGAGGCACTTACCCCTTGGAGCAATTTTATATCTTACTCATTTCTGAGGGCCGAGCCCCAAGTCTCGTTCATCATAGACTGAACACAGTAGGCTCTTATACATACATATATATATATATAAATAGATCTAATCAATATTATCTATATAATGTATATTTGCAATGAATTAAAAACTCACTAGCTGTTTGGAAATGTTAACTGTCCTTTTACCTGAGAGTGAGGACTTCCCTGGCCAATTGGGACATTTAATCAGGTGAGGTAGACATGTGGGGCTGAAAATCAGAAGGCTTTGTACTCTCTGATGACAATTTGTACAGCAAGACATTCACGGGTTGAGATTTCAAGGAGTTTGAACACAATAGGAAAAACTGTCTTGATACTTGGACATTTTATTTCATTTTTGTTCTTATTAGTTGACTTTTCAAAAAGATGTGAGAATTCTTTTTCAAGCCCTGTGTTTCTGAAGGCCTTGACTGTTCTTTGCAAAGAGGCACTCTGCTCGGAGGAGCCTGGAGAAGCTTGTTCCATCCACCCTCGTCACCTGGTTCCTGCCTTGACTAAGTTCAAGGGCAAACAGTTTAGAGAAGGGAGTGCGGGCAGTTGCTACCGGGAAGAAAGGCAAGATCATGGCAGCCGAGGTCCTTCTTGTTTTGTCAATGGTTAAAGCCAATGTGACACCCAGATTTTTTCAGATTATCCCAGAAGGAAATGAAATGTTCCAATGTCATCAGGCAGAGCACTATGACTCTGGAACGGGGGCAAAGAATGCTTTCTTTGGAAATATAGCCAAAAATCCACTGTACCTTTTTGTTACATCCTGAAAAACACGAAGCAAACCCTTTTTCTCTCTATTCTGGGCACCGCCCACCCCCATCCAGAATCTCCCCGCTAGTTTTTATGTCTTTTTCTTTTTCTAAAATATTTTTCCAAGTCTAAAACGTACTTGCCATTTGTATCAACGTAGAGAGACACACTTAAGTTTCGGCTCACCACTTCAGGGCCAACTCATGAATTTTTACTTGAATCTCACTTTGGATACCTTTGGAACACGGGAACATTCCTCTTTGTGTGAGGTCGTCCTTTTCAAAATTTGTCAAAATGCAAAGGATTAAAACACAACATTGGTGATAAGAGGCACTTTTTTTTTTTTTTTATCAGCGCCGTCCAATAGAGCTTTCTGCAATGACGGAAATGTTAATATCTGCACTGTCCAATATGGCAGCCACTGATCACATGAAGCTGTTGAGCTTGGCTAGTGTGACTGAGGAACGGAATTGTTACCTAATTTTACTTCATTTAAATTTAAATAGTCACACATGGCTAGTGGCTACCATACTGGATGGCACTGTTCTAGATGTCCCCATATAGTGACTTGGAGATGCCCTGAGCCTGTAGGTCACTCACTTGAGCTAACCATCACTCAAGGTCAGGTTTTAGGGTGGGAGGGATCCACAAATTCTCTGCACTTAAATCACTTTCTGAGGTTTTCCAGGCAGAAGTTGAAGCCATCTCCAGACAGGAATCATTCTTCCTTTTCTCTCTCCTGATGTGACAGTGACAGGATTTTCTCCCTCTCTTTAGGTCTTCTATGGAAACTCAGACCGAACCTCCACAGTCCAGAACCTGCTGCGGCCCCCAATTATTTCCCGCTTCATCCGGCTGATCCCACTGGGCTGGCACGTCCGCATCGCCATCCGGATGGAGCTGCTGGAGTGTGTCAGCAAGTGTCCCTGACGCCTCCTGCCTCAGCCTCGGCCCTCGGGGGGAGGGCGCAGAGGGCCTGGGGGACCCTGATGCCGCACTGTGACAAACAAGGCCGTATTTTACAAGCTGCTCTCGGGTTTTTTTTGTCTCCATGATGCTGTGAAAGGTGCAGTCCCAGGGGAACACGAAGCAGCCCTGATCATTCGAGAATTCTTGTGCTTTACCACGTTCAAAACAGGAACAGAGAGTTTCATAAACCCTCACTTTGAATGCAAAGGGGGAGCAAGCTTGCAGTTTCTCCTAGCTAGGTTTTCGTTAAATCAGGGCCTCTTAGGACTTTAGAGCACCGGGTAGGCAGAGTGAAAGTTTTGGGGCTGACTGGGTGGCGGCGTTGAGTATGGTGGATGGGAGCCTGTGTCCTGGTCTCCTGAGAGCCATACACGTCCAAACGCCTCACGTAGGATGGCCTCCCCTGCCCCGGGCTCTCGTCTCCTGCACACAGAGATTGTGCATGGGCCCATGCTGCAGCCCATTTCAGGCCAACTGTCCTTCTGTGGTCACTATTTAGGTGAATACACGGGGCAGGCTGCAGGTGTCAGTAGCAAAGTTTCCCTCTATTTAGGAACCCCAAACGACCAGAACACACTGGAATTTCCCTTTCGCTATGGCTACCATTCTTCAACAAGCCTAACACTTTGAAAACAGTTGGCCCAGGAGCTATCACTGGCCGCTGGGAGGAGGCCCATTAACTGACTACATGCTTTGCAGGAAGTGGTCAGGACCTACACCCTAAGAAGGGCAATGTGGCTACATCCCTGCAGAGCCCAACCGTCCAACCTCTGCCCCCTGGCCTTGCAACACACAAACACACCTGCTCCTGATGCTTAAACCTCCCTGGGAAGGAACGAGCCTGGAACGGGCCTGGGCCTCCCCTCCTGGAGGAGCTCCTTAAGCAGGGAGCTGGGGGAACAGTGTAAGTCTCCTCTGTCATTTATAGCCCCTGAAAAGACCCTTCCCTGGGACAGGCTGATGACATGGGGGATGGGCAGGAGAGGATTTGAAAGTAGGAGTTGAGAGGGGGTGGAATCAGAGGATGTGGGTCCTCCAACGAGACTGGGGAATCCAAGACCGTCCTGACTCCGACGCGGTGCAGCCTTCGCCAGCAGCTCCTTTCTCTGAGTTCCTTTCTGTTTTCAAACGCCAAGCCCAGTGAATGGACTCACACTAACACGATCCTGAACATCACATTCGCCTTCTCTGTGAGCGGGCAGCTGCCTAAAGGCCCAAAATCTCTTCCCTGGTGTTTTTGGGCTTAGAACAACTTCATACATACATATATATATACAGACACTTTTTTTTTTTTTTGGCGAGGAAGATTTGCCCTAAGCTAACAGCTGTGCCAATCTTCCTCTACTTTGTATGTGGGACACTGCCACAGCATGGCTTGATGAGTGGTGTGTAGGTCAGCGCCCGGGATCCGAACCTGTGAACCCCAGGCTGCCAAAGCAGATTGTGCAAACTTAACCACTACACTGCTGGGACGGTCCCAGAACAGGTTCATATTTAACCCAGCATCTTTCTAACCCCATGCTGTATACCTGAACCCGGAAAAATGTTTTTTCCCTGTTCAATCTTCTCTCAAATATAAACGTATCAACTCAGGGTAGGGAAAAAAACTCCTTCTCTGGCCTTAGGACACATGGACAAATCCATTTTGAACGGAATGCCTGATGGGAGACCCTCACTGGGAAAGCTGAATGAACTTTCATCATGACACAGATTGTCAGAGAAAATGGCAGTAGCCTGAGTTCAGGTCCTCTACAACTGGCACTCCAGACGCAGGAGGGAAGTAGAGTTAAGGGAAAAAAGAAAAGAACGAAAGTGTGAGGCAGGAATAAACGTTCTCCAAATAATCGTTCATGTTGGCAATTCCTGTTTTGTAACAGCTTTATTGAGATAAAGTGCACCTAACACACAAATTTCACCCATTCAAAGTGCACAATTCAATGACGTTTAGTATATTCAGAATTGAGCAACCATTATCACAATTTTAGAAAAATTTCATCACCCCAAAAAGAAACCCTGCACCCATTAACCATCACCCCCCAAGCCACTTGCCCACCCCAGCCCCAGGCAACCACTGATCTACTTTCTGTCTCTGTAGATTTACCTGTTCCAGACATTTCATATAAACGGAATCATAGAATACGTGACCTTTTCTATCTGGCTTCTTTCGCTTAGCATTGTGTTCTCAAGGTTCATGCATGTTGTAGCATGTATCAGGACTTCATTCCTTTATATGGCTGAATATCATTCCATTGTACAGAGAGACCACATTGTGCTTATCCGTTCATCTGTTGATGGACATTTGGGTTGTTTCGACGTTTTTGACTATAATGAATAATGCTGCTATGAATAATTGTGTACAAGTTTTTGCGTGGACATGTTTTTATTTCTCTTGGGTATATACCTGGGAATGGAAATGCTGGGCCATATGGTAACTCTATATTTAACCTTTTGAGGAACTGTCAGATGACTTTCCGAAAGTGACAGCACCATTTTACATTCCCACCAGCAGTGTATGAGGGTTCCAATTTCTCCACACTTGTTCCTGTCTTCTTGATTATAGCCATCCTGGCATGTATAAAGTAGTACCTCATTGTGGTTTTGACTTGTATTTCCCTATGGCTAATGATACTAAGCATCTTTTCATGTGTTTACTGGCCATTCATACGCCTGCCTTCTTTGGAGAAATGTCTATTCAGATCCTTTTGCCCATTTTAAAATCAGGCTGATTTTTTATTATTGAGTTGTAAGAATTCTTTATATATTCTAGATACAATTCCCTTGTCAGATATATGATTTACAAATATTTTCTCCTATTCTGTGGGTTGGCTTTTTACTTTCTTGATGGAGTTCTTTGAAACACATATTTTAAAATTTTGATGAAGTCCAATTTATCTTTCTCTTTTGTTGCTTATGCTTTTGGTGTAATATCTGAAAAACTATTGCCAAATCCAGATCATGAAGATTTACTCCTATGTTTTCTTCCAAGACTTTTATAGCTTTACCTGTACATTTACATTTAGATCTTCGATCCATTTTGAGTTACTTTTTGTATATGGTATGAGGTAGGGGTCCAACTTCATTCTTTGCATGTGGATGTCCAGTTGTCCCAACAGCATTAGTCAAAAAGAGCATTCCATCCCCATTGAATGGTCTTGACACCCTTATTGAAGATCAATTGACCACAAAGGTGAGGGTTTAATTCTAGACTCTCAATTCTATTCCATTGATCCGTATATGTCTGTCGTTATGCCAGTACCACACTGTCTTGATTACTGTAGCTTTGTGGTAAGGTGGTTTTTTTTTTTTTTTTTTTTTTTGGTGAGGAAGATTGGCCCCAAGTTAACATCTGTTGCCAATCTTCCTCTATTTTGTATGTGGGATGCTGCTACAGCATGGCTTGATGAGCAGTGTGTAGGTCTGCACCCAGGATCCAAACCCACAAACCCCAGGCCACTGAAGCAGAACGTGTGAACTTAACCACTACACCACTGGGCCAGCCCCTGTAGTAAGCTTTGAAATTGGAATGTGTGAGTCCTCCAACTTTGTTCTTCTTCAAGGTTGTTTGGGCTATTGAGTCCCTTGAAGTTCCATATGAATTTTAGGATCAACTTGTCAATTTCTGCAGAGAAGCCAGCTGACATTTTACATTGGAAATTGCTCAATATTTCAGAATTTAACAAACAATGAGATACTGAGATCTGTAAAATGTTTCTCTGCAGGTAATTTGTTTAGGAGAGCATATAAATTATTCACTTCATTTAATTTATGACAATATATCAAAAATAAAACTTTTATTGAGGGACATCCGAAGCCTGACAGAATCTTGCTATTAAACACATAAACTATGTTTGCAGTATTCTTTTATAGGGGAAACTTTAAAAATATATAATGTAGCAAAAACTCACTCCCTTACATTAACATATTTACTTTTATTTTCAGAAATGCTAGTGTGGTCTACACTTGCAGGGGATTTTTTTTTAATTGTGGTAAAATATACGTATCACATTGCAGGAGATTTTTAAACAACTAAATGAAGTGCTATGAACAAAGAAGTAGCATTAAGCGTTGCCAAGATTAAGAACATGTGAGCTGATTTTGGTACTCACTGTGGGAGGAGGTTACTTGGATGAAGCAAAGGTATTTCAAAATAAAGGCACCACCATGAATCCAGTCTCAGAGCCCAGAAGACCGGCCCCTAAAGTGAGCCTTTGAACAGGAGCTGAGAGAAGCCCGCCTTGCTGTCTACCCGGAGCGGGCTGCGGAGGCCTCTGACTCACGCACAGCTGTGAGGGCTGCTGCGCCCCCTATAAGCCAAGAGCAGCTCCAAGCTGGGCGGTTCTTAACTGAGACAACTTTGCAGGCTTGGTGTGAAGATCAAATTGGATAAGTGCATCGAAAGGGCTTAATGAGCTCTCCATAACTGGCAGTCAAGATTCAGTGACATTCTTTTTCAACCTCAGAGGGCTGCCAATTGGGGCACAATAACAGCAATAATGTTTTATGGCTAATATTTACGGAGAATCTATCAAGTGCTTTTTAATCCTCACAACAACCCTCTGTGGTAGATACTATTATTATTTTCATTTAAAGACAAGGAAACGGAGGCATAGAAAAGTTAAGTTACGTGCCTAAAGCCGCATAAGATGTAGGTGATGGAGCTAAGATTCCACTCAGGCTCTCTGACCCCAGATCCTGTGCTTTTAGCCACTTCCCAGTCTCTGGACCTCTACTGACTTGTTTCAGTGAAACGTTCTACTCTCAAGTCAAACCAGTTACCATCTGCTGGGAGATGGGAGGAAGGGTGGTCCGTGAACCGTCCCACATCATGAAGCCCATGTCAGTGTCTCTACAGGGAGACGCAGCAGCTGCGCTGTTTGGTAGCGCTGAAGGGTGTGTGGGCTTCACAGTGAACATACTCGGCTTCAAATCCCAGCCGGTGACCCCGGGCAAGTGAACGGCAAGTCCAGGAACCTGTTTCCTCATCTACAAATGGAGATACTGCCCACTTCATTGCGTTGGTGTGAAAAGTAGATGTAGTAATAAAACACTGAGCATTCTGCCTAGCCATAGTAAGTGCTATCAACATAAAAAAATGACAAGCCCCAGATACTTTGATTCAGGCTTGATAAAAAGTATAGCTGAAAGCACAGACCCCAAGTTCCCACGACACTTAAGGAGAAATTTGGAGTGAAGAAACTGGTGACACAGTGCTCTTAAGAATACAATGCACTAGATTTTAGCTCCTATTCTTTGTTTAGAAAGATAAAGAAAGTTGGAGAATATTTATATAGGTTATCACAAAATTTAAGTTCTTTCCCCCTGACTGAGCATTTGACTCAACGGTCTTCTTATCCTTAACGACAAAAATCAAGGCCTAAAACTGGTCAGTAAACTGGCCCCCAGCCTGCCTGTTTCTATAAATAAAGTTTTATTGGAACACAGCCACACCCATTCATTTACATATCCTTTATGCTGCTTTTGCACTAGAATGGCAGAATTGTGTGGCGGTAGAGTTGAGTAGTTGCATCAGAAATCCTTTGGCCCACAGAGCTGCACATATTTACTACCTGGCCCTTTATAGAAAAAGTTTGCCAACCCTCTGCTCTAAAACATGAAGAAGCCCCTATTAAGCTGTCCATCTTTGCTTTCTCCATGGCACTGAGCAGGAGGCTGGCATCTCTTCCCATCCTCCCCAAACCACCAAGAGAGCATCTAGCAACACGCAAAGGAGATAGCAGTCAAGTGTAAAAGAAACCAAAGTTTTCAAAGTGCCAGAAGGGAAAAAAGCTTTATAAATACAAAAAAAAAAAAAAATTATCAACATCATTAAATAACAGGATTTGCCCTGCTTTACATTAATTTCTGTCCCTTAAACTGATTCCAACTTCAAAGGCCCATTATCCCTCATTTGAATTCAAACAAGTTCTTTACAAAGAAGGAACTAACAGAGCTGCTTGCTGTTCAAATACCAGGGACCACAGTGCTCAAGATGGGGACGGCCTGGCAATCATATCAGTCAGTGCAAAATCTGCATTTTATTAAAGACATTTGAGAAGATCCATTCAAAAATACATTGTGCTCAGTAAAAATTAACCATTTCATGCTGATAATTAAGGTTACCACGGAATAGATATTTGTATAATATTTACAGCAACAATAGAAATTTTACATAAGTTTAGAATGGAATACATGCCAGAAAAAACTTGATAAGATGTACCAACACATGATACAAAGAGTTATATAAACACTTTACAAATGGTTCATAATTAGCTCGTGAGGAATTTAAATATTCAACACTTTAAATTCAGTTTGGATTCAAAAATTAAAAAGGTTACCACCACATCACACCCTTGCCACAGTAAAAAGTATGGAATTACACTCTGTATTATGGATTATAAAGTCTGTGCAATTAAGAATTTCCACTGATTCTTCATCTACCAAATTTGGATGTTACATCATTCTGGCTCATCCCTATTTTTGTTTGCATGCATGAGCAGGGCTCTCAAAGTCACCCTGCCTTGTGTCTTCCCAGATTCCCCCTTCAAACCTCCTAGAGATTGAAGAAGCTCGGAATAGTCTTCTAAGTATATACAGAATAACTACCTGAATTCAAAATGGCACAAAGCAATTCTTGGAGATAGGAATTAGGGGCAACTATTTTGTCTGGTTTAATTGTTTGTGTTAATCAATCCACGTTTACTGGGAGAATGTCCTTGCGATCACAGCAGTTACTCCTCCAGCCTGACTCAATCAGTGACCAAGCAGGAAACAAGGGAGGGAAGCAGACTGAGATGACCATAATCAATCGTGTATCTGTAGTGAAAACGGATTTTATACAAGCTTTGCCTTCCATTTCGGAAAATCTAAGCCATTGTGGAGCACCTAAAAGTTCTCCAGGAGGCAAAGCATTGTTTTCTTCTGGAAACTGAATGTTTTGTAACTGAAGCTTTTGACAACTCTGGCGATAAACACTTTAATCCCCCAACAGGGACAAAAGTCAAGGCATCTACCTTTTCTATTCCTGGGTTTCGTCTGATTAGCTCTGAAGCAGAGCACTAGAACAAGCTTGTCTACGCCTGAAATGAAGCAGATCAGGCTTTTGGGAAAGTAAAATCCCAAACCAAAGGAAGTCCTGAGGAATTCTTAGCAGTCTGTCAAACGGAGGGGATGGAGGAACAGATAAGGCCTCTTTCTCCCTGACACTCTGCGCTGGAAGAATAGCGAACAAGGCAACTTCTAATCTGCATACAACATGGAGACCGATTTTGTAAAATTCCAAAGGAGGATGGAAATCCGACCCAAGGATCAAATGGAGTTCAGAGAGCTTCACCGTGTGGGGAATGAAGGGCCTTCGAAGTGAAACCGGTTTCACTGCCGCGGTTCTCTGGCCCTACAAGTCCTACGTGCAGACTATTACAAATTTTTTCTGGCAAAACAAATGACAAACCTCCCTCAAATTTGGGAGTAAACAGTTAATGAATGAAAATACAAGGCAGGTCGTGATCATATTTAATAGCCTATAGGAGATACACAGAAAGGTGTGTCAGTGCCCGGAGCGGAGAAAGGTGGAGTCGGGACCAGGCCCATCGCTGACGAATTAACAAAGCACTATGGGAAATGATTATTCACATAGTAACTGACTTGGCACAAAAGTCTATGATCTTTTATAGTACATTCAATTAAAGGAGAAGAAATAGAATAGACTAGGGCAGCAGGCCCAGAGTTTCCTAGCCACCTTACTTCTACCACATTGTGTGTATACAGACAGACAAGGGACTCATCCTGTCACGGCTTCATTATCTTGCATTTACTCATGGTTTCTAAGACAGAATTTTTTACCCAGCGGAATCAGAGCACAAGATACTCTATATCTCAGCTGGTCAAAATGCAAAAGGAAGAAATCAGAACCACTTACAAGGTTTTGTTTTGTAAGTTGGCCCTTTAAGTCTCTGAGACAACCTTCTTGTGAGATTCTGGCCCTGGGGATTGGTGACAGGACACTTAGAACATTTGTACTGTCTTTTCTGCAGCTCCTTTTAAAGAGACCATTTTCTCTTTAACTGTAAATAAGTTTTCTCTGCCTACACACTTTGTTAGTGATGAACTGAAGGAGGCGAGGAAATATTTCAATATTTTCTGACTTGATTCAGTGTATCATACCACATTCCCAGTTCACAAAAGCATGAGTCTGTGGATCTTAGTGCTCACATGGAGTCAATATCCCACCACAATGCAGGAGGTAACAAACTTCTAGGTAGAAAAGCAGTGCTCTCCAGCAAACAACGCTCTGCCCAGGAGAGAGCACGCAGATTGCTGAGTCCCAGCTGAGCTCTAGGAGCGAGTCGCGGCGAGCAAGTGCCCTTGCTGAAAGTTGGGTCACCGCCAGGACCTAGGTGAACAGAAATAGAGCCTTCTCCACACTTGGAAAGTAATCCTCTGGCCTTTAAAAAAAGCTGTACACTTATGAGTCATTCTCGATACACAACTAGAAGAAAATAAATGGCTTTTTTCCTTATTTACTCTAAAAACTAGTTTAAGAAGTGAGGATACTAACGTTAACTAAGAGGTGCTGGGAAGGGGAACTGGGATAGCATTTCCTAGCAAAATTCACTAATTTTCAGGTTAGGAACATGCTTAACTGGCTAACTCTATAACCACAGCATACTTTATAATACATGACGTGACTAGAAACTAACCAGCGTAGCTCTGAGCTGAGAATTAAAGTACAACCGCATATGGGAATCTTAAAGCATGGTTTAAAACAGATTAACCAAGCGTACAGCACAAATACTCCTATAACAGCCACATCACAACCACCAATAAAGAGTTTTTTGCTTCTAATCAGCCTGTCGTATGCCAATATTTGTAAAGAGCTATTAAATGACTTCAATAAAAAACAAAGACATTTTCTTTTGGGAGACATAGCTAAAACCCATGGATACCTTTGAGCAGTTGGTAAAAATCATGCCAATCTGCTAGGCTGCTGCTTGCTTCTAAATATAAGCCTCATGGCTCTATGAAAGATTTTTCTAAGGATGCTGACCTAGAATTTAAGTTCTCAAACATCTATAAAGAAACTCTGGTCTCCTCTTAAAGGATGCATCTTTTAGCAGGCCCAAGACAATGGAAACGAACAACAGGATTCCAGGGATTCAAGAATAGTGGCAGACGACTCTTTAAGAGAACGCGATGCTGAAGAATTCATACCTGCAGCTGCGTAGCCTGGGGAGAACAAGGACAGAGCCGAGCTCTGCGGACTGCTGGGCTCGGAAGACGCTACAGCAGGGTTTCTCAACCTCAGCACTACTGACATTCGGGGCTGGATCATTCTTCATTTGTGGGGCGGTCCTGTGCATGTAGCATGTTTAGTGGCATCACTGGCCTCTACCCACTAGATGCCAGTAGTACACCACCAGCCCCAGTTGTGACAACCAAATGTGTCTCTTGCCGTTGCCAAATGTTCCTGGGAGACAAAATCGGCCCTGGTTGAGAACCACTGCTATAGACACAGCTCACTTGAGCCCCTTAGCATGGAGAACTTTTGCTCTTGGATTCTGGAGAGAGGCTAAACCTCAGATCGAGACCAAACAAGGTTTAGTAAAAGTTCATTTAGAACTTCTAAGAAGAAAAATGAGGATGGTGGTAAAGCAAAAGCAGAAAAACAGCAAAGCAGAGTTTCTTTTCAAAAGGAGATCAGTGATACTTCCACAGAACAAAGTAATTCATAAGCCTTCCTTCAACCTTTTTATCCTTTAGGAAGTTAGGGTAGACAATAGCATATGGATGTCATAAATTTCCCCTCCTAAAGAAAACGCAGACCTTCGTGACTTTAGGTCAAGTCCTTCTTGTCACAGATGGCAATCTTTATGAGGTCAACAATTCATCAACCAGAGGAAAACAACGTTAAAAACTAAGAGAGAGCCCATTAGATTTGAGAGAAAACTTTACCATTTCCCTCTGTGAGAAGGAAGAGAATTACCCATGCTAGAAATGCGGATTGTAGTTCACTTATAGCTTATTGAGGTCAATGAAAAGTCAGAATGGACAAAAGCTGAGAAGAGGATAAAAGAGCTACTTCAAAAACACTAGTTGAAAACATTGTAGATATTTTCTGGCTCAAATCTGGGAATGTACGAAAAGTACGTATCGACTCTTCATCGGTTAGGTTTACTTTGCTCTAGGTAGAAGGCAATTATTCTAGCCCTTCTTTGAAGAACCATCATGAATATAAATGTTCTGCATAACATCTGAGATCCCAGTGTTAGCAAGGATGAAAACATGGGAAACCAGCCCCTAGGTGACAACGAGCCTCAAATGCCACAGTATGGCAATGTGACTGCGCAGTTCCTAAGCGCACAGCACAGTGAGAAGTCTTTCCAGAGGAAAAAATGTAGTTTCTGGTTTGCAAGGGAGAATACAAGGTACAGATCTAGTATGAAAAAGAATTACACACCCTTTTAGAGTCATTAGTATCCAGGCAAAAACTGCTAAGGGTCCATGTCACTTATATAACTGAGCAGCTGCCTGGGAAAAGCCACAAGTCAGAGCTACTTGAACAGTACTGAACTGGTGAAAGAAACAGGATATAAAAAGAACTGAACAGCATGCAAACTACTGGTTAGAATCAAATCGTTTCAACGATAGTACCCAGTTGAGTTTCATTTTAGTGCCTATTACACTTATTAAAATTAAATAAAAAGCACCTTAAAACGACCTCTATATATAATCAATACACATCGTTATAGCAGTTATATAAAAATGCACTATGTACACAATTTAAGCTTCAAGGAAACTAAGACCTTTTTCTTTATAATCTTCATAATCATCAGCGCTATGATTCTCAAAATCCTGGAGACAGGGAACAGTAACTCAGCACATTTCAATTATAGCTGATATGGTTCAGGGGCTGAAGCTCTCAGAATACTGGGACAAGTCGTAAATACTGAGAAGTTACCTCTTTAAGGGGTGGGAGGGGATCTTTAAAAATATTATTGCTAAGAGACTACTTCTAAAGATCTAATACTCTTGATGGATGATGGTATTGAGGTGATTTCTGTCAAGGATGGCCCAGAGACATGGGACTATAACCCTTGTTGGCCAAAGGCATTAATGACATTTGGGAGTAATCTGGGAATTGAAGGAGATCAAATGAGGGAAAGGTGAGTCCTGTTCTGTCTATGTGTGTGTGTGTGTATTGATGTGCATGATAACCTTGTTATAAGTGGACAGTCCCAGGAAGAAAAAATGACTATAGCAATTTTCTCTACATCTGGAATTGCTTCAGGAGCCTTTTAAATATATTGGAAAGAGCAATAACAAGAAAAGCATTTAGAAATAGAAATGCCACACGTGTATCTTACACCACACCAGCCAAGAGTCTCCGGTACAGTGCCCAGGATTCAGGGGCATAGAGCTGGTTTGCAAGATCTGCAGACAGGTGCCTCTTAGAACCTTACAACTAGGAATGTTCACCGGCAAATCTTTGGTCTATGCTCTACACTAATGCTAAGTAGAAGAGCACATTCTCTCTATGAAGACCCACGAGTAACCCTGGATCTGTTCTCCCCTCAGGTACAAGGAACGTCCCTGGACACGAATAAGAGTCAACTGTAAGGACGGAGACGAGGCCTGCTGGAGTTCTCACTGGCCTAGCCGACTCTCTTCCCCTGTGGGTTTGGAAAGAGACGCTGCATCTCATCTCTACCAAGGATCATGTCTAGAGGCTACTGCTGGGGCATGAAGGTTGAGCAAGGTTCCTACAGTCACATATAGCCACAATTCAACTCCCTTGATTAGAAGTATAATACTCACTTCATATCACAAATGTATAAAAATATGGCAGATAGTGTCATAACGGTACTTTTTTTAAATGATATTTATAAAACAGACAGATATTTACCATATATATATTTATATATAGAATAAAATACTCCTGATGCAATATATAAATGTTACTGTTTAGTTTTTATAGAAACTACCGTAGCTGTCCCACTGCTTCACAATGTTCCAAACAGCTCAAAATAACTTTACATTTAACATAAAAGGTATGATTATAACAGTACAATATTAATTAATTATAAATAAATGTTACAAATCCTATCAAATATGGAAGTTTAGAAAACAATTTAAGACATACAGTTAGTTCATCTGCTAACCCTTCAAAGGGATACTCTTGGATTACAATAAACCCCACATTTAGTCTAGGCAGAAAAAAATCTGTGGTGAGGGCATCGGTCAACACAAATTCTTCTATCCCTTGCAGTGCCAGAACACACCCTGGCTTTCCCGAGTCCGAGAGGAATTGCACTAAAGCTGGAACGTAAGGGGGAGAAACTGGCAAGAATGTCTTCCTCTTCATTGGCACTCTATCCATTCTCACACAAGACCCGTGGGGACTGGCGCTCCCTAAGGAACTCCTGTGGCTCTAAGATCCCTGACTAGCATTCGTGGCCGTGAGGAGCCAGAGCTCCACACATACAATATTGCACACACCTTCATAAAGCTGAAAATATTGGCTTACCACCCGGGCCCAGCCCATTCCCCAACCCCACCCCCACCCCCACCCCGCAACTGGCTTGTGCCCCTCCCCAATCCCTCCCCCTCCCAGCACACATTACAAGGCTGTCTCTTTTAAATCATTCAGATTTGGCATTCGGGACCGATTTGTTCTGTTATAAGGGTGCCCGTTTGGCCCACTCTTGGCACTCAGCTGTTCAGAGTAGGAAGGCCCCTCTGTGGCACTCCGGGTCACAGAGGACACATGCCAACCAGGGTCCATCTGACCTGGCAGCTGGAGGGCTGGCCTGCCCTTTGGTGTGGGCTCCTGCCGGATGTTACTGCTCCCGCCAGAGGCTTGGCTCAAGGGGTGAATCCGAATTTCTGAGAAGGAATTTTTGGTTTGTTGAGCTGCTAAGGGCTGGAAGCGGGGGTCTGAGGAAGCTGGGTGATTTGAGGCTGAAGAGAGATGTAACAGCTTGCGCAGTGATTTTAATGGCTGGCTCTGAAAGAAAAGATGAGAGCACATGGACGATTTAATTTAGAGTAGACTCGGAAATGGGGATGAAACGGAGGGGAGATCTGAGACAACTGCACCAGCCAGGGAGGGCGGCCATCGGGGAGGACGAGCTAGTTCAGCTTTATCTGTTCTTTCCCGTTCTTTTCCGATAAGATTAAAGTTGTTTTTTTTCTTTTAATGAAAAAGCCTAGAAATCTAGATAAGAAATCTAGAGCTGATGTGGTGGCTGACCAAAGGTGTAGGCACCTTCCACCTAGCCGCATCCCATCCTTCCGGAGCATCTCATGCTCCAACCAGCAGGAAGAAGCAATAGAAGGGATATGCCTCTCACTTTGAGAAGACATTCTAACAGCTCCACATAAAGCTGTCACTTGTATGTCACCAGCCAGAACTCAGCCATACGACCATACCTAGCTGCAAGAGAAACTGAAAAAACGTAATGTTTCAATTAGGTAGCAACATACTCAGCTAAAAATTGTATATCCCCTTCTGTTCTTATCTCCCCAAGTTCCCTTTTCCCTTGACATTGCAAAATCTAAATGTTCCCTTTCTGCACTTTTACTTGTTTTTGGCTTTTGATTTGATTTTTTGAGGCGGGGGGAGGGTAAGCTTTGGGCCATAAAAAATGCAGAGCACAGAGAAACAGGCAAAAGCCCTACAGATGCTAAAACACGACGGCCTTCAATTCCTACCATGGGCTCCTCGCTGACCCGCCTGTCTGCTGTGTGGCTGATGCCTGGGCCCCACAGAGTGCTGTACTGTGGAGGGAGACTGTGTTTCAAGGCCCTGTGGGCTCCCCACAGGAGAGGCATGCGAAAGCACTCTGAAATTCAAGGCCCTCATAGGGACCCGGGCACCTCTGGCTGCCAATCTTCAAGAGCCACGCATTTAAGGGCTCAGCAAAATTTTAATAAAATGTTGACAATCTCAAGGAACACTACAAGATTTGAAGGAACAGGGCACTGAAATCCCAGGGAAACTGCTTGAGAATTGATTCAAGTAGAAATCGCTCCTGGGGAAGCATCCTCCATGGCCATTCCAAAGTCTGTCCAAGAAAGCTTTGTTTGTGGTCCCCATCGGAGGCGGCATCGTACAATGTGCATCGTAAGTGCTCAAAAGTGTGTTCTTTGCTTTTTTTAAAAATGAAATTGGTACGATAACACAGTGAGATCCCTTGTGATTTTTATAGCTCTGACTCCATGTAACTATTGAGCAATTACAATAACCTGGGTTCAGCTGGAGAGACAAAATTACCTGAAAAGAGCTTCTTGGCAAAAGAAATGGCAACACAAAGAAGGTTCTAAAGCCCCATATTATTTTTTTTAATTGGGAATAGAACATCGGGCCCTCGCTCAGAGCCTTGTGCTCTTAGTTCCGATACGTATCCAGTAACTTGGATGTCTGGCTCTCTATACCCTCTCCACCCCCCAGCCTATATTATGTTAGAAGCAGAAAATATAAATGATTGGGCAAATATAATCAACATTTGGGAAACTCCTATCAGCGACTCTGAGTAACAGCTTACAGTGAAAGAAAGTAAACAACAAACCTATAAAAACAGACCCTCCTCCTCCAAATCACAGAAATCTGTGGTCATTCATAGGCACGAGTACTGTACAGCCTCAAAAGCCCATAAGGGTTGTCAGAAATTACAGCACAGGAGAAAAATGAATTTACAAAATATTGAATGGGATCAAAAAAGAACTTAGATTATGTTACTGTGCTCATTATGGGATACTGAAAAGATACAACGTTAAAACATTTCTAATCAAAATAGTTGTTCAAAGGAGATAAACCTCAGTCACCTGAAGAATCTACTGATTCAGCTTCCGCTCATTCTCCCATTATGGCAGATAAACGTGATTCTACAATACTGTCTAATATGCAGTTCCTAATGCAACTGTTTGCAAGTTTTCCATCAAAAACAGTATGGATTTCAGAAGTTTAAATATTCTTTCAAGAAGAGTTATCATATCTGTCTTTCAAGGCCCAATTTGTGTGCCACCACCTCTAATGAAGCCTTAATCTGCCCACTACCTCCTCTCACTCTCCCCTACATTTTATGGCCATGAATTATGGTTATTTATGGATTTTCTCTCTCTTAGGCTGCAGGGTATTCATGGGCTGGGACTATGTCTTAATCGTCCCGTTAATCCCCTCCAACCCCCCCAGCTAGGAGAGGGCTAGGATTCCTCGTTGGATATGGTCACTGAAACAAGCTGCATCTGGACTCCTAAGATGCTTCTGGCTATTAGTGAGCGTATATTACAGGGAGGCTTTCAGCCTTGTGGAACATTGAGAGGCTAAATTTCTCAACCCTGCCCTCCCCTCAGGAAAGAGGGTCACTGCAGAGTCTGAGAGTCTAGGAGTGATGCAGGCGCCACTCACTTGGGTCTGTAGATCAGAGATCTTCTCAGGACGCCACTCCTTTGGTCTGCTGCTCGGAGTGCTAGCAGAGTGAATGGCTTTCTGTAATGTCAGAAGATCGGGGCCATCAGAATTGGGCACCTAGAGCAGAATGTGGGCAAGGATTCAATAAGCACACCAATAAGCCTAGTTAAGATATGCAACCACACCCAAGAGAACAAAAGCAAATCAAATCAAAACTAAAAGAAAAAAAACCCAATAAAAAAACCAAAACTCTCCCAATGTTCACAATGCAAGTGATGCTAGTTAAGTTCTGCTGCCCTCTTAATAATTTTCCCTGCATTAGGAAAAATTGGCAGATGTCATGCAGCTTTGTTAAAACCTCAACCCTTAAAGCATTCCCATGCTGTTAGTTTTAGTCGCTGTAAGAGAGAGCAGTTAAATTGGGCTGTACCAGGAATTGCTGTCGTATCCTCATTCCATATTGCAGTTAGGTTATGAACCAGTTCAATAAAACAAAAATTTGTTCCCACTGGGGAAATGATCCAAACGCTGTATTTGGTGGTGCCAAAGAAGTCTAGCAGGCTTTCAGGGATAAGCAAAGTGGGAAAGTATGGTTTGAATCAGATTCCCAAGACACTGCCCATTAAATCTGGGTCTAGCAATCTGCACTATGAGAATGCTGGAAATTTGTGGCACAAATTCCAAACGAATGCAATTGGTCCATTCACTGATTTTGGTGAACACAGAAGAGTAATGCCAAATGCCAAGCAAAAGCTCTGGCTTTAAACTAAGTGACCAGCAAAAGCTAGAGCCAGGCAAAGAGCAAATCACCAACAGAAGCTGTTTTTCACGGAGCCTGCTAGCTCACTTAATTTGGTCAATTCCACTTGGTTTCAGAGAAACAAACTGCCAACCAAGTGTTAACAAACTTTGTGAGCCAAACGATAAGACACTTGCTAATTGTAAGTGTTAATCGAATTCTTTACAGGAAATAGGGATTTTATGAATGCTGTCTGCCGACAATTAATCGAATTCTTTACAGGAAATAAGGGATTTTATGAATGCTGTCTGCCGACAATTGGCTAACGAGACAACCCAAACTAGCCTTTCGCTAGTTTGTTTGTTCAATAATAGCCTTTATATGTGACAACCTCCTTAACTGATTCAGAAAATCCAGAATGACAAAGAATTGATATCTCAGTGACTTTATGGAACTGGCTCAGGTACTTAACTAGCACAAAGAGAATATGACCCCATGAAAATAAAAGACATGCTGTTGTCATCAGTAAAACAAGTTTACTGGAGCAGTTTTCAGGGCTACCATACGTAGAAATGGGTACCATGGGTGGAGTGACTACAGGAAGCTTTTTCAAAGAAGAACTATGCTTTAAATGATTCTTTGAATTAAAAAGAGGAAAGAGGGATTTCTTGATGCTTGGATTCTCCCCGTTGGTGGAATCTGTCTGCAACATAAGATACAAATAAACTAATTGCAAAAAAAAAGAAAAAAAGCTGTTCTTATTGAAACTCCTAGCCCTTGGAAGCCCTCAAAATGTTAAATATTAATAGTCGCTGAAAGAATCTCTCTGTGCTGTGTGTGTCTTTAGAGGGGTTCTGTGTCATTTCTGGACACGAAGATGCCAACAACGTAAATTCAAGACATGCACAAAATTCTATGTATTTAAAGAACATGTGATCATGATCTATACCTGTAATAGGAATGCCTAGAGACCTGCACACATCTATTCACATTAAGCTTACAAAACATTTAAGGATTTATTGTCAGAAATATGATTATTATACAGAATTGTGTTTCAAGAGCTATCGCTGAACTTCAACCTTTTCCTAACTGCTAGAGAGGACTTCAGCAACCAAATAATCCACCATGGAGTCTGCCGATTAGGGAAAAAACAAGATACTGCAAACCCATTTGAACATGGTCAACTCTTGAAGCAGAAATCATCAGTTGGAAGAGGATTATCACTGTTGCAGGATTCTACCGTTGAGGAAGAAGCCTGGTTCTATGCTGTTAGAAATATTCACCCCGTGGAAAATGTCTGTCGCAATTCAGAATACGGGTTTTCAATGTGAAGAAACAGAAAGTTCAATCTTTCACTTGAAGCATGATTACCAGTTAAGATACTAACTGGGATACAATTACCCAGTTGGCCAAGTCACCATATGCTCTGAGGGCTTATGTAACTCTCTGGATATGGCACTGAGGCCACATTTCCCCCGGCGGCTTCCAGATTCGCTCAAGTCAAAGCAGGCACTCTTACAAGACAGAATTATTTTTTGGCACCACTTTTCCCTCTTTTGGACATTTCAATTGTCAGAACTAGAATGTATACGAAGGATTCAGAGCATCTTTTATGGGTACGTATGTGAAGACATTTGAGTAAACTAGCCCAGAAAGTTTCCTGTTCCCATGACAGAGATCCCAGGGCAGAGTTTAACTTGAGTCAGTAAGGAGGTCACAAGAGAGCTCCCAGGAACAAGTGGCCGGAGGCTCTCCACAGACGTGGGCCTGTGGCATGGACTGAGCCTGGGGGCCTGCTACTCAGGAGAACCCACCTCTAGTTCTCTCAACTGATTGTGCCCCTTCAGGTAGCTCACAACTTGCCTGGGCAGTTCCTACAGCAGCAAAACAAAGGAGTTAAGCTAGATTTAGGGCCCACGGAGGCTTTAAAGTGTCCTGCTTCTCTATGTACACTGGGCATCAGATTTCCATTTTGTTGAATCTTATGCAAAAGCCACAATGCTTTAAGTCTTTCAAATTTTGTTTATCTAGTTTTCTTTTGCTGAATTCTAGAGAGTGAAAGAAAGCTAACTTTACTTCTGTTTCAACGTTCATTCGAAGGAGGCAGAGTTAACACAGTGCAGGCTTAGGAGCCTGAGGTCTGGCAGGATACGCTGAGTGCTCTCTGGAAACCTTACTCTGGATACCAAGGTCCTTTAAAAAAATTTTTTTTCTTTTAATTAAAAAATGCAGAGGTATAAACTTTTGGTTTGGAAGGCTTAAGTCATTGTGGCCTGTGCAGAGAGATTTTGCAGTGACTTTACATATCAAAAATGAAATGTTTGAAAACCTAAAAAAAGAGTAAGTTCAAATGGAGAGGATGTTAGAAAGTACTAATTTTCTTATTTACTCCAATCTATACTATTTAAACATCTAAAGTTTGGACCAGATCCCGAATAATGGAGTCAGACAACATGTATGTACTCGGCTAAGGCCACAGTGAGCCAGGGGCTTCAGGTCTAACGTTGGTCTAAGGCAGACAGACAGCAAAAGCTAAAACCACACACAAACCCCCTGCACTTCCTTGGTTCCTGCTACATTCTTCCACCTAATCAGCCCACAGTGGCTACGGACCTGAGGTTCAGAACAAAAAAAAAACCTCGAAGTAAAAATAATAGTGGTTAGGTGGAGGTAGTCTCAGTTTAATGTTGATGACGGAGAAGTATGTTCTATAGACAATGATAAAATGTTTATTTTATTAGCAGTTTAAATATTTTAAGCTTCTCTACTTTAAATCAGGTCTATTTTGTTTATCCAGTCTAAATAACAAATGCAGTAATATTTGATTGAGTGGCATTTTGATTTGATATTCTGCTTTAAGTGAGTTTCAGTGAGAAATACAGGCAGTTTGTTTTTTAAATGAACACTTCAGGAATATTATGCAGCCACTAAAATGAAGATGATAAAATTTGTGTAGTAACATACATATTGTGTATATGAGTGATAGATAGAAATACTATTAAAAGCCAGAATAAAAAATTATACTAGAATGATCACTATTATTTAAAACAAACTAAATAACCACCTTCTTTCCAAATATATACACAGACTAAAAAGCTAGGAGTAAATATACTAAAATCCTACTACTAGCTGTGATAGGGTAGTAAGATTAGAAATGATCATTTTTTTTTTTCCTCAATTTTTCTATAATGAGCTCATTTATTTTATAATGAAACATAAATTTAACAAGAAGTGAAAGAATAATCTAGAAAGGTAATCTAGGAAGGTCTTTATTAATACTTCTAGAACATCTGTGAGACAAAAATCCTTACTTTAGGTATTATATTCTTGCTACTATCATCTATCACATCTTTACTTACAATTGAGTTAAAATTCTAGAATTTTCATAATGGAATGGACCTCAGAAACACTGAATCTAACCTACTCATCTTACAGATGAAATCAATGAAGTCCATCTGAGCAGGCCATTTGGATTATGCCTTTTTCCTTTTTAAACAAATGAGAGTCAATCGTGTATGACATAAAACTAGAAACAAAATCATTTACATGGTTGACTCAACTTTGTCCAGTCTTGAAGGTGCCAAAAGCAAAGGGGGAAGCAGGCCTCACATGGGTGAAGAAGCTCCTGCTGGCCTGGAGGCCTGGCTTCCCCGTGTTTTTTCACGTCACTAACCAGCAGAATCCTTGTTTGGTGGTTCAGTGATGCGATGTGCATGGTTCCATGGAGCCAGCCCCAACTCAGGCAGAGGGCTCCCAAAAGATAAGACTCATTCCATTTCACACTTCAATGACAAGATAAACATGTCTTCCTACTAAAGCAAGCCCTGAAGTGCCAAACACGATCTCCTCTCTATGACTAGGCAGCACAGAAATGCAGCTGTCAACATGGGAATTGGATAACCAGCCAGGGGAGAATAATAAATGATGGTTAGTTATGAATTTCAAGATTTAAACATAAACCAAAACCATTTTCTAAGTTTTCGCATATCTTTAGCCCCCAGAGAGAAATAAACCCTGCCGCTTCATAGTTTTTGCATGAATATAAATTCACATGGTTAAGACGTTTATTGAGAGAGGCTTAAAGTGTTTCCTCTCATCCAAATTAAATTTATTCTATTCCTGGAGATTCTGTTGAATCTAGAAAAGGCTCTGTGAGAGGAGGATAGTTACATAGAATTTAAGACAGAAACATATACAGTGTACACATGTCAAGTCTCAATAAGAAAATAATTCACTTTGATTTTCACGTACAAAGTGTAAAGTACCCACAGACTAATGCAGGCTCATATGCCATTGTATATAGAAATTGGCCATCTACTTACTGTTTGTGATTTCTTCTTTTTCTTTTTCATTGACCTGAAAAAACCTTGTTTTTCCTTTTCCTTGAGTTGTTCAGAATGACTAATGTTTTCAGGACTTTTCCTAAATGGGAAGACATTTTTAATCATATTGATATTTCAAGCATTTTCCTGCCATTATATGACAAATACAATGAAGACTAAAAATGCAGGACACCAGGTTCAAATAGCCATGAAGAATTAAGCACACAGGCAGAGCCTCTAAAAAGCACAGGAGGAACCGAATGTAATCAAGCACAGTTAATGATCAGCCTCTGGCACAGGCTCACTCGAATTAGCAATGTGAGCATTGCTACGAACGATCTGTAACTGTGCTGCAGGACCATTTTCACGCTGCTGAAAACCTCAGAATTAGAGAGTCTAGAAAGCATACGGTTTAAAAGATGCCTTTTCTGTAACCCTCCAAGGGAAACAGCAGCAACATTTTCAATATCTTCATTTTTCTATTTACCTTTTTAAACCAGCTCAACAAGTTCATTATTAGTGGCTTGCCACGGTATTGAACATAAAAAAATCAATGCTGCTACAGACACATTACAAACAAAAGTAAAAATAGCCTGAAATGGGAAAATTCCTTTATAAAAATCTCATCTCTATTTACTAAAACTAAATAAAAAAATAGATAAGGGAAGAAAGAAATGTAGACAGAATGAATGCTTTAATACAAAGCATTCTTCTGGAAAAAAGTTTCTAACTGAAAATACTGACATTAAGCTTCATACCACTGACACCACCAGGTATTTTAATACAAATAGGAAATATTAAAAGACAGTAAACAAGACACCTTGGTCCCAACAAGTTGGCTACTTGTATGTTAACAGAGGCTCTATATCACTTTAATTCACCGTCTTTAAAAAGCAACTCAACTGGTGTTATTCTTGAAAAAGGCACATTCTGTGGGCTCTATTTTAAATTTGAATATCTAAGTGACTGTGGAAAACAATGTTCTCAAATGATTGGATTAGCTATTCCCTAAAATTAAGAGTAGAAACATTAAAGTGACAGAGTTCATTCATATTTATGGTTTTAGAACACCTAATAGTGATGAGGTTACCTGAACATCTAAGAAAACATGAGCAAAGTAGCATTCTTTACTTGATTAAATCTGTGTGAAGGCAGAGAACATCTATATAAACTATTATAGATCCACATGATAGAAAACATCCTAAAACTATTAAAAATATATCACATTTCAAATAATTTTCACTGATATGAAGGAACATTCAAACTACAAGATTCAAAGCTTTCTACATAATAGGAGCTCAATTGTATTAAAAAAGGGTATGTACGTGTACATATGCACACATTTTTAAAAAGGCAGGAAGAAAATACAATAAAATCTTAATAGCAATCTTCTCTCAGTGGCAGGATTATTGGTGATTTATGGTTCCTTCTTTTTAATTTCAACAGCAAACATGCACTACAGATATAATAAAAAGGTTTTACAAACCACACAAAATTTATTTGAAAAACCAAGAACTCAAGATCAAAGAGAACAAGGGACAAGATTTAGAGAGAGAGAACAGACAGATAAAAAACAGCAAGTAAAAACTATGACTGTTTGAAGGAGCAATAATCATTTAAGTGTTCAGACTACAAGTCAATGAGAACACCAAGGAAGTACAAACACGTACTGTAGACCCAAGTGTTCCTGAAACTTATTAAGACCTGCAATTTTGAACATCATTGAGAGAGTTCCAAGTTCCAAAGTGAAAGTTTTATAATACAACACAATTAGTAAAACAACCAGTGTTGGAACTCAGAATGACACATTTATAATTTTGAAAGCTAGCAAATTTCAGACGCGATGGAATGGGTGAGAATGGAACAGTGAGACAATTCTTAAAATGCAGTGTTCTGCTGTTGGGAAAACCCTTGCATCCCAATGACAGAGTGGGCCTAGACCCTGGGAATTTGGTCAAAGTTTCTTACGACAAGTACTTTTGGGATTAAGGAGATGAAACCCTTGCCTGGAGCCTAAAGACAGGCTGCCCTAAACTTGATCCCAGGCTACAGCATCCAGTCATGTGAGGGTTCTAGGGAACCCCAGCCACCATCTAGTCCAACCAGTCACACTATTTTTAATGTTCTGTAATTTCCAGAAGTTAAAGAATTATATGCTTGTGATATAGCTTATGTCCTTCCATAACGGGGTCTGCACATAACCTAGAAGCACAGCAGAGTATTCAGATTAACGGATAGAAGCTTTTACCAAGCAGAATGAAAGTCAACAAAATCTCAAAAGCCTGACAAGAGTCAGCAGTAAAAGTGCTTTCTGCCAATCCAGGAGATCTTCAAGGGGAACACGCTCATCATGACTACAACCTCAGGATGGGAATGGGCACTACTATAAGAACCTTAATGCTGGTGCGAAAGGAAGGGAAGGCTTAAGACACTAGTCCTAGGAGGAGGAGGATTTGAGTGGGAAGAAGAGTGTCTATCCAATAAGATGAAGGCATGAGGAGAGGGGCAGGGGGCAGGGTAATGAAAGAGAAGAAGGAGCAGAGCAAAAAGTCTAGTGTTTGCAGTTTCAATGTCCCCAAAACCCAGGGAAGATGAATCAAATGCCCTCTGCAGGGTCTTTCCAGAGGTACTGGAGAAACCAGAGCTGGCAGGGCAGAGGGAATGACGGGGAAAGCATCTTCAAACTGAAGCTGAGCAGAGGCAGTGGGGCCAAGATCCAGGTGGGGGAAATCTCAGAGGCCAAAACAAAAAAGGAAATAAATTACCCTTGAACTAGAGGATGACAGGAGTGAAGCGTAAGTGTGCATGCATCACAAAAGACACAGAAGGAAGTCAGAGAGAAAGAGAAAGAGCGCAAGTGGGAGAGAGAAAGGGAGAAGCTACACTGAAACATATACAGAGAATTAAAAGAGAAACAAAAGGGAGAAAATCCTGGCAGAGAGACTCAGAGAGATGGAGAGAAGCTGCCTGGAACATAGGCACCTGAAAAGCTGTGTGTTATACCAGAGAACGAAGAGAGAGACTTGGACATTTACAACCGGTACTGTGCCAAATGGGTAAGAGCGAGCCCCATAATCTATCTCATTTGTGAATTCTGGACCCTGCGATTCTACCTGGTATGGCTGACAGTTATGTGCTGAGCTGAGCTAACTGTATAGGTAACAGATGGGTCCAAGAGGAGCAGCACAAGAGAAGGACAAGTGGGCAATCACATAAATCTCAGGGACGGGAGCTTTGAGAAGGACCACGCAGCTAGTCACCTGGCACATTTTCCAGGGCTGATAAAACAGCAGGGAGGGGGTAAGGATGATGGTACGGGGGTAACAGGGGTAACAGTCTCCTTCCTGCACAGTCATGGGACTCAAAAGTTATCTAACACAACAGCTATTTCCATAAGAGGTCAAAAGGAAAGAGAGAATTTAAAAGATTCACCTAAAAAAGGGAAGGAATTAAAATTGACTGAATCAAAGTCAGCTTGCACTTCGTACATGCCAAGCCCTGTGTTAAGTGTTGCAGCTACAGAAAAGAATGAAACAAGTGTGACCTCAAGCTGCTCACGGATTCCAGGCGGGAGACTCAGAGGTCTGACGGAGGGTCAGACTCCCGGGGCTTCAGTATAACCCCGTTGGGAGTAGCCTGAAGGTGAGCGGAAGAGGAGAGGGGCACTTGCCCTGCCCCGGCCCTACCCTGGCAGTGTGACTAGGGTGGTCAGTTAATGTCCGAGAAGAGAAAATCAGGGAATAATTTTGTGAGTTATGGCGGCAAGTAATAATGGATACCAATATATTCATAACTTTACGAGAAGAAAAAGCTGGGGATTGTACGAGTGAGTGACAGCAATTCTTCACTTAACTACTAGGATTTCTAATTAATTTGGTTTACTGTTTAACCATCAATTTTTAACCCAATTTTGACAGCAATCCTCCTAAACATATTTATATACTTTGCCTTTTTAAGCAAAGAGCAGCCTATTTTATAAATACATATTCTACATGGATATCTATTCTATGTATGAAACCATAAGGGTTAGAAATGATCTTCCCACTGGGGGCCTGAGAAAATGCAAAAATACCCTCTTCTCTCCACAGTATTGCTCGGGATCATTCTCCTCTGCACACTGTATTGTCACCTGGGATTATTTCTTGCCTGACAATCTCAGCGCCAACTGCTAGAAATGTGCATAAAAGAAGAATAAACAGGCTCATGGGGAGGGTAGAGGTGTTTTCCCATTAGTAAAGATGATGCATCTGACTGCATTAACTCTATTTCTCTTGTTCTGCGATATTTTGGCTTATTTCCCAGTTCTTAACTGGATTCTGGATAGCTGAGATGGCCAGAATAACCACCCTGGATCTTAGACTACAATATCTATTTATCACTTTAAAATATGACATAGTAGATTGATTTTTCCATTGCAAGAAATGTGTACACTGTACAAATAAATATTCCCTTCCCAAAAGAAATGTAAAGTACTACTATCAAGGAGAAACAGACTGACCTTAGGTAACTGATAATTTAGGAATAGCAATTCACTATGTTACCATAGCAAGGTTCGTTCATGTGTTTGTAACAGTTATCAAACTGCATCTCTCTCAAATATACACAATATGGTGAACCAATGAGAAATTTTGTTTAAGGAAAACAAAACAAAGACAAATCAAGCTTAATGAACGACTAAGACTAAGTTAGATGTGATGCATGAAGGAAAAGTATCGACAGCATTATCATAAGGAGTAGTGGGAAGAAAAGAATATTGCCAATTTATCATTGGCAATTCTGGAACTCTCTCAAGCCTCATAAAAGTAGTATCAGAGTAGGGATGACTTGATGAAGATTTGTGTAAAGTTCAACACCTCAATTGTGCCTCTAATTCTTTCTAAAACAACTGTTTTCAGGTTTCTACACATACCCAGGTCTAAACAAGCTCTACTCAAACTGATTATCGAAAAGACAGAAACAATATGTTGTTAATACTACCTATCCTATATTTGGATTTAGTTTTGATCTGACCTACCTAATTTTCACAGGTCTATATTAATCTATAATTGATACTCTTTTAAACCATCACCACTTCCTCGTGCAATGACCAGTAGGAATAACACTTCCTTCTGCACTTCTGTGTTCTCACAATTTAGACACTATTCTTAGAGCTTGTCAAAGTCACAGTTGAAAACTGTCAGTGCTAGTGACTAAAAGAAGCCGTACGTGTGCTCTCAGGTTAATGTATAGGAGATCTTGCCTACAGTTTCAGGGAGAAAGAATGCACCAAAGGTTATCAGCAAAGTAAGTGGAGACACCTGCCAAATCATACTGAAGTCAGAGGACATTAACAATAAAAGTGGCCGTTGTTAAGAAGTCACAACAGGGCCAGGCACTGCTCTAGGTGCTTTGGATGGTTTACCTCATTTAGTGATCACATGAAGCCTAGGAGGGAGCTGTTATGCTTAGACCTGTTCTACAGATGAGGAAACCAAGGGGCAGAAGGGTCAAAGTTACATGGCCAGAAGGGGACACTAATCAAGATATCCTACTTCCAGAGTCTAACTTCTTGTCACTAATATTAAAACTCTCATTTCATAAATAAGGCAACGGATGTAAAGTGTGCTTATAAAAGTATTTACAGCTTTAAAAAGATCATTTTTATTATTGTTTTTAAAATAAGTAAGTTATTTTCACCATAGGGCACAGTAACACTGAAACCTTGATATAACCCTACCAATAGGGTCCAAATTGTGAAATCACACAGAGTTAGGAGTACTGACCTAGGCCCTTCTGTGACCTCCAGCAACAAATACCACAGATGGAATCTCTGACAAAATGATCTGATTCTAAATTCAGTGTGTTACAGTGATACGCCATTTTATTCTCTTGATGAAGAATTTAGTAGTTCTATGAAGTACACATAAATAACCCTCACACCTAGATTCTGGGCAGCTGAGATATAAAGTCTACATTATTAAAAAAAAAAGAAAAGTCCTTACTCCCCAGATAGATCTGCTAATGAGACTTGATACACATTATAATTCTCTCCCCAAATTTTTATTACATATGACCCAAAAAGATAAAAGGATAAGCAAAGTTGGTGCCTCATTTTAACCTCTGACTACCATTACGTTTTTGTGGTAGCATACAGGGTTGTTCCCTTATTTCTCTCCTTTCACCCCGAATGAAATTCAGGTGGCAGAGAGGTGAAAGACACGAGCTTTGGAGTCAAAGCCTATCTAGGTCTAGATCCCCGCTCCCTCCGCCCTGTTACTGGCTGTCCAGCACCGAGCAAGCTCCTCACCTTCTCTAAGGTGCAGCGTCCTCACCTGTAGAACGGGAGCCATTCCTACTTCAAAGGCTGATTGTGTGGACTGAGTGAGCAGTGCACACAAAGTGCTAAGCAAACTGTCTGCTACGTGACTCAAGAGCAACAAGAGAGGAGACAGCGGAAGACATCAATCATGTCAGGAGAATGCAATGGAAGACTTATGAGGTGTTTACTGACCCAGGAGATTTTTTTCTTTTATATGATATCTAATATAAGTGCTGAACTTATATGTAGAAACCACTACGAAGAATGACAAATCATATTTTCCTTATCAAACAATCTCTCTCAAGAAAGAAAGGCCAAGCAGGAGAAAGAAAGCTAAAAGTTTATCCAGAATTTCTTTGAAATCTCAAATCTACGATTAAAAAAGAAAACAAACCAAAATACTCACCATGGATCAAACGCTGGTTGTCTTTTTGAGTGGTTAGTTCCAGAGCCGCTTTCTGATGGTAGGGAAGAAACTCTGGTTGACACATTATTTTCATGGAATGAATTGTCTGGACGTGGAGACGGCACTGAATAAAGAAAAAATAAGCCACTGATGTGCCCCCTTGGTCAAAGCAGTTCTCATGTTATTCAATCGCATTTTCTCTCACACAAAGAAAATAAGCTAACAAACTGGTAAAATCCTCATCTGCCCTTCATTATAACTTGTGTTTTCTGAGGGCGGAGGCATTCCAGGGAACATTCTCCCTCTCACCACTGCTCACGACAGTAACTTGCAAGGGTCAGTTAACGCCAGGTAATTATGGATTCAAAACATAAACTGACCTGACAGCTGACAAATTGAACGTTGTAGGATATTTTAAAGTATGAATATGATAGCACCCCCACCCCCTGCCACTGTTTTGACATTCTTTGGAGTTGAGGCTTTCTTATATCATAGACTCAACTATGCAAACTCCCTTCTTGGTCTGAAGTGACTCCTAACAATATGGGTGCTGGAATATACAAACTACAGTTGAGGCTTTATGCTTGGGAGGCAGTATCAATTTTGCATATTTTTAACTAAATTCCAAATAAATTTGATTATTTGCGTAAAAATACTATTTTTCTCTAGGTTCTCAATCCAAGAATGAACAGAAAGACAAAGCACAACGCAAGTGAGTAAACACTTTTCTGCTTTTTGGGGGGGAGGGACAGTTACTATCTTTTCTCGTCAATTTCTAAGCTTGGTCATAAATCAAAATACACTGCAAGTTTCATCGCAAAAGGAATACACAGGCTGTATATCAAGATAAATGACACCATTTCACTTGACTCTTGACCAGAAAGACTGGAAACAGGAAGTATTATGGAAACATCTGTCATTTCAATGATACTACTAAATCAAGATTTAGTCTCCAGATGTTTCACCTAGTTAAATCTTTTCCTTCTATTTCTAGACTTTCTAAAATAAAAATATTCTACCTGCCAAACCCTGAAGTGGATTATGAGGAAGAAAAATGAGGGACTTTGGTGATATTAACCAATTTAATTCACTTGCAATCAAAATAAAATGGTGTTTTCAGAGGTCAAAGACTAACTGATTAATTAATTTAAAACTTCACTAACATTTCATGTCAAAGTATATTCTCCAGACATCTATAGAAATAATGTGTATAGTCCATTTTGGAAGTAAAACAGTGACAAAAGAAAAGGCTTTTGCTCATGTACACTACAATATTTTATTTTAACTAACTTTAATCTGAATTAAAATTTTACTTCCATAGGATTCTAAAGTAACTGCGGCATCAGGGGCTGGCCTGGTGGCATAGTGGTTAAGTTCGCGTGCTCTGCTTCTGCAGCCTGGGGTTCACAGGTTCGGATCCCGGGCACAGACCTAGCACCGCTTGTCAAGCCACGCTTTGGTAGCATCCCATATAAAGTGGAGGAAGACTGGCACAGATGTTAGCTCAGTGACATTCTTCCTCAAGCAAAAAGAGGAAGACTGGCAACAGATGTTAGCTCAGGGCCAATCTTACTCACAAAAAAAAAAAGAAAAGAAAAAAGAAAGAAATGCATTAAAAGGCATATTGGATGCCTTATGCTTTTTTCAAAGGTGGGGCTGGGAGAGAACAGAGGAGCCTAATCATTCAATAGACATTTAGTCCTAAATAACACTTGTATGCATGTATTTAGCTCAGGTTCCTAATTAAAATGACCAAGCAGTTCTCCATGTTCCCTCCCAATTCCTGCCTCTTTCCAGCTGTCCTCCCTAATCAACAGAATAGTGAGAAGCCAGGCAATGTGGGCATGAGCGGCTGTAGAAAGTAGTAGTGACCCTTGAAGGCTTTGAGAAGCTGAGCCTCCTGGACCTAGGACATTGTCCCCACCCTAATGGGCTTGGCGTCAGTCTATCCACTAGGGGCTGGGGCTTCTCAGGGGCTCTCACTTTATTACCACATAGCTCCTCAAAGGAGATGCCTTTCTCTGTCAATGTCTCCTAAATCCACACAGCCCCCGAAGCATGTTTTCATTGTCTATTAAACACTGAAGTACATTTTTAAGGTTGTGCAAGTACACTTGAAGACTTTCTTTCATTCAGTCAACAAATGTTTATGAAACTGCCAGGCAGTGTGCTAGTCAATGAGGGTAAAAGAGGAAAAGATAGAGAACTTAACGTCTTTGAGGGCTTTGCAATCTTGTGAGAAACACAGACAACGAATCAGTGCCGTGTGGTCTGTGTTATGTTAGAGGCCTAGGCAAGGAACCATGGGTGGAACAGAGGAGGAAACACTTCATTTCGTCTGCGTGGGCAGGGAAGACATCACACGGCAGAGGACCTCAAAGTAGAATCTCAAAAGAACAGAAACAAGCTATGCAAGCAGGGGGAGGAGCGCATGTCAGGCCAGACAGGGGCAGGCCTGGATGCGAGTCCCACAGGCTGGGCACCAGAGAGGAGGGGGAGCAGCTGGAGAGGATGGCAAGGGCCAGGACACGGAAAGTCTGGAATGCCATCTTAGGGAATTCAGATATTGTCCTGATGCCAATGGGAAGCCAACAGAGGACTCAGCAGGTGAGAGAGAGAGGACTGGAGTGGGGGTCTGGGGGGACAATGGGTTGCCTTGCTCTATTTTTGTCCCTGTAGCATTTCTTACCTTTTACTGCTCTATATAATTATTCCATTTAGTGTTGCTCTCTCCTCATGAGAACGTGAGCTCTGTGAGGGTAGAGACCTTTGGCTGTCTTGTTCACTGACATGTTCTAAGCTAGAACAGTGTCAGGCAGACACGTGACATGGATAAATATTTTATGACTTAACTGAATGAATGAGGGGTGGGGTCAGAACACAGCTTCAGAAAGATCATTCCAGGGACTGTTTCAATGGCGACCTTGGCGAGAGGGAGACCAGTTGAGAGGCTACTCAAAGAACCCAAGTCAGATACAACGAGGGCCTGAACAGTGGCACCCACGGCAGGGAGAAGTGCTGGAAGGCAACAGCGCAGGCAAGAACGACGCTGGTCTGATGGCAATCAGGGCAGTGAAATGTAGTGAGGGGCGAAGCCTGGCGGTTTAGTGACAGGGAGAGGGGAGAGGGCCCTGGTGGGTGCTAGGGGCCGGGCTTACCTCTGTAGAAGCTGCCAACTCTCCTTGGAACAGGATCATTGTATAGGTGTCTATTTTCTTTAGGGGCAGTGCCGTCATCAGAGTGAGGGTCATGATACGATCCACCCTGAGACAGGAAACAGGTTTATAAAAAGTAAAAGACAGAGCATGGACAACGTGGCCTGTGAACTTAGAACAGTGCCTAATTGGTTTATAATTTACTCTAGGCTCTTTTAAAGAGAAAATTCAGAACTGTGGCTTGAGGAAAACCACTTACTTTACAAGCAAGTACAAATTATTTGCAGGAGATGGAGTATGAACACATTTTAAAAGATTGGTCATTTGACATCATTACAATTTATCTTTACAGGTACATTTTATCATAAAAGACAGCAACTCTGGAGAATTCAGACCTCAGACTTCTGCCGTGTATGGAATGAAGAGGGCCCTTCTCTGGAGGACTCTTTAACGGAAGATCGCGCCACAGTCATCTCCGGAGGGAGCTGTTCTCCAGGCTGGAAGTCAAATTTAAAAGCATTTATAAGAGTGCCCTGTTCCCAAGAACGAAAATCACCTCAATCACCAGGGGCTTTATTTGGTAGAACCAGTACCTCAAATGGCTAAAATAAAAAATGTTGGTTGGCTAAAACACAAATTGTCCCATAAAAGAGTGAATCGTCTGATGAATGTAAAATAAGTCAAACAAATGTCACACAAATGGAAAGTGAAATTCTCATTAAAGTCAAGGCGAGCTGGGAATGAATTTCTCTGAAAATAGTTCAATTAATTATTAAAAACAAAGAAAATCCTCTTCCTAATATCTAGATAGTCATGGTTCTGAGCAGCACTCTAATTAGAGATTCTATTAGTTAATCTAAAATTTCTCTAGCAGATTTTGGGCTGAGTTCTCCAAAAAGAACTGCGCAGATCCAAAATTATTTTTCATGAAGGTCTTATATTAGCAGATTCAGATGCAAACAAATGTTCTTTGAATATATCAACGAATAGAATCAGTATTCTTAATAACTAACTATTGTATTATCTTAATTCCCTAACTACTGTAGCTTATGGACTTGAGTTCTCTTCTCCATCTTCCCAAGGATAACAGTACTTATATTTCATGTATTTTCTTAATCATAATCATGACAGCGCTCATCTCCAGAGACACTACCTATTTCTCTCAAGGAAGTGAGTCACAGCTAAGAGCAGCCTTGGTCCACAATGGTGTTCACTGAGGGGAAAAGTAGCATTTTCTACCCTTGGAAAAAAAGATTAAGGAACAAAATTACCAAGCCATTAGGAGGAGTTAGCTGCATTGTGTATCCGTACATTACACACAGAAAGACTATTATCTTGAGCCTTTCGTGATATATCAAAAACATTTTATTTAAAGTTCAAAACATGATTCTATCTTTCTCCCCCTCACTCCCCAAATGTACTATGAAAGGATTCTGGGCAGGAAATCACTAATGTAGCTTTTCTTCTTTCTACTTTGTAACAAGATCTCATTTGAATTTTATCACCTGTATTGTTTACAAAGGCCTCTGGAAAAGTGTTTTAGAAAACACATGATTTACATCTAACCTAAACTCTTAAGTGACAGTGTCAGCCCAGTCCCCTTGCTCTTGAAGGTGGCCACAAGACTTTGCAAGAGCATGATTCCCACCATTTATTCACAGCTTTGGTTACTTGTCAAGCCGTCTGCCATCTTTGTGCCTTTAAACTTGTACTTTCTTGCAGCTTGGCACTGTACCTCCCAAACTGGACTTAAAAATTCAGTAACAGTTGGATCTATGCTTAGGCCAGTCACTGTTTATAATTAGCTTATTTCCACCATGCTCACAAAGTCTTTTTTCTGGAACTCTCAGAGAGCCAGTCCATTTGCCTTTTCCAAGTTATAGCTTTTTGTTTTTCTTACTTCTTCTCTGTTTACACTATGCTTAATGCTAGCATACTTTACCTGGCTCTGACCTCCATGTAACGTCTATGGGCAGCTACCACACTCTAGAGATCTTTCTAGGCCCTAGAGGTTCTCTTCTCTCTAGAGGGATCCTCGGGAGCTCCTCCGACCACTGGTCTGACTCCGATCATAACATCTCCTGCCATGTGTATCTCCACCATGTGCAAGTGTGTATCTCCTGCCCTTCTTCTCCCCTGGGCACCAGATGGTCTTTCCAACCTTGTGGAGAAACACCTCTGCTTAGGGGCCAAGGGTCACTTCAACCTGAACATGTCAGCATGACAGCGTGAAGAGTGCTGGCCTAGGAAACTAGACATTGCCTCATGATCATAGCTCTGCCCTGAACTAGTGGGGTAAACCTGGGCAACCCACCCAACTTCTCGGAACCTCAGCATGCTCATCTGTGAAATAAAGGGGTTGAATTAGGTGACTTCGAAAGTCCTCTCTTCTACTCTGAAAGAAGCCCTAGAAAAGAAACCATGAAGGCTTCTTTTTCCTATATTGAATCCTTCAATTCACAAGTCCTGTTGTTTTTACTTCTGAGGTGTCTCGAAAACCCACTCTTTCTGTTTTCCCACTCGAACTGACTTAGTCCAGAACATACTCTCCCCATCTCATGCTTAGATTATTGCAAAAGCCACCCCGAATCTGGCATTTTTCACTCCAGCAACGTGAAACAAGTTGCAATCCCCACAGCACAGCATGCTATTTAATGTCTTTATTACCCTCTTTTCCTCAAAGTGCTCTGTTCTGCCCTCCCTTCGAGCCTCTTTCCTGATATCGTCTCTGCTTTCCTCCCCTGGCTAAATCCCAGCAGTCTCTGCTCAGATGCCTCCTCTCCTGAGGCCTCTCACAAGCCCCTGTCGGGACCGCGCTGCTCCTCTCTGTCCGAGGCACACACACCTCCAGCACAGTGCGCCACGCAGCCTCACAGTATTAGAAGGGCCTATCCATTGGCAAATGTGTGCCATCTCCTCTCCCCCAGCTCGCACACTCCAAGTGAAGGAGGACTACATCTTTTTCATCCTTCTAATTAGAACTTATCGTGGTGCCTTGCTCAGTAAATGGCTGAACACATCTTCATTCTTTAGCCATTTAAAACCTTTGTCTACACCTCAGCTCAGAGCAAGACCTTTATTTGCCCCTAAAGCCACTTCTGACTGCTCCTGCTCACAATGATCTCTCCCTGTTCCCAACTCCTATTTATAGCCAGTGCTATAGTAATTTGGTTCTTAATTATTTCATTGTTATCATGTATAATTTAATCTTCCCTGAGAGAAGATAAATTTCTCAAGGGCAAGAACCCCACATCAGACACTCTTTTGAGTGTCTGAGAATATCCAGCACAGAGAAGGTGTTCAACGTCTAAAGAACAGCCCCGACAGAAGCAGCAACAACTAAAATCTGTTCGACGCTTACTCTGTGCTGGGCACTGGGCATGGTGCTTTATACACCGAGTAAAATCCTCACAACACTCAGATGAGTAATCTGAGGCACAGAGAGATTTCATCACTTTCCCAAATTTACACAGCTTGAAGCACATTGCAGAACTAGGATACCAACCCAATCTGTCTGGCTGCCCAGCCTGAGCTCTTAGCTGCCTTGCTACACTGACTGCTGAGTTACTGACAGCCTCCTCGTCCCCAGCACTCATCTTGCTAAGCCTCCCATGACATTCTCCATCCATATTTCCTGGAGTTCTGACACATGCTGATGAACCTATTTTCATATCCTCTAAAAGGGACTTTCCCTATATGAAACCTTCCTTCTGAAATTGGCTTTTCCCCACCTTCATTTCTTTGATGCAGGTGAATGTTTCATATCGCGAAAATAGAATTTAAAAAACATGTGTTCTATGAATGCTACTTCTTTTAAACAGGTTAGTGTCAGTTTTAGAGTATGAAGATCAGTAAGACGGAGGAAGCATTAGGCTGAAAACATTGCTCTGAGATTTAAAAACAACCCAAAAGAATGAAAATTAACATTTATCCTGGCCTGAAGTTAAATTTACCTATAGTTCTAGTTAAATTTAAAACTTCCAATTCAGCTAAGATATCAAGTAAGGTATTAGCAAAATGGTTTGATTTAAGCAAATGTGGTTTGGAGAGATTAGAGAAAATCCCCATAAATTCAGACCGAATTTTGAGAAAATTAAAAACTAACCCATATATAGCTGATAAATTCTATAATAAATCAAAATAGGATTCTCTCAACAAAATATGCCAGAAAGGAACATTTAAGACAGGAAATAGATTTCTAAAAACGAGCTTTTTGAGTTCTCTTGAGTACTCAGTGATTGGCTTAAATAAGTAAATTATTTCTTTTTTAAAGATTAGCCCTTTAAATATTGCTTCCCTGAATGCATCCGATCGAGAAAGTACCACCTCCTGCAGTAGGGAAAATCGCAGACTGACTATTCACACCCCTGCACCACCTTCCCAAGCTGAGCAGGATCGGGGCAATGTCCTAAGCTGTACCTGAGGCGATAAGAGCTGCAGGCTGTTGGCTCTGGCCGCCATCCCTTGCCCTACGCTCAAGCTTCCGTCCAAGCCTTTGGCTCTCACTTTGTCCCGGGTCACGTACATGGAATGCCGGTGTGGGCGTTGCTGGGAAGAGAAAGGGCTGGTGTAGCCCAGCCCATATGAAAACGACTCATGAGGTGCAGACAGTGAATGAGAATGGCTGCTGTCCATGTGCTCAGGCAGCTTCAACTCCTCCATCGTTTTAGAATGCCTGGTTGTGGTTCGGCGTGAGTCGAGAGTGCCCTCACTTCGGTTATTTCTCCCAGAGGGGCTGAGCAAAGTTCTGGTGTCACTGTGCCTGGTGGGGGTTGGGCTGGTGGGAGAGTTCAAGTCCAAGCAGCTGGATGGAAAGTACCTACTGGTATTAGACTCTGTAATTTGGGCCCTGGCTTCAGAAAGGTTGCTCACTGACTTGGAGTCACTCAAGGCCCCATGGCTTTTGGCCTTGGTCCTGTAGGAGGGACTCCTAGAGGACTGGGGAATAGTGTCAATGTAGCTATGTCGACTCTGTTTTTCACTGGGCTGCAGTGTTCCCGCTTTGCTCTGAGAGCTTTCCATGAATGAGTGCCGGTTCTGCTGAGATCTGCTGCTTGACTTGAGGTACTTTGTGCCTGGGCCTTCCGAAGGCTTTGGGTCAATATTAAAATCAAACTCTGTCTTTGACTTGGCTTCTTTTGGGCTGAGAAGGTGTGGCATGTTGTTGTTGGTAAGATCTTTGCTGGTAGACCCAGGCTGGCTGCTTGCTTGGTAGGTTTTGGTGTGCATGGGACTAAGAGTAGCTCCAGCAAGGTTTCCATTTAGGAAGCTTTCATTGGCAGGAAGACCTTCATCAGCCCGGGGCAGACCCACACTTAGGTTCTGGATGTCCTTGCTGTTTGATCTGTGGTGAGACTGCAAAGCAGCACTTTTGCTGGCTTGGTTTCTATGTTAAAAACAAGAGAAGTATATCAGTTTCCCTCAATAGCAGACACGCAAAAAGCATCATTAAAAAAAAGGACAAATACCTAAGACACCTCAAAGACTGAAAAAACTCTGTCTAATACGTGCCAACAATTAACAAGTAACCCTAAGAAGTAAGTTCCTTAGACCAAGTCAGTGCAACAAAGCACCAGTCCTGATGAAATGATTTTGGCATCCTTAAATGCTCAGCTAACTTGCTGCCAACACAGTTTCAAACTGATAATCTGGGGGAACATGCTTTTGCTATATTGGTGCTCACATGAGTGTTTGTTATAGAACGCCTGTTAAGAAGAAGAGAGCTGAGCTGTAGGCAAACTCTATAACTTTTTTGCCTGCTTGAATGTCAGAAGGCAACATTTAGACTTGAAGGTCACTGTGTTCTTTGAACTTCGTTTTTATTTATAAAACTTACAGCCTGCCTCAGAGATATACAGTCATAGACACAAACGTCTCTTTTGTCTTTAGCCCGTATCATCAAACAATGAGAATCCTAGCAATGCATTCAGTAAAAGAAAATGGCACTCTAAAAAGAAATGTAAATTGCCTGGTGAGGTTTGTTGGAAAACATGGTGATCGATGTTTACGTTTTGGAGAAGCGGCACTCCTTGGGGTACTTCAGACACCTCCAGGTGCGCTAAACAGGAACGCATCTCTAACTGACTAGAGGGGTCTAACGAGTTAATTTCTCTCCAAAAGACACAATTTATTCTCTTCTTCATTTCACAGGTCATTATTCCAAGCCGTCTGAGGCCTCCTTTAGGATTTAAAGCTTCATTCCCTACTTGGTTTAAAATACAAAATATAAATCCAGAGGAAAACCTTGTCCTCTATTCAAAAGCTGAAAATGACATCATAGCAAAGTCAGTTTGATCTATTGTAACTATTTACAGGACCAAATTGTAGTTTGAGATAGGTGAGAATGTTTTCAAATGAAAAATAATTTACACATTTCCCTCTTTACTATGCATTCAGAAAATTTTGCTACAAATATTGCTATTGTTAAAGATGGTTTGATTTAGGAGAGTTTTGCTCCCATCACATACTAATTGGAAGAAAAGTCACATTTTTTTTCCTGTAGAATGGTAATCTGTGAAATTATGCCTTCCCATTTTCCCTATGAGAACCCACACTTGCTCAGGCATCAAAGGTAAGGGCCTTTTCCTCTAGTCCTACCTTCCAGAGTGTTAACAAGTATCTGCTATCAAGCAAGCCTGCAATAGTGTGGGAGGCTTCATCTCCTAAATGCACTCACTAATCTCTCTCAGTTCGGTTACAAGAATTGCAGCCTTAAATAAGGTCACTTAAATATGAGCCAACTAAATGGCAGATCCCAAACCCAGCAAGAAATTACAAAGAAAGGAAAGTTTCACTTTCTGTTAAATGATGTCAACAGAGTCTATCCCCAGATCAATAAAGGACAGTCCCGGTATCCCAAAGGCATCAGGTTTTAAACCATTTGAGTCATTTGTCAACTTAGATCTCGGGAACTAAAATATCTTGGCAACTTTTCAAAAACCCAAACGATGATAGACAAATAGTCTCACCCATAAACAGATCCAAGTGTGTTCATTATTCTCCATTTGCCCAACCCCTAATCCATTTTCCACTCCTCTCTGCCCCATCCTGGACCTCAGGAGCCCAACACTGCAGACTGTGGCACCCAGGCTCCCTTACCACCTAACTCCCAGGTGGGTTTAGCAGTGCAAGGGGCTGGAGCCTGTCTTCCCTGCTCCTTCCCAGCATCAGCATCCGGACTTAGATTGGAACTGTGTCCCTCCAGATTACAGCTCCCACGGGGTGGCTCCTCCTGCCTGGCTCCACTGGGTTCTCATAACCCTATTTCCAACCCTTTCTCCTTCAGGCCTAGAGAGAGGAATAGCAGAGATAACACATCCAGATATTGTGAAACATCTGAAGCTCCAAAGAGGACCAAGAAAGGAGAGAGAAGACTGAAGACAGCTGCTAGAGCTTTTGAAACTCTTGGAAACACTGCTTTCAATGTGAAGCACAAACCTACATGGTAGAAAGAACATATTCACAGCAACGTAAGATACAACTTCTAACATGAAAAGGGAGGCTATAAAGTTAAGGTAGAAACATTTGTTACAGATTTCGGTTGACATAAGTGTACACAAAAAGCCTAAACCGCTATTCTGAAAGTTTCTATCTTGACATTAATCTGAAGTCATTGAGCTTTGCACATAATTCCTATGTAGAAAGGGTATCAAACTGTCTTCAAATTGGAGCTCTGCCAAAGCGCAATAGAAAAACTGCTTCAAAAATTCCATAGATGTCTTTGACACACAACTGTAAGGAATCTGTGTTAAACTGCCAACCACTTAAGAGGATTTTATATATAAACCCTTCTTAAATGGTTGGCAGCATAGATAGTTAGAAAGTTAATCTCTTTAGTTAAAATAACTTTTCAAAACAAACATCAAAGATGCAAAGCTACATTTTTATGGAGGTTGGCAAAGCAGGACTGGTGAGAGGGCAGGGCAGGGCAGGCTGAAGCACCATCCCGCCATGTCCAAGGCGAGCAGAACCTCAGGAGAGTTTGAAGGAAACTTTGGCAGGGGCTAAGTAATGCAAGAGCCCACTGCTTCTCCTACAGAGATGTGAACTTGGATGACAGAAGACAGGGTATGTGAGTGTCTCTCAGGGATAAGTCAGTGGAGTGTGTAAGTGGCAGCCAAGGTGATATGGTGCCGTGAACTCTCTCCAATGGTTCTGGGAAGTCCAAGGGAGTCATGGTCTATGAAGAATTAGTGTCCCTAACAAGAAGGGCTTCCATGGAGGAAATATGGACCATAGACAAGTGTGGAGAAAAGGACATTTCCAGATGCACATAAACTGAGCAAAGATCATTCCTAGAGAAACCATTTAGGACTTTTTCTTTAATGTATTTAGTACACTGTCAAGACCTAAAACTGAATTCTTCCAGAGATTTTTATTACTTATAATTTCTATTATCATTTACTTGAAAAGGGGATTTGGGAAGACTCCTCAAAGGCCTGTATAAACCATATCCTCATCACTACATACATCCTCCTTGTCAGATCCCTACAGAGGGTTCCCAGGGAGAACCTCAAATCCGCACTGGGGATCTCTCTCAAGTGAGTCACTAGAGGATGAATACACAGGCCCCTTTTCATGGTATGGGTTATACCACTAATCACTACAGCACAAATCAAAACTTTATCATAGTCTACTGAACTTTATATCACCGGAATCCTTTTTCTTTGCAAATGTCTACTAGAAGAGTCAAGTGACAAGGTGGAAGGAAGAAAAAAGTACCTGAACTGGGAGTAACCCCAGATAAGACACAGGCATAATGTGAACCTCCTAAATGCAAAGGAGCAACCAAATGATGAATACCATTCCTTGACTCAGTGTACTAAAATCTCATGGAAACAGACAACAAGGTGAATGTAAACTTGGTTAAATAGAATTTGGGACTAATTCCAGGCCTCCTTGAAAAAAAACCAGGAAGAATGGTCTATAAAATGTGAGGGAAACAATAACCAAAACCAGTCATTTTAAAGAGAGTAAAGAGCTGTAAAACACAATTACACCATCACAGTTAAGCAGAGAAAATACAGGATAAGTGGCTACTGCCAATTTACGGATGTGCTCACAGTTCTAAAAAGTACCAGGTCTTGAGCTTTCAAAATTTCAATGGATTAAGAACAATTGTTCTACATGGAGAGAAAATTGGGGGAAAATGGAAGAAAATTTATATTCAAAAAGGTTCATATTAAGAATTATTGTTTTATATTTCTCTTAAAGATTGGCGCCTGAGCTAACAACTGTTGCCAATCTTCTTTTTTTTTCTGCTTTTTCTCCCCAAATGCCCCCAGTACTTAGTTGTATACTTAGTTGTGGGTCCTTCTAGTTGTGGCATGTGGGACACCGTCTCAGCATGGCCTGATGAGCAGTGCCATGTCCCGCCTGTCCGTGCCCAGGATCCGAATCAGCAAAACCCTGGAGCGCGTGAACTTAACCACTCGGCCACAGGGCCGGCCCCTCTATTTCTCTTCTTAATAGTAGATGAGAGAAACTATTTCCTATCTCCTATAGTCTAAGCAACGCCAGATGACAAGACCAGCTTCTTGGTAGAGGGAGGAAGACAGAGAAACCATGACAAGCACACTGACCCCCTGTAAATGCAACCAAGAGAATCAGGGAACGTCAGTTCTGGAGAGAGAACCTGATTGCATAGTCCAATCCCTTGTGAGTTTTTTCCCTCAGGAAACAGAGATTTTTTTTTTAAGATTATGCTGAAAAGCTATATTTTAAAAGGCACTAATTTTAATCGCTATCTACCAAACTGACTACTATTTCCCTATTCTTATTCTTATGGAAAAAAACTTTCTTAACTCAATAGTTAAAAGACAAGAGCAATAAAAACACAAGACCCTTCTATAGAGCCAGACTTACCTGGTTCAGTTGCAAAGATTGCCCTACGTGCCTTCCCACCCACCTGTGTTTGGCATCCTCTTCTCCCTCCAGAAATCCCCTTGCCCTCATCCACCCTTCTTCCTCCAGGCATCACCCCTGGGTGCCATTTACACAAAATCTTCTAGCTCATGAGGCTAGAAACCCCCTTAGTTGCTAACCCATGCTACCTTTCCCAAGGAATGCATAGGTTTCCATAATGTACTTGTTAAAGAGAAGAAAGTCTTTAAGACCCACACAGCTCTTTAATTGCGGTTCTGAATCATGTAATAAGCATAAGGAAGATATTTTTGAATAAAGAGGGCTTTCCTTCTTTTCTCTAATTGTATCATTTAAGCAGCCACCTCCTCCACCTACTTGTAAGACCAACACTGCATCTGTATTTCCTTAAAAGGCAATATTTACCTATTAGACAAAGTGCTGCTTTCCACGTGGTAAGGTTTTCTTTTCGCTGACCTTGAAGGGGAACGATCCAAAAGTCTCTGGGTTTGAAATGTAGGGTGATTCAAACACTGTTCTGTCAAGTATCTGTCAGCTGGGTCCAACTTCAGTAAATTCTTGGGAAATAAAATTAGGATTGGAAAGATCATTACAAAGTTAAATTTAAATTGTAATAAAAACCTTATTTCTTTTTCTTATAAAAGAAATGCATGGTCATTGCAGAATATCTAGCAAACACAGTTTAGTCCAAAACATTTTTTTAAAAGGGCCATCTAAATCACCCGTAGTCTTCCCATTGTTGTCCTCTAGGGATAGGACCTCTCAGCCCTTTTTCGATTATCATATACACATATTTTCTTTTACAAAATCTGGTTTTTATTATACACACGACTTTTGTACTTTTCGTCTACTAATCAAAACATTTTTTACAACATAAACATTTTAAATATATTTTTAAATAAGTATGTATTCACATGAAAGAATATACATTCTTCATCTTTCTCTTGTCCCCCCTCTCTGGAGGCAGCCCACGTTACCAGTTTCTTGTGCCTCCTTTCACAGATACTTTATACACATTTTTATCTGCTTTTATTTTACCCAAACAGTAGCGTGCACACAATGGCCTGCACTTAGCTTTCTTTCCACTGGTCATGGATCATAAGAGATCATTCCATATCAGTAAAGAGCTTCAACCCTATGTCTGTACCTTAGGCTGTTTTTAGCAATTCCCTAATGATAAACGTTTCAGTTGTTTCCCTTCTTTTATTATTATGAACAATGCTGCAACAAATAACTTTACAATACTTTTTAAATGATCATGTAGAAGTTTGTGGTGTGAATATACCATGGTGTATTTAACCAGTTTCCTACTGTTGGACATTTAGATGGCTGCCACTTTTCACTATTATAATTAATGCTGTGATGAACACCTAAAACATCTGCATACATCCATGGTCCCTTTTATAAGATAAACTCCTAGAGATGGAACTGGTAGGCATGCAAACTTTTAAGGATTATTTTCTATGTGTCGCCAAATTACCCCCTAGGAACATTGTCTCAAATGAGACTCCCTTCAGCACTTGAGAGTCTGCCAATTTCCTGGCACCTTCATCAACAATAGGCATTATTGTACTTTTCAGTATTTATAAATTATTTAAAAAATGGTATCTCACAGCTGTTTTAATTCACATCTTTTATTACTAGTGAGGTTGAATATTTTTTGTTTATTGGTTACTTATATTCCTTCTTATTTTTCTGTTTGTGTATCTGTTCTAATTTATTTCTAAATGTTGTTTATTCATTAAGGTACTAATCCTTTTATGCTGCACATATTAGATTTTTTACAACTAAAATGTTTTCTTCTAATATTATTTATCTAAGTAATTGGACAAGATTTTAAAAGGTGAATCATTATTAAAATTAATTGTTATTGAAAAATTAAGCAAATATATAAAGAAACATAACCTAACACAATGCAATAGATCACACTGAAATTTGCTTTTTGAGTGATGGACATTCTCCCTCAGAGAAAGGAAGAAGGGTGAAATTCCAGCATTCCCAAATCCATCTCTAGCTCACTTTCATTGGTTTTGCCCACAGTTAATCTCTTTGTGATCCACTGTTGAACACTAAGAACACACCTAGATTTGTTACCAATACCACCTTCAACCTAGCGCCACAGAAAATCTGAATTCTGATCCTATCATATACTGAAACATTCACTTGGAGTCAAAAGATTCCAGTAACCCAAGCCACTGCTTATTGCAAGTGGATTTACATTTGTGTTGACTCAGACACCTCTAAAATTATCCCAATTCTTTCTTCTTAGAAAATAAAAACTGTAGAGATATATAAAATGGTTTTGGTCTCACTGGCTGTTAAAACAGTTAACATCAAAATGGTTTTACTATATAATACTAGTTAAAAACAAAGGAAAGTCAGCCCCTGAGTAGTATTTTAAATTAGTAGTACATAAGACCTTTCAGAAGCCAAATATCTACTAGCTTTAAAGAGCTATTTTAATTTAAGATGTTACTGCACATACAAAGAACTGTTTTTATGTTTATGAATACAGCTGTTAATTTTCAAATTACTTGGAAAGATGAAGTCATTATGAGGAAAGTACAAAACTTACTGAGTAAAGAGTTTCAAAATTCAGTATGCGGGAGGAAAAACAACATTATTATCGTTTTTTTTTTCCTACCCAAACAGAGCCCATATAATTATTGTAACTGTTCTTTATTAGGGACTTGGATTAATTCTGGCAACTTGTATCCCCACCAAAATGACTGATATGTATAAACAGATGCAGGATGAGATGGCCATTTCAGGCACTTATATATGGACAAAATTATCAAATCTGCTTTAGGGAATGGCATAGAGAATATATTTCATCATGATAGGATAAATGGTGTTATTTATTTTTCAAATTTATTCTCAAAAATAGCTAAAAGACAAAAGGAATAATTCTATTTATATAAGATTCAATGATAACAAGGCAATATTAATCTTTGGTGATAGAAGTCAGAATTGTGGTTTCCAGGAGTGGGGAGTGGCAGGGGTGTACAGCTTGGGATGGGGTCATGAGGAGACTTCTGGTGTGCTAATAAGTGTGTATATCTCAATCTGGTGGGGTTACACAGATATGTTTACATTATAAAAATTAACTGAGATGTACACATAATTTGTATGAATATACATTTCAATGAGAACATTTATTTAACGTCAAAGAAATTTAAGGGTAAATATATTAAAGGAATAGGAATTAGACTGTATAACTTCCAAAATGGTATAAATGCAGAAAGATTCAGATTATCTTTGTACCTTTATCTGTGCTAGATTTTACCAGGTACCACACTGACATTTGCTAATTATATTTGGTAATAATTTAACAAAAAAAGTTCAATTATTTTTAACCAAAAAAAGATAAAAGGCAGGAAACATGAAATTGTATTTAATTCAGTTCTTCTACTTTATTCTATTTACATTTTAAAAGTTACCAAATAATTAAGGCCCTGATAAATAAATATTGATTGCATGAAAGAACATATTGACACAACCCAACTGATTTAAAAGATAATTTATGCCTAATTAACCTGAAAGAGCCTTGAGGGTTCTTTTTTTAATAGCATCTCTCAATCTGTGTTCAGAAGAATGCTAGTGCTGTAGAGTTTTATAAAATAAAAAAAAAGTATTCAGTATTTAATTAAATTTGGGAAATGTTGAATGAGACAAAAATGCTTCTTTACTGCGGGATTTCTGAAAGCCTTTAGAGGTTAATGAATATTGTGAATCTCTACGAGAGGTTATATGGTACGTGGCCTTTCCCAAAGCTGTGCCTCCCTCCCCCACCTCTGCCCCCACACCTATTTACACAGTGTTCCTTGGAACACAGTTTAAAGCACAGCAAAGTTCTGCGAGTGCTGCTCGGCAATTTCCAACTGTGCTAAGTATGCCTTTAAAGGCTCTGTGCACAGTGTAGCGTTTCTGATTTTGATGGCTGGCTGATTGGGCAGAAAATAAAATCGATCTATTAACAAGCGGGTTCTGAAGGTCCACTATCAAACAACCAGCACTTGCTGATGCATGGCTGGCGGCCGTGAAAGCTGGGGAAACATGAGAGAATAGTTCTCATTCAAGGGGCTGACGGTACACTGCGAAAGAAAAACTTGAAGAGAAAATGGTGAGCATGTTTTCGTAGTCCAGAGCAGGAAGATGCGGACGGGGGCACTAGCAGGAAGAGGAGCGCACAGGCATGCTAGTGGCAGTGCTCCTGCTGTGTCAAAAGAGCCAGAAAGAGCCCATCTGTCTTGGAGAGAAGCAGCCAAGTCAGAAAAAGAGCAGAATTAGGTTCACTGATAAAAATAATCTTATGGGAAGCCTTAAATAAGAAATGTTAGAATCTCTTCTTTCAACATTCGTCTTCAGATTTGTTTTAAAACTTTATGCCTGAGCAGCTCTTCAGGGGTGAATAAATTTTTTTATTATTTAGTTATTTATATTTAGATTGTTATTCTGTCCATTTTAAGAATATAATTTAGATATCTCACAGTCTTATGTAGATGGAATGTTACAATATCAGATACTGTGGCAATTTTAAATAAATTACATGCCTTTTAACATGACATAGTCCCCCATTATTCACCATTATACATATATTAACAAAATATTTCATTCATAAAAGCAGGCTATGGTCACATGTAGACACAAGAGAACCCACAAACCAAAAGACATTTTATACAGACAACATCAACTTATCCCACCTTCATTAAGTCAAGTAAAACGCTATTTAAAATTCCAAGGTATCTTCTCTCCAATGACTGAGGATGGTTAACAGCTGGAAACTGCAAGAACAACATGACAGAAATGTCAGCACACGGGGAAGGGTGTTTGTGTGCATGTGCTGTGAGTGTAGAAGATGGTAGCTGATGACTGGAAGTTATTGCCCTAGTACCAATCCAAGTCAAATTTATTCCATATGTATATTACTTTTGGTGTCTATCTATTTGAGTTATAGATTGATAGGACTGCATATTAAATAACAGGAAAACTCACATGTGAAAGATGATGCTTAAATCTAGTCAGACAATACTGAATGAAGCATATAAAACAAACCAAAATATAAAAATTTGAAACTCCATTTACACAGTTTACACAGCATTATCTACCTATATAGACAATCCAGTTATAATACAGTTTATACAGAATTTGTCTGCTCATATAGATAATTCTTAAGCCTTTTTCACAATAACATTACCATTTACTTCTGAAAATTAGAGAAGTGAAAAAAAAAAAAAGGCAGAGAGGGCAGTACTTGAAAGGCCACTGAAGTAGAAATAGTGAATTCAGGCACGTTCTATTATTGCTTTTAATATACTCTTTTAATGACCTGTTTTCAGCTGCTTCCTTTATGTAAGTTGGAACAGAAGGCAAACAGCCTCCCAAATTAACAAAGGCATTTTTAAATAAAATGAAGGGAAGAGGTCAGGTTTATTTAGAAACTCTATTCTTCCCTCTGCCAATTCACATTTCATAATATCTAAGTGCACAGTAAAGTGTTAGAGTCCAGGGCCATGCACTCCCTCCCAACGGGAGGGCTGCTTTGCTTTAAATATATATTTCCTTTATACCAACGTGACAGCATTTCGAAGTACTGAAATCCTTGAAGATGCTAAATAAGTGGATGGGGGGACAACCTATGGAGGAAAATTCAAACAAGGTATCTGAAGAGTGATTATGACATCATCCCCACACTGTGCCAGGTATGGCAGGAGATACAGAATATGGGTAAGACCTAAAGCTCATAGTTAAGCAATCCACAGTGTGACTGGGAAAGCAATCAGTACTAAACTGTGCAGCTGTAAATTCTAATCAAAGCTCAGAGAAAGGAGAGACCACGGTAGTTTGCAGCTGTAGAAGAAAGAATCTATAGATAATATTCGAACTAGTTTTTAAAAGCTAAGAAAAACATGAGGACAGAGAAAAGTAGGACAGCACCTTCTAGATAGAGGAAGCAGAAGGAATAAAATGAACTTAACAGAGACACACAGGCAATAATCTAAAACTGATTTCTGAGGGAAGTGATGCTATGTGAGGCATTTTAGCAATTATTCTTCTTCTTATTTTAGAGATGAGGAAGGTGATGATCAGAAAGTTCAAATAACTGGTTCAAGGCAAGTTACATAATCAAAAAGCAGTAGAACTAGTATTTGCACCCAGGTCTGTGATCTAAACCCACACTCTTTCTAAACCCAGGTGCCTCTCCTAAGGGAGGTAGAGAGGTGCCTTTGGATATTGTTGGAGCATTAGATATCAGCCCAAAGAGAGAGACACCTGTCATGCTGTGATAAAGAACTCTATACCAGCACATTTTAATTAATATTATGCTTATGAGGTCTATCTTATGCTACCAGATAGCCCCTCCTTTTTATTTTTTCAGAAGTAACATTTCATTGATAAAAAAAATTAATGCTGAAAGTCAGAAGGTATTAGAAATAGTATGATAAAAAATGACCAAGCAAACTCCTAACTTAAAAAAATTAATTTGTGTGCTTTTGAATGAAAGTCACCATTCTAATATGAGATCATTCAACAAGTAACCAAAACTCAAGCACAGAAGTTTAAAGTATATCCTAATCACTAGTTTGTTTGTTTGTTTCCTTTCTTTCTTTCCTAATCACTTGGCCAATACAATACAATGAGGGTGCCTCTTCACCCCAGCACTCACTGTGTATCAGCACTGGTCTGGGGCATTTTATGTATATTAAAACATTTAATCGACACGACAACCCCATCAGGTAGAATCTGTTATCATCATTTAACACAGGAAGAAACAGAGGCACAAGAAACTTGCCCTAGGTCATTCAAGTAGTAAATATGGAGCCAGGCTTTGAACCCCAGCAGTTCAACCCCCGAGTCTATGCCCTATACTCTGGGACAGCATTTGTTACTTTTTCAAAACGATGCATACCATTAGAGCAGCATCTTGTTGATTTTCCAATCTCTACACAACTGAATCAAAATGCAAGTAGCACTGGACTGGTTACCGGTGAGCCCGCGTCTCACAGCAGTTGCACTTCACACCCCCCATATGCTTAGCTATCCGTCACAGACATTCTCGAGTAAAATGATAAAAAAGGACGTTTCCCTCAGCTATGTTGCTAAACCTCCAAAAAGATTAAACTAATTTAGTTAAGACACCACAAACACTTTCAGACTAAAATGTAAAAATATTAAGGTTTATAAAAATCAAGGTGTCATGGAAGCAGCAGTTTCTCTGAAGGGTATCTCCAAGCAGCAGCACCGTGTGCTGTCTAGCACTTTACACACAACACTGTTGAGTGAGGAGGGCTGTGAACAAACAGGACCAGAGACGAATGAGGACAAGGCAGCCTTCGTGCGGCCTATCTAATCCAAATGCTGCTCATTCTTCAATATCCATTTCAAATCTCGAATTCTCCAAAAATCTTTCTCTAGTGAATCCAGCCAACTATGATTTCTAACCTTCCAGAATGGTTAACTCTCTCTTGGTCTCAGTCATATTGAGATGTATTAGAAAACAGTACAGTGTAGGAAAAAATGCAGTACTTTATTATGTGCCACACTTTCTTATAAACTGTACTGTTTTCTAATTATCTCATGCACAAAAGTCTCAATTCTTCAGCTAGTTCATAAGTTCTTCAGTTATTATGGCAGATCTGTTTACACTCTCTTCAGAGAATCCAGCCTAGAGCCTCTTTAACCAGGCAAAGAACAAGGCAGCCAGCAGACCAAACTTGATGTTCCAGGTCAAATAGTCAATCATTCAACACTATTCAACCTAACAAGCACTGTTCCAGGTGTGCTAATATAACGGCGAACACGATCTTCATTTCTTCAAGGAATTCGCTAGTCCAGTGAGGATACATACTTGCAAACAGCTATTTAAAAGAGACTACAGTGAGAGCTACAAAAGAGGTATGACCAGAGTGTTATCCAAGCACAGAAGAGGCAGTCACCCATCCCCCCTGGAGAAGTCTAGAAGGGCTTCGAGAAGGGCAGACTTTTGACCTGAGCCTGGGGGAGGGAGGAGGAAGAGCTTTCCAGGAAGTGGGGTGAGTATTGGGAGAATTATAGAAATAAAAATGCAACATGGTGGAAGCAATGTGTCAAGGAAATGGGATGAAGTTCGACGTGGCTGCAGAGTAGGGGGCAGGGGGTGGGAATGGGTGGGAGAAAAGGCTGGAGGACTAGGAGCAAGGAGTTTTTAATGCTATCCTAAGGAGTTTCAACTTAGCAATCCTGGAGAGGTTTTCAACACAAAGGAGATCGAACTAAATGTGCAGTTTGTGGAAAAATCATTCTAAAAGCAATGTGAATAGACTGAAGTGAAGAGAGCAAGTTGGAGAGATTGGTTTGGCAGCGGTTATCAACAGTTCAGGTAAAAGGTGATAAGACTGAAAGAAGCGGGGCCGGCCCGGTGGCCCAGCGGTTAAGTGCGCACATTCTGCTTTGGCGGCCTGGGGTTCCCCGGTTCAGATCCTGGGTGTGGACATGGCACCGCTTGGCACACCATGCTGTGGCAGGCGTCCCACATATAAAGTAGAGGAAGGTGGGCTTGGATGTTAGCTCAGGGCCAGTCTTCCTCAGCAAAAAGAGGAGGATTGGCAGCAGTTAGCTCAGGGCTAATCTTCCTCAAAAAAATAAATAAATAAAGAGTGAAAGAAGCATTAGAGACGGAGAAGGGAAATATGGTTGCGCTTGAGTGGTAACAATACAGATTGGTTCAAGTGATTATTCAAATATTCATTGAGTCTCTACTAGACATGCTGGGCTCTGTGTCAGATGCTGGAAATACAGTGAGAAAATAGATGATTTCTAATAGTTAATAATTAACAAGTAAATAAACAATCACATACTATGATAAGTGCTATGATGGAAAAAAGAAGAGTGCTATAAGAGAGACCAAGAAGGAGGTGCAGGCAGTACGTTGGGGGGTCAGAAAGAGGGGGCATTCTTGGAGCTGAGATTTACAAAATGAGATGGGGCCACACAAGGGAAGTGCCTTCCTGGGAGAGGGAGCCACAAGTCCCAAATTCATGAAGCTGGAAAAACCTTGGAATGTTTATGGAAATCAAAGAAAAAGAAAGGCAAGTGTGGTGAGAATTTAGAGCAAGGGGGGAATGGAGAGGAGTATGAACTGAGGTGAGGGAGCTAGAGGGCCCAGAACAGGGAAGGTCTGATGGGAAGGAGTTTGGATGTAGTCTCAGTAAAACAGGAATTCATTAATTATGACTAACTTCATTTCTGAATAGAATTGATTTTCCTTTCTGCTGGACTGAGGGCAAGTCCTATTTAGTGTCCTATTTGCAGCAACTAGTATGACAGATGCTCAATAACTGCTGAACCATTTGCACCCTAATTAATGGTCATAATTTGGCTAATTTTTGGCTTACAAAGGCAAAATTAAAGGAGAAAAGAGAAACTTGCCTGAGATAACTCAGAGAGATTTGGAAGAGAGAGAAAGCAGGAAGGAGATGAAAGAGAAACTGTTTGCACTTCTGTTCATTCATTTCTTCCAGACTCACTGAGCCGAGCAGGTACTGTGTTAGGCACTCACGTGTGAGGAGGGGTGCTCATCAAAGTGAAATGAACTGAGGTCCAGCAAGTCAAAAACATAACAAAGTGCTTTGCAAACGTCAAGGAAACATGGTTGGAGAATTACGCATTTAAGAGAAAGAAAGGAAGTGGTGGTGAGCTTATTTTACAGTTCCCACAATGGCCACCAATTGGCATGTTGGCCCAAACAGGGTAGTTGAAAACTAAAAAAGTAGCTTTTAGGGTAGATGGAAGAGAGAAGCAGCCGATAACTGGCCACTCCAATAAGGTGCCTCTGCAAGTTGGTTGTCCCTCATTTGGGAAACGTTTATACTTTAAGAGCCTTTTTAGCATATTCTCAGAAAATAAGTTTTGTACAAAGTTAGCAAGTCTAGGAAACGCTGCCCAAGACAATACATTAGTTTGAAAAGAAGATTTGATGTTTCACTGTCAATGGACAAGAAATACCTGCTAGAACAGCACCTTTAAATCTGCGAATGCAAGTACTCAGTCTTCCTCAAACCACTACGAATACGTTTGTTCAAACAAGCAGCAGCTGTTTACACATTTTTCTATCTTTTGGGGATGCTTAATATTTTGGATAAAGAAACATTCAGAGATGACCAAAGTTTAGAATATAATAATACATATGCCAGAAAAGATTTTGAAAAATTGGAACTTAAAAATTAGGAAAAACATTAGCAGCTCTCATTTTCAAATTCAGACCACTTTATAAAATTCACAAATACGATTCAAAATATAATACGATTCAAAAATAAAATATTCTAACAGGGATGGTAAACAGTGTAATGGAAAAGGGAATAGTATTTGATGAATAGCTTAGCATTCCATTGTGCAATGAACAATAATTTAAATACTGCTGTATTGATTCCATTTGGGGTTTTAGCAAAGCCTCTTACCCGGAGCCCGTGGAAGCGAGGATTACTGTAGAAGAGTTTCATCTGCTCAGATGGAAGTGGTCCTAGCACCTTCTGAATAGTAAAAAGTTGGTCAATTTCGCTTTCTCCAGGAAACAAAGGCTGTCCATCACTAAGCTCCCCAAGAATACAGCCCACCGACCACATATCCACAGACTTTCCATAGGGAGCCCTGAAAAGCAAGGGGAGAGATTTTCTTGGCAACTAAAGAAATATGTTTTAAAAATTTCCAAATTATTTTGATCAGGTTCATGATTTAAAGCATACTTGTGTATTTAAGGAATTAAAAAGTGTCATGTGGACAAAAGTGAAGTTGCAAAAAAAAGGAATTATGGATATCCAAGTAAAAATTCAGAACACAAGTGAATAAATCTATGCTAATAAACCCATCAGTTTAGTAACAATTTAGTGAGTATACACTGATTTGAAAACTAGTCACATGCAGGCATATTTTGAACATGAATGGCTTAATAAACCCTAATACAGCACAAATATCTGATGAGTTAACACCTCACTTGGGGAATGAAATGCTCCCAGGAAATGTATTTCTAGGTAATTATCCTTTAAGCTCTCTAAATGTCAACAAGTTACATCTTATCCATTTTTGAGTTCAGTCTATTAAAATGTACTACTGACTTATGTGTCTTCTTAAACAAACACTGAATATTATTTAACCTCTAATTGCATAGAGTCACAATTTGTAATAGCTAAGATTGTGCTAAAAACTCTATTGGATTATTTACCTGAATCTATTTGTACCCTATGTATGTGGGGCTTTACGACAGCTATTTCCCTCTAAGCATTTTTCCACTTACTTAGGGGTTTATAGCTCTCTTCTAGGATCTGAGTTTACCAGAGGGCTTTAGGAATCTTACTGTCATTAATAAATGTAGGCTATGCACAAAAACCTAGGTATCCCCCCAAAAGCTTTATATGTATACCCCAATGTCTATAGCCTTAAGTCAAATTATGCATGGCAGACTAAGAAACCATATTTTCTTTAGTTTCAAACACAATCAAAGCTTTAAGAAGGAAAAGCCAAAAATAAAATACTTGAAAAAAACATGGGATGAAATTCTAGAATGCCATAATGATATAGTAGTAATATAAAACTTTTAATAAGTACTCTAAAGCACTATTAATACAGAATATATTTCTAGGATAATAAATCATTGTAACAACAAATCAGTATTTTATTTATCTCATTTTCTTCCCACAAAAACCTAAGAATCATATTAGGAAACTTCATTTAGATTTTGTTGGTAGCTTGTGGAGGAGGGAAGGATACTGATCTTTCTTCCATACAAGTATGCGAGCGAGAAAAGTGCTAGATGGAAAAACCAATGGAAAATCTCCACATACCCACTGTGAGCTATTTTTCCTTTTGTCCACTGATTTGAATAATTTATGCAGCTGGAACTATTTTGAATGTCAAGGACAAAGTCTTGAGAATGTACAAAAATGTAAATTTTTAATGTTAATCAAATAACTGATTTCAATGGGATTTTTACACAAATAATATGGTTCTTCAACCAGTACTTGACAACCGTTTAACTGGCAATATTCAATTTGGCTCAAATTAGTTGGAGTCCCCATCTACTTTGGTTGCTCCCACATATCTCTAAACATAACCTCAGTTTTCCGATAGGTATTATTAGGCAGCAAATACTCTCTGAAGTTTCACAATAAAGTTATTCTCAGAATTAATTTCCTGGGGCCATCTTATAGACAAAACCATATTACAACAAGTCTTTCTACCATACTTGAATCCTTGGATGGGGTTCTAAGAATCATCTACTTCATACCCATCTCTTCTTTGGCAAATTCTGTCCAGTAAACTCAAATTCCAATCCCTCCCAAAAGAAAATGGACTATGCATCACAGTGAGTCTAAACAGAGGTACACAGAAGAAGAAACACAGACAGACACAAAAGAAAATCAATTCTAAGTCCAAGTTTAAAAATGAGCATAGAAATTCTAAAATCTATCCGCACAAAGAGAAATAACAATGTGACTAACCACCATTTGTTTCCCAGGATAAAGTGCAAGCTTTTGATCTCAAAAAATAATAAAGCTTTCAATAACTGACACCAATAATTCTTATAGACTCTAGGTTAGCAATGAATCAAGGATTACCGCCAAATGGTTGGTGGACACTGGGAAATCAATTGCTAACATCAAAATAAACCCTCAGTAAGTAACTTAAACATACAGACATAACGATTTTCAGAAGAAATACAGAAATTGATATTTCTATTATATAAAAAGTATCTTTTAAAAATCAAATTTCTCATGTCCCCCAGATACATGTATGGCACACTGAAGAAAAGAGATGAAACCTACAATTTGTGCACTGGTCATCATTACTACAATAATTTATCTAATTTTATTTGTAGAGTGTGCCTTCTTTCTCCATTCTTAGATGGTCCCAAAGAAGGAAATACAAACTAGGGAAAATAAGAAAATACTACAACTAGGGTAGGTTGAGAATTATTAATGAAACTATGTGATGGAAATCAAGATTATAAGCTCCTTCTTAGGATCTAAAGTTAAAATGTATTAAAAAGAAGAACCTTATCAGAAGACTCTTTTCTGGTATTGACAGATGAATGAAACAGCATTGAAAGTAGAAGGATAGGCACAAAGTGGATGGACATGGAGGTGTTGGTGAGAAAAATATCAATGCAGTGCTAGTTTGAATGGCCATTTATCATCAAAGAGAATTTACACTGTTCAGAAGAAGAATGGTAATTGGTTCAATATTTACACCGTGTGTCTAGCAAAGTGGCTGAACATAAGAGATACTCTATAAGTAATTGTTGAATGAAAGAACGAACAAACGAACAGATAAGCCATAACGTCAAATTCTGTGGACATCCACATTCTTAATGTGGAAGATTATTAGCAAAGATGGCAGCAATAATTCACCCCATTTCTGTACACCTGCCACTCCACCCATCAAGAGGTCTAATTTATTTCTCTGTCCCTTAGCCCTTAGATCAGGGGTTAGCCAAATTACACACTTTGGCCAATGATGCAAAAGTCAGGCAAACAGAGGCTTGAAAACCACCTTTGCTTTGGGGTTTGCCCTCTTGCTCAGGGAATTCGTCTGCTATCGCATGAAGAAACTCGGACTAACCTACTGGAGGATGAGGCCCCATAGAACAGAGATGATCTGTCCCAGCTGAGATTCCCTAAACCACCTAGCCTCCAGATGACCTGCTGACTGACTGTAGCTACAGGAGTGACTGCGAGCGAGACCAGCAGAAGAATCATCCAGCTGAACTCAAATTGCTGACTCCCTCAAACTGCTGGCACCCAAAATCATGGCAAATAAAATGGTGCTTGTTTTATGCCATTAAGTCTTTAGGTACTTTATTACACTACAATAGGTAACTGGCATTTAATGAACTGAAGTTATCATCTTCCATAGATGATCCCAAAGGTAATGATACAGGATCAGCTGGTGTCTAGATGTCATTCTATTTAGGGAAGACAACTTACCCAAGCAAGAGTTCTGGGGACCGATACCATCTGGTGGCCACATATTCTGTATAATTAGCATTATTGCCTTCTGATAGATTCCGAGCAAAACCTGAAAGATAGCAAAGTGCAAAGGTGTAATTTTGAAAAAGAAATAATTTCATGTTGGCAAAATATTTCAGTGTTAATAATATCTTAAAGCAGTATCAAAAGAACATAATGACTGGTACTGAATGGGCTGTTATTTACTGAATGTGTCCTTGTTACTTAAAAAAGCTAGTCCATTGTTCATACACCAATTAAAATATACAATGTATTCACTACAAAACCAGTCTCTCCTCCAGGCTAAAGAAATTCATGTTTTCAAAGTCATCGCATGTTTTTATAAGCATTCAGAGCATACCCAATAAATGTAAATCTTAGGAACAAAATGAAATTTCCACAAGAGCCAGAAGTCAAAACCAAACTAGCATAGCACAGTCAGTCATTACTTCTGCTATGTGAGACTTACATAGTATTTGCGTATCTATTGTTGCTGATCAGTAAGTAAACAACTAATGGTTGGCAATGATGGAAACAAAGCAGGCCAAAATTATTTTCATCTCCTAATGTGACTGAGAAGCATATTAAGGAATCCTAATTACCTTATAGACTCTTATCATTACTCCCCACCCAACCCTTTCAAAAGGTTTTGGGGCCACAAAATAAACCAGCAGGTAAGTTAATTACCCATCTCACTCACCAAAAGCAATATGGGTTCATTGTGAATAGTTATAGAGAACCAGAACATTAAAATTAGGGGTAAAAACTAAAGTGTATGTCAGTTTTAAAAAGCAGAAAACAGTGTTTCTTAAAATGGAAGAGTGAAAAACAAAAACAATCACAGCAAAAAACAAAACCCCTAAATTCAGTTAATCAATACTTCTTTGTAAGATATATTTTGAAGAAATATTCGTATTTTTGATTGGAGTTCTTCAAGCCAAACAAAGGAGCTACACACTCTGGGAGGGAAAACAATTAGGAAGTCCTCGTCGGGGATGCACAGAGCACAGAATGTCACATGTGGTACTGCCATGTGGAATTTCCTGACCATTTAAAATTGTTTTTTCTTTAAGAAACGATTCTAGACCAAGAATACTCTTTTCCTATTATTAACCACTCTACAGGCATCTCTTGTATTTGTAACTTGCTTTTACAAATTTCAATAACTTTGGAGCTTAAGCAGATCACCAACTCACAGAATCATGGATGCAGAGCAAAGGGACTACAAGGTGCACAAAAGCTCAGTATTTGGTGGGAATCACAATTACGGATAGGAAGTCAGAAATAGATATTGTTCCTGAAAATCGTAATGCTAAGGAAATGCTGAAAATGCCAAGATCAAAATCTTTCAGATACAGCATTCAGTATTTCCTTTTTATTCTTCTAAGCACTTCTTAAGATATTTAGGATACAGTAGGACTCTTCTTTGCAATATTCCTTATCATAATGTATGAGAAAATTAAGCCCCATAAAACATTTTTCCTCAGGCAAGCAAGTTCATAATATTCAAATTCTTTGAAAACAGCTACGTATGCTTCCAATTGCTACACTGGACAAAATCGGTCATCCTACAAAGTGAATTCTTAGAATGCTTCCACTTCTCACCTATGCAATCCATCCCCTAAGCATTAATCTAACTTCTGCTTAAGATAAGGAGATGTGTTCTCATTTATATGTGGAGGTCTACATTGTATTTGTGATTATATTTGAATATATGAAAAAATAACATTAAAAAAAGTCGTTACATTTCAGCATATGGATTAGGTAAAAGTATAATTTTAAAAATCGACCCATGACCTAAAACACCCAAATTTATAGTTTTAAAACTTTTCTGAATTATTTTAATTTAAATGTTTAATAGTGCTTAATAGAGTTTTATATCTATGGGAAACAATATACAATTTTCTACTAAGAGAGAATACAACTCAAAAATTTCCTTAAGTCATTATATTGCGAAGTCTTTTTCAAAGTGGTTCTGTATTCATTCATCTCAATTCATCTTGAATTTGTGTTTATTATTTTGGAGTTCTCTCTGATTAGACTGGAATGTGTTTGGTATTTAAACTGTTCTAGATGATAACTGGCCTTAGCAAGACAACATCTAAAAGTAAAATCAGAAAATCAAAAAACAAAACAAAACAAAAACTTCCTTATACACTCAACTAGGAGCTGGAATATTATACATCAGTTACTAATCTCATTCACTGAACATTTAAATGGAAAAAATGGAATTGTTCTAAAAATATCTTTTGACCTTACAGATATATAACTATCGCATATACACAATACATATGTGTGTACTTACATAGGCATCTTTTCAGTGTTTGATTACACCTAAAACAATTTTTATCAACATTTAATTTTTTTTTTTTTTTTTTTTTTTTGCTGAGGAAGCTTCATCCTGAGCTAACATCAGTGCCAATCTTCCTCTGCTTTTTTGTACGTGGAAGCCCTCGACAGCATGGCTGGTGAGTGGAGTAGGTCCATGCCCAGGATCCAAACCCGTGAACCCGGGCCACCGAAGCAGGGCACATGGAACTTGAACCACTTGGCCATGAAGCTGGGCCATAAAAATTTTTTTTAAATATTTTTTTTATCCAACTCAAACCAGAAGGCCATAGTGGTATTTCCCAGAAAATTCTTTTTCTGGGGTCATTAAATGCTGGGCTTATGAATATATGCACATGCACGTTTTTGCTTTGAATTCTCATTAAATAAATACTGCAAAATGAATTTTTTTTTTTAAAGATTTTATTTTTTTCCTTTTTCTCCCCAAAGCCCCCTGGTACATAGTTGTATTTTCTTCGTTGTGGGTCCTTCTAGTTGTGGCATGTGGGACGCTGCCTCAGTGTGGTTTGATGAGCAGTGCCATGTCCGCGCCCAGGATTCGAACCAATGAAACACTGGGCCGCCTACAGCGGAGCACGCGAACTTAACCACTCAGCCACGGGGCCAGCCCCCATAACGAATTTTTTAAAATAGCAAACAATACTATGCAGAGCAAAGAGAGAGTAGCACTCTTCCAGCAATTTTTTAACATCTGACCCAACAGAATGTTCCTCTGCTAATTTAAGTCAAAACATAAAAAATACTTTTAATATGCCTGTAAAAGCTACCTATGTGTTATATTAAATTAATTCTGTACTTACAGGGCTCAATTTCTTTTTAACTTACCAAAGTCACACAGTTTCAAAACATCATTGTGGCTGATTAAGAGATTCTCTGGCTTTATATCTGGAGTATCAAGATTAAAGAGCAATTATTAAAAAATGTTCCATGTACTGCTGATTGACACTGTTAGATCACTGTAACGGCCCCTAATTAGAAATATCCAGAGTAATTTGAATCGAAACATGTAGCAGTGAAAAGCAGAGTAATACATTTTATGCTGGTGCATAAAAGTTTCAACTAATTTCTTTTTGGAAAACATGCAGACCACAACTTCAAAAATATTTTTTCTCTTTAAATCTTAAAGACATTAATTGGATCTCTGAAAGGAGTGTTAGAATAATTGAATCTAGGCCAGGAACTATTTTTACTTTATAAAATACTAATAATACACATTTTTGGAGATAGAATATAAAATGTTTATACCCACAAGATACCTTAAAAAACACACGAGAGTAAGTAGATAGCATTATATTTACTGTAAGAAAAAATCCATATATTTTCTCTTATGATTTTCTGTATAATTTCTATATTTACATATCTCTTTAGCTTTTCTGTGTGGTTCACAATTATAAATATCTAATCTGAAGCTATACTGGATGAGTCAAGATAAGATTTCTCATTTTGTCCATGGATCTTTTGAAGATGTTGTGGGAGTTGAGGAACAAAAATACACAAAAAATGCAGTTTAATTCTCCCCCTTGAAAGGCATCTCACAATTCTATTTTTAGAATACTTGTCATCTATATCATATGGTAGAGGTGAAAATGGAGAAAGGGAAGAAGTAGGAGGGAAATCTGTAGATTTCAGAATCATGGTTTCTACTGCTAATTCACAACCATTAATTCACTATACATTTAACCAAATCACAGTATCCATATGGAAATGCAGCTAAATAAGTTCCTCATTAATATCCTCAAACTCTAGTATAGATTATTATTAGAATCATTACCCTAGACACTAGATGCCCAGTTGACTTGGAGATCTAGCCATGCCACCAACAACCTTGATAAGGTAACTGCTATGAAAGCCAAATGCAAGAGAAACATAAATTATCTCATTCTAGAAATAATAGGAGTTGGCACTCTTTACATGACCTTTAAGCTGTTCTTAAAGTGAGACTCTTTTTAAAGTGATATCCTTGTGTGTCTGTATAGGTAAATTAAAACGTAATATTCACTTATTTGATAGTTCAAAGACACGAAGTGGATATTGCAACACTTTCTGATAAACGTCTTTTAGCTTCATTATTGTATCTATTTGTGTCCCATTACTGTAAAACTCGGGAATGCAAGAGAGATTATCAGGAGAAGATAAATAGTATAGAGTCAAAGATGGTGCTGAGCAAGTAATTTGCCTTTTATTGCTATAAACCACCCACCTCATGCCAATAAAGAACAAAATAAAACAGCTTATGGAAATATAATCATGGCCTTTATGCAAGGTTGATCATGCCTGCAACCTGCAAACAATGGACACTCTTCACTAATGGGTAGGGAAAATCAGGAGGTGAAGGTTCATACTGGAGGATCTGGGTCTAAGAGGAAATGAGAGGTGACTGTTAATGGGGGTCAGTTAGGGACCACCTCTAAAGCCTGATCTTGGGTTGTTTCACATTACCTGCAGGACCAAAAGGCAATGGAGAGGGTCTTTTCCTTACCAAGTAAGCTTCAAAGTTCACATCTGTTGATTTCCTTATATCACTAGGTGTTTCTACAGTTGAGAATGGATCTGGTTATACAAACACAGAGATCTCACCATAATATCCAAATAAATTTGCAGTCCATCCTTTTGGTAATAAAAAGGGAGACTTGGAGGCCAAACAATGTCATATATCCTGTACTTTCAAAGTATATTTAATTTAAATGGAATGTCAGTGCCTATGGAAATATTCTTAAGATGGTAATATGTGACATTTTATTGTTAACTTGATTTGATGTTTTACTATTTTCCATTTCAAAAATTCCATACTTACCCCGATGGACAATATCATTCTTATGGCACCAGTGAATAGCTTTGATTAGCTGATAGATATAACTTTTTACTTTTTCAGGTGGAACTCCATTTGGCATTTCTTCCAGCAATTCAAGCATATTCTAAAAATTAAATAGGGAGCCATTAATCTCCAAAATTAGGCAGGCCCATAAATCATGTATTAACAATTTTAAAAAGCATCTTGGATGATAATTCATTAAATAAACAGCACAAATTTTTTGTTTTGCTTTTCATCTACAATCTTTTTCATGCTGAAGCAGGACATTGCATTAAAATAAGGTTCTCTTCTAAGAGAAATTCCATTTTTACTACTCCCCAATGCTGTCCCAAATAATAATCCTGTGCACTTTCACTTTCCTTAAAACCTTTCAGGCATCATTTCAGCATAATTTCAAGGGAAAAGCAATCAAAGTAGAGATAAGACACTATAAGGTATAAAGGAGGAGGGAAACAGTCATTTTAACACAGTGCACTGTGCATCTTTAATAGAACTTTGCAATAAAATCAAGCCTTGAAAATATTTCTGGAGGACCTGGAAAACACTCTTAAAGGAAATGATCCCTAAGATTAGCAGTGATCAAAACAATCATTACAAAAATTAAAACAGACTAGCAAATACTGTTGAAATAAAAATTCACAGACCCCAAACAAATCAAAATTCAAAAATTTTAGTGTGGAGTCAGAGACCATTCTAAAATTCATGCAGAATTGTTTATTAAGTAGAAACTCCACTTTAATTCCCAGATCAACCAAACATTCTCCATTCCCTCTGTAAAGCACAAGACTAAGGCCCACAGCAGAATTAAAGCTTATTGTTTGTAGACGACCATCTAGGACAGCACTTCTCAAAGTGTGATCTGTGGATCTCTGGAGGGGGTTCTCAGACTTTGCAGAGAGTCTATGAAGTCAAAACTAGATTCATAATAACACCCAGCTGTTTGCCTTTTTCACTGTTGGCATTTACACTGATGGCACAAAGCAACGATGGGTAAACTGGTGGCACCTTAGCATGAATCAAGGCATTGGATTCTTCAATGCCCCATCCTTGCAGTTAAAAACAAAAAAGCCAGTTTTAGTTAAGGATGTCTTTGATGAAGCAGTAAAAATTATTACTTTTATTAAATTTCAATTTCTTTTTTTTTGCGGGGGGGGGTGAGGAAGATTGATCCTGAGCTAACATCTGTTGCCAATCTTCCTCTTTTTGCTTGAGGAAGATTGTCACTGAGTTAACATCTGTGCCAATCTTCCTCTGTTTTACGTGGGATGCCGCCACAGTGTGGCTTGACAAGTGATGTTAGGTCTGCGCCTGGGATCTGCACCTGCAAACCCTGGGCCACCAAAGCAGAGCACGTGAACTTAACCACTACACCACCAGGCAGGCCCTAAATTTCAATTCTTTAGTACATGTCTTTTTAGGAATCTATATGATAAAATGAGGAATACACATAAAGCACTTCTGCTGCATATCAAAGTCTAAAAGTTGTCTTAAGGAAAAGCACTTGGGTAATTGAGTTGCAAACTGAACTAGCCACTTTTCTTGTAGAACACCATTTTTTACCTCAACGAATGACTGACACATAAACATATTTACGTTAACATATAATAGGTTTGTTACTATTATTTTTAAATGAAATTAGTAAATATTTCATATTGTTCAGTTTTGACTCCTAATGTGATAAATATTAATAGATAAAACCCACATAAAATAAAAAGCTCTTGGCGTTCTCAATAATGTTGAGAGTCTAAAGGAGTCCTAATACCAAAAAGTTAGAGAACTGCTGCTCTAATACAACTTGACAATTTTGTTCCCACCAACCAAGTTGTATACACAGAAACAATCAGTTGTTTGTTTATAACACTCCCATACCTATTTATAACAAATGCACTTATTATTTTAATATAATTAAATATCAAATAAACCAATGAAATAATGTTTTAAAAAGAGTTGTTGTTTATAAAAAAACAAAGTTCAATACTTTGGAAAGATTTAATACAGGAAAGCCACTAAACATATTGCCATCTAATCAAAGTTGAACGTAATAACTATAAACACTGGCAAGCGACAGGTGCTGGTGGGGATGAGGATCCTGCATTGAGATTGCTTTGCAATATTTTTAAGCTTTTGCTTCACTTTAAAGAAGCTGACAGACGATCTCATACGTGGTGTGTTATGGGCATGATGTATGCAAGAAAGACACATCAGAACTCCAATCAGAAGATCAATACCCAAAAGACATTGACTTTACCTCTAAAGAGTGGTAAATGAATATATATTGACATGTTTTAAGTTAAAATAAAATGTTTAAAGTATGCATGCATCATTTTTTAACGATTCTCCACTTGAATTGCCTTTATCAATTAGCAAATGCATAGGAGGTCCCAAAAACATAGGAGGAATAAGAGGGCTTTGTAATATAGAAAATAAATTGTATGTCTCACTTCATATTCAATTCTAAATTCCTCAGTGGTAGAGAGGGATGTTCCCCAATATCCATTCTTTCCTTACTCCACAGTAATACAATTTGTAAGTAGATGCATAGGTGCCCAGAATGAAGAGTACATTTCCCCTCTGCCTTGCAGTTAGTGTGGCCATAAAACTAAGTCCTGGCCAATGGGATATGATAGCTGGACAAGGGCCACATCTCAGGGGTGGTAGAGCAGAAAGGCAGAGGCAACCTGGGTCTCCTATGGCTGTGGAGCAGTTACCATACGAGCCTTGTACTGCCTACCTTTGTATTTGTACATGAGGGAGAAAGAAATTTCTATCTTGTTTAAGCGACTGTAACCCTGCGTCTCTGTTACAACCTCCTAACCCTTAAGAGCATCTGTCTCCTTGCCCTCTTGAGACTCATTATCAATCGTTAGGCATTGCCACTGATGGGACAGTGTGATGGTCACCTTCCAATGAAAAACCACAGGACCAGGGCAAGAATCTCAGGTTTGGGAGTCAGAAGACTGGAGTTCTGGTAGCAGCTCTCCCAGTGACCAGCAGAGAGATCTCGGACATGACAAATCATCTGATGATTTCTGGCGATTCTTCCAATTGTTCATACTAAGTTGTTATTAATTGTCAATAATCACCATAAGTAGGACAGAAATAAAAAAGATAAACTGAAATAGATCTGTTGGAATTTTATTATTTGGCAGGGAAAACTGCAAACTGCATAATTATTTTTGACAACTAAAAAATAAAATAAAGAGCATCTGATTTTACAGCAATCCTCCTTTAATAACTTTTTTTAATATCAAATTTGTTTTATTTTGGTGGAGGTCCCTTAGGAAAACACATACATTGACACAGGAAAAGAAACCTTAATACAGGTTTTGGAAAAGAAACATAAAACAGTGCTTTAAAACAACAAAGAGCCCTGCAATATTTTTCAAACTTTGCTTGTAATGAAATTACTACATATATTTTTTTAATTAGAAAAATAATTTGTAAAGGCTGAATTAATTCGAAAGCCACATTATTGGTCAGTCATCTTGGCAACACTGCTTTCCATTTCGTGACGATGGTGGTGGTGGTGGTGACACTGTCATTTATGACATAGAAAGCATCTGGGAATTGGCCCAGAGCAAACACAGACCTCTCCAGTCTTAATCTGCTTTAGATAATAACATAGGAATCTAACAAGAGCCACCTATTTACTCATTAAGGAAACCTCTAAAAGGTCTGCCTGGCTCTAGCTTATTCTACTCTTGGTAAGGCACTTATTTAAGCTCTTGACAATAACCAACTGCTGTAGGCGAGCTACTCTCCAAGAAATTCATAGGCACCCAATATTGATTACTGTAGCATACATTTGCCCTTAGGTCACATCATTAAAATTGTCACTAACAGTGAACAATTTTTTAAAAGATTACTGAAGCAAGTATGCAGATAACGCGAACAACGCGTGCTTTTCTTCTTTTCTCCCATGCTTCCAATTCCTTACTTGTGGTCTCATCTACCTCCTCAAGCCTCACTTTATGCCTCCTGCCACATCTTCTTCCCTCAAAGCCAAAGCACTGGCAATTCACAAAAGGCTGCTTCATGAGCCCACTCATTCGCCACTCCAGGTCTGATTCAGACACCCATCCTACGCTTGCGAGGTATCTTACACATACCTCTATCATCCTGTACCATCACTGTCAATTTACTTGTCTCTCCCTCAGAGGCCATGCTTAGCTTTAATTAAAATAAACCAAGTCTAAACATTACTTGTTTAACACAGATTCTAACACTTCAGAAGCCAAATCAATATACTATTGAAAGTTAAGATTATCTCTGTACAGTTAAATTGTATAAAATCCTTCAATATATCTCAGGACTTCTAATGATTATGGATAATATTTTCAAAGTCTTCCGATTATGAGTACATTGACAAGTCATACTAGATAATACTACTTCCTTGAAGAGTGTCAGAAACAGCCCTAAATAAAAGAATCAGGCAAATCTCCATAGCGTCGACTAGTGACTTACTTTTTCAACATACTCAAACACCAAGTACAATTTCCCCCGCCGACGAAAGGCTTCCTTTAGCTCCACAATGTTTTCCTGTTTGAGAGTACGAAGCATTTTAAGCTCTCGTAAAGTCGTTTCCTTGACTTCTTCATTTTCTAAAATGTAAAAAAATGGTGAATAGAATAAAATTAAAGCTTTCAAACTACTGTTCAAAAAATTCTAAGAACATTGAAAACATAGCAATTTCACTTCCCACTTTGAGTACTTCTGCATAAAAAGTCCAAGGATGGAATATTAAATATCACATTTTCTTATTGAAAGGATCAAGAACAACAAACTTAAAGAAGAAAAGGCTTACTTGACCAGCATGAACCTAATTTTCTGCCTCTATTTTCTTATACTCCTCAGGGTAAAGTGTATGAGTAAAACACAGACTTATAAATATGACAAATGACTCCACTGTCATTTTAACTCTAACACTACATACTGGTGAGGGAGTTTAAAAGGGTAAAAAGGCATCAATGGTCTCTGTGTGCAGAGCAGCCTCTGGGCAGCATCTGTAGCAGGTGATGTTTTCAAGTTTGGCGTAAAAGAGCATTTCATTTCTCAGGTTGCATGTAAGTCATCTTAGTGAACAGAGGTCATGTGCCAGGCACCCCCAAGGCAGCTCACCATCAAGTCACAGGGAATTTTTAGAGTGTCTGATCTCCTCTCTGAATAGCAGCTACTGTCCTGCTGTGGCATATCCATCTGTCCATCCCAGATGCTGTAGCTGTACTGTGCTGGAGAACTAATGCTGAACCCATATACCCTTCCGTATCATCAACTCCACTCATGCTAACCCCCACACACATGGAGGAAGGACAGAAGTCACAGTAACTCTAATGGATTAATTGGCAGGGAAGCAGAGAACATAATATTTCATTTTAAATAAGTTTTTATGACAGCTTCAGATTTAGCCGGGAAAGTCTACCTACCATATCTATGCATGTATATAGTAGGATACAGGTTCATAATCCCTTATCTGCAATTCCAAAACTCCAAATATTAGTCTAAAAACTGAATGCTTTCTCTAAGTTTATGGCAAATCTCTTTAGAGGCAAAACCTGAACTGACATGAGACCACTTACAGTCTTTGTTTATCCCACTTAGCAGGAATATTCGTATGTTGTGCTTTAGAAACAGTATCTGATTACAGGGTACTAACATCACATGCTCTATTTCCATTCTAAAATCCAAAAGTCATGAATTCTACAACACATTTGGCTCCAAGGTTTTGGGTAAAAGGTCAGAATCCCAGATTGAGAGTCTAAGTTGTGTGACCCTCAGGTTCAGGCACGTCTAGGGACGAAGAAAATGGAGTTTGGGGAAAGGGGTAAGAAAGATTAAGATGCCTTCTAGGAAGAAATGCTTCCTAAGCAAGACACACAAGAGGAAAAAGCCTGAAGGGGCCAAAGCAGGAGGGGAGATTCTAAATGCAGTGCCAGGAGTACTTAGATTATTTTCTATCCCAGCCCCTCTCCCAACCCCCATTCAAACTGAGTTCAAAGAAATTAGACTATAATAAAAGCAGGGTCTGTGTAGCACCAGAGGATCCGTGACAAACAGGGAACATGAAGTCAACACTCCTTTGTGAACTGGTTACACAAGTGAAATATTCTCCCTACTTCAGCAAGAAAATTGTTGGAGACGCTGGAGCCCAGACTAGGAAAGGGAAGAGAGATACTGCCCATCCGAAGGCAAGAACCAGCAGGAGCAAAGGCCTACAGCGGCATAAGCAGTGAACCAGCCCACATCAGGGGGTCAACTGGGAACAGGTACTCACAGGGCCCATGGCAGGGGAAAAGAGCATGAAACAGTGAGGGCCACCTGGCAGCAGGGGGAATGCATGGCAATGTGATCAGGGGACTTCCCAAAGTGGCTGAGAGGATTGGGGGGGAGGGGGCAGAGGTCCAGCTCTTCTGCAAGTTGGGGCTGAGCCAGAGGTGGTGTTTTGCGACTGTTAGAACTGCCTTTAGTCCTCTGAAGAAGGCTAACCTGCCCCTCTGTTAGCCCATCAGAGTTACTCTCAAGGTTGGGGTAATCACACTAAAATCCACCTATCTCTAAGACACAGCGTGCCACACAGACCTCAGCAAGAAGCAAATGCTCTTCCAACGAGGAAGTAACTCAGCAAGAGACAACTCATGACCTGGTCCCTGTCTGTTTTCCATCCCCATCCCCATGCCATGCCCTCCTCCTCCTCCTTCACCTTAGTCTTTCAGTTCCCAAAACAGCCTCAAACTTTGTTTTTCAACCTTAGGGCCTTTGAACTTGGTCCCTCTGCCTAGAACTCTCATTATACTACCCAGACTCTACAGGGCTGGCTCCTTCAGGTTTCAGTTTAAATGTCACTCCTCACGAGCCTGGCCCAGACCACTAAACCAAAGCAGGCCTCCATTCCCATTATTCCTTATCACAGTCCTCTGAACTTTCCTTTCACCAGTTTCATTTCTGTATCTGTTTGCTTACTGGTTTACCATCTGTGTGGCCACTCCTGCTAAACCGAGAGCTCTAGAAGAATAGGCCTAAGTTGTGCTGTTCAGCAATTCACAGCCAGCCATGGAGCACTGTACCTGCCACAGAGAGGGGATGAAGAAATACTTCCTACCCAAATACTTGCCCCAGTGCCCTGAGGAAATCTTTGCTCATATGTGGCCAGCTCTTGCTCCCTTAAGCCTTAGGGGAAGCAGCAATGTGATGGCAATCAATAAGCACTTTGCCCTCTCAGTTTTGAGTGCAGTGCTTTCAATCTCCTCCCTCTAGAACTTTGAAAGGGCAGCTTTTCAGGCAACAAGACAAACTGAATTTATTTTCCCCTCTTCACCTCTGCCCCTGCTTATCTTCTACAGTATGTGATTAGGAAAAATGGAGGTCCCCAGAAGACTGATAGCACTAAAGGTCAAGAACACATATATATTGAATCATTAACAGCATCCATAAGCTATGCTGGAGCTGGGTACAAATAAGTGTCGCAACAAAGTCCACAGTAAATACAGCTGGTGTATCTTTTCTAATCAACTGCTTGGTGAATTCTTGGTGCCCAAAAAGCCACTGAAAAAAAGGGAGCTTTGTATTATTAGCAACTTGTGGCAGTTTCACTTTGTTTAACAGATAAGGCCACCTCAGAACGGCTGAAGCAGGATGGCTTTAGTAGAAGGAACAGTGGAGTAAGATTTGGGAGACCTGGACTTTGAATCCTTTTACCCACCTAGCACTGTGACACGTGACTATGGGCAAGCCACGGGCATCCCCCCGCACACACCCTAAAAAATCCCATGGCCTTTTCCAAATCTAATAATCTATGATTTCTTTTCATTAAAATCTCATTATGAGCCTAAACCTCATTAAATTTTGGTACTTTCTTATATATACATCATTCAAATCTATACTGACTCTACCTAACAATGGCTATAGAGAGAAGAAAAATGAATCTTGAAAAAGCAGCTCACAAAATCACCTAGCATGCAGTGCCAAAGCCACCTCATTTAAGCAGGCTATCTTTTATGAAATGAAGACTTCTCTAATTTATGCCAGTCATAGTTATTAAAAGTTGAGGTAAGTGGGGCTGGCCCCATGGCCGAGCAGTTAAGTTCGCGCACTCCGCTGCAGACGGCCCAGTGTTTCGTTGGTTCGAATCCTGGGCGCAGACATGACACTGCTCATCAAGCCACGCTGAGGCAGCGTCCCACATGCCACAACTGGAAGGACCCACAACAAAGAGTATACAACTATGTACCGGGGGGCTTTGGGGAGAAAAAGGAAAAAATAAAAGAAAAAAATCTTTAAAAAAAAAAAAAAAGTTGAGGTAAGCACTTCAACATTAAGATTGTAACGAATGGGAACCGGCAGGAAGTGGAGTTATTAATTCCCTAAGTGCAAACAAAATGGTCTACTTTTCATTATTTCATTACTTGGTATATCCTGTCAATTTTTTTGTCTCTCTGAGAACTTTTAAGGTTCCTGGCCTACCTTGTACATTATGATGAAAATTGTGGCACTAAACGATCAGCTGATGGGGAAAAGGAATGCCCATTCCACTTACACATGCTTCTCTCCTCAGAGGTTCAGAAAGTAGCAAAGCTCTTCAGTGAGGCAGTTTTTTTAAAGGTGGTAGCACAGCCCACTGAAGTGAGCACAAAAATCCCTGCCTTCCAGTTGAAATAATCCCGTGGGTTCTTTATTTAGGATAGGCTCCTCCAGTTTACAAACGAAGAAACCAAGTCTAGAAAGAGTAACTTTCTCAGGGTGAATGAAGGGAATGTCACACTGAGTAGAACACAGGGACATAGACGACATGGTGTAAGGCAGCGAGTGAGCTTTGGAGAGTGAGTGGGAACACCCAGGTTCAGGTCTAGACTCTGTTACTGCTTAGCTGAGTGGCAAAGCAGCATGGTGTGTGCAGAAGAAAAACTCAACAAAGATCCTGGGGTCTGCATCTTAGTCCCAGTTAATCACATGCTAACTGTACAGTTTTGGGCCTTGGGTTCCTCAGCTGTAAACTGGAGTTGGGGTTCTACCAGATGATTCTGAAGGTCCTTCCAGCTCTAAGAGCTGGTACTTCCATGCGATTCCTGCTTAAGTGCATGCTGGTGGATCTGGTCATCAGTTACTACTGAGGGCGTTTGGCTTAGTACAGGCAACCCTGACAAAGTTATATAAGTTCTACTGAGTGAAGAATAATTGGTAAGGTAGAAAAAGGACACTACGTAAAAAAACTAACCTACTTCTAAGCTTGCCAGTTAGGCAAGTTAACATATGTAAAAAATAAGAAGGAAGATTCACTAAAGAAAACAACTTTCAAGAAGAAAGATCACAAGGAGTAAAAGAAATGCAAAGATAAGTAAGTGATAAAAAGAGAAAAATCTAAAGATTAGCAGAAACTCTATTGTAGCTCTATTTTTAAAGAACTGTGGGCTTAGAAAAGAAATCTAGAAATAGCTGTAACCTACTTTATGAAATCACAAACCTGACATTCTTGTATAGCCAAAGAGGGCCCCCCATATGGACCTATAAACAGGTACAGTGGGAGCAGGGGAGGGTGGTCAACCCATCCTTGCACAAAACCATAAGGGTACCATGTTTGAGTCTAGTTGCCCCAACTGAAGAAGAAACA